AGGGTCGCGTGGGTAGAAGTGGATAGATGCAGAACCCTGCAGCCGGGCAATTATTGGGAACGTGGCTGACTGTGGGAGTTAAGTTATTTAACGAGAGGGTCTGGTACTATTGAATGCGAGTTGAGCGACCAAAACTGGCCACGAGTTGCGGTAGTCAAGCCGATAGAAACCCAATACAAATAGCCGCCAGGGCTGTAAACATCACTGAAATGCTAACGTTATCTGGCAAAGTAACAGCGTTTAAACCACACCGGACGCCCATCGAAATTCGTAGATATAACATAGCCCATCACCCCAATACTACTTCCTTTCACCCCAGATGTAAAAGCTTCCATCCCCGTTCAAGTGGTACTACATCTGATATCGGTCACTCCGGCCGCCGGCCTCGCAGCCACGTTGTTTGCCCGACGCAGCGTAAGAATGTTGGGGAGAGGCAGAGCTGTGGTCACGGTTAGAATCCCGCCGCTGAGGCCGGCAAATTGACCAGCGTTAGGATTAAGGCTTCCCATATTGAATTTTAACGGACGCCAAGGGGCCACAAGAGCGTCGCGATGCCGTTTCCGGAGATAAGGCCGACACAAATACGTGTGTGCTTGGATGGACCGGCACTCCTCCTCGATGCCGTTCCAAAGCTTGACCCTCTCCACCCCAACGCCGTTAAGGAACCCAATGCCGTCGTAGGTATCGCCAGGATTCACGTAGACGAACTTGTTGCGATTGCTAACCATACCCGGGTGCGCTGGTGTAGGCGTCGTGATTCCGTTTCCTGGCTTCGTTGTTGTAGGGGTTGGGTCGCCTCCACTGATGCCAACTCAAGCATACCGATATAGAAGGTCAGCTTTCAAAGACATATGGGTTAGAAGAGGAGGGAGGAGGGAGGAGGTGCCCTTGAGGCCCCAGAGGCCGCTGCAGTCTGCTTTGGCTGCGGATTTCCACTGAATGAACTGGGAACTGAAATGGAATGGAGGGCGGCAATGGTCTCGCAGGTTTGTTCTCTTTGGACGAAATGGAATCGGTTGCAATTCCCAACCACGCCATCTGGGATTGGGCTCGGAGTACTGCTTGGAGTGGCCGACGTGGAACTTGACAGCTTCGTAGAGGTCGGGAACCCGCTGGTAGTCGAGGGCTTTGCGGTGGTCGAGGATGGGGGCTTGGTGGAGGATTGAGCAGAGGCTGTCGTGGGCGGATCCTCAACCACGGTCTCAATCACACAGTACTCCTTGTTCGTGTCGAGACCTGGGCAGCTAATGCCAGGGTTCAGTTGCTCGAGCTCGTCAATCGAGATCCCCAACTGGCGGCCAAGCTCAGGCAGGTATCGACACTGTCAGGCGTCACGGAGACGTCGCAGAGAACCGCGCGGGCGTGACAGAGCCAGGCCAGAGACAATTCCTGGCATCATGACCGAGATGATGTGTTTAAACAGCATCTTGAGCCTCGGAAATGAGCTGTGCGTTGGAGTAGGTGATCAAGTGACGGGGAGGATTCTCAAGAGGAGGGAAAGGGCTGAAGTTGGCATTCCTGAGGAACTAAACCGGACTGCGAAGCCCGAAGCTTATACTCTCGTCTCGCGTCCCATGCTCCCATTCCATATCAAGTAAGGTATGGAGTTCTGGCTATGAACTCCTCGTTGTCCCGCTTCCAGACTCTCCACACGAGAGAGATATCACATGTAGCTGGACGCATCCAGAAATGAGTGTCGCGGTGCTCATGTTGGTAAGAAGATAATTTCCTGCATTGCAACCTGCCCCGTCGGCGGTGCTTCTTCGGTCCAGATAATGCATGGACCGAGAACAAGGACACACTGCCCCATGCACCAACAAGAAGGATATCGCCGCTTGCACGGATCATAGGAAATGAGGAACTTGTAATCCGTACAGGTACAGGTACTTGTACAAGTACATGCGCCTACGGTTCGTGACAAACTCCACTGGCATGTGGGATTCGCAACGCTAACTTCGGAACACAGCCGCAGTCGGTACCTTACCGTACTGCAATGTGAGCACCTGAGAGGGTCTGATCAGGCGGAAAAGGCAGCCAGCTGCTTGGGCCCATTGCCAAGCCGCCGGGACAACGGTCCTGGAGTCTCGGAAGCAGCCAAGCCGGTTCCTCGTTCCCCCCCAGCGCCAAACTCATTTGCCCATAATCAGGACCTCCAGATTCCGTCTCTCTTGCATCCACGTGTATCTCGTTACTACCCTTTCTTCTGCACATCGCAACTGCCTGGTCACGACGTACAGCTCTCTGGCATCTTCCCTCGCCGGAACAACCAGGGCACCAGCTCGCACTCTCTCCGCCCCATGCCGCAGAACACACTCTCGAACCTCAAAATTCCCTCCCACAATCCTCGTAACACCATGCGCCTCTCCGCCCAGGCACTCTTGTCACTCGCGACATCCCTGGCATGCTTCGGGGCCGTGGTCGACGCCGGCGGCGTGCTGGAAGTCGACCTCGTCTTCCCGCGCAACGAGACGTACGCGCCTGGGGCTGACATGCCCGTCGTGTTTGCATTCCAAAATGGCGACGCCGAGTTCGTGCGCTATCTCGAACCTGCCATTGACTACTTCGTATGGAATCTGTCTGATGGTAATACGGTGAACTCAAGCTTCGGGGAACATAGATGGGCGAAAACGAATTGGTCCAACCACAAGCCCGGCGAGCCCTACTTCTTGCACGACTTCCACGGCCTTTTCAAGCCGGGCATGGAGGGTAGGTGGCGGTTGTCGTGGCAGGTCTCCTGGGCAATCTGCGGCGAAGAAGAGGACGACCCCGAGCCTGTTTGGAGGAGCAACTCGTACATCCAATCGGTCGAATACACGATCAATAGCAAGGATGGACGCGCGTGGGATCTTGTTGCTGCCACAGCCGACGACATAACCTGCACTACGGCATTTGGTGTTACTATCAACGCTACCGACGTGGTCAGGGAGGTTCCCAAACGCAAGACTGTTGACGGCGGCACCTGTGCAGTCGTGTACCACTCCAGCCCAACACCGAATCCATGCCAAATCGAGGTCAGCTCTGCCGCTGCCGCGAGCATATCGGCCTCATGGACCGCGAGCCTGTGCAGTCCCTGGGGCAAGCTCACAATGCCGCAAGACACACCGGCAAACTGCCCCAGCGAAAACGGTGACGTCCAGCGGTTGGCTATCGCAGGCGTGGCCTCCTTGGCAGTGGCATTGGGGGCGATTGGATTTCTTCTGCCATAACTGGGAATTTGATATCAGACCGTGGTGGATAAATCATATTTCCCTTCTGGTCAGACTGGCACTTTTTCACTTTGAGAATGCCGTAGTTCTTAACTATCTAAATCAGGTGGGTAATGAAACCAACTTGCTGTACGGATACATGTACGCTAGATGTGACTGATACCTGCTCTTGGTAGCCGTTGGGCGGGGCACGCCGGAGCGCGTCCGAACCCAGCCCCTAACGTATGTACATTACTGTTGGATTTGGCAGGTGCTCAGGGAGGGCAGTTCAGGGGTGGCTAGTGGCTTGGTATAGGATTATCAGGATCAGGGAGATGCCTGAAGCTGTTTTGGAAAAGGGAGATGCCGAGATCAATTATCAACTGAGTTTGTTGCCCATCCTTTGCCGCCTAAACACTGCGGTACGGTAAATTTCTGGCTGTTAGCTTTCCAACACTCCTCCGGGAAGGCCACCTAAACTCCCAACTTCCGTTCCTACGCAGCAGAACAAAACAATAGCTACGGCAGACATGTTAAAACCGACCGAAATATCGCTATAGCCACTGTTAACGAAGAGGTTAAAGTCACTAGCCTTGACAACTGGAAGGCCTGGAATGAGATTCAGGTCTAAGGCGGCAACTAGGGACCTGTCACGGCCCCCACTACGAGCCCTACACTTGGCCATCGCTAGGCGAGACACTGTGGATTTGGGAGACTCAGATTGGAGCTTGGAACTTCCTCTCACAAGGATCAGTCAGTTAGTCAGTGTGACGAATCTCAAAGCCCCAACTTCTGAAAGGGACTCCTGAAGGTTATAGCTTTGACAACGGGGTGAGGTTCGGTGAAGCCAAAGGGTTCACAACAAGCAATGTCCAAAGGTACTGACAATCTTGCACTTGAGTTGCTTACTGGAGAACTCCCAGAGTCCTCCAGAACGAGTGACTATATACTTGGTAGAGCCTTCATGATCGCCCATGATCGCAGTCTACCAAGAGCTATCTTTGATCGCCTTGGGTAGCCAGCTACCCAAGTCTACCCTTGATCGCCCGGACCCCACGGCTACCGTGTGGGCCTCGTGCCGTTCCTGCAGTTCTGTCTTGTGCCCCACTGGGCCTGTACGTATGGTTGGTTCGTGACACTTAGCTGTGCAAGCTGGACTATGCATTGCCACCAACCTCCATTACATCTTGTACCTGCTTATCTTGAGTATAAGACGTTCTTACCATCTCTATAAGCCGGCCAATATATCGTATATCCAATCAATAAAGAGCTCAGCAGTCTCAGACTGCCACGAAAGGACTTCACAGAGAGTTGCACCCGGTCCCGAGGGTAAACATGTGCAGGTGACCGGTGTGTGCATATTCCCGCCTATGATATTCTGAACCTTATCATGTAAAATATTAGAGACAGAGGAGCATATCGTCAGGAAGACGGCCTGGACCAGAGTCCTGACCGGCGCCACTAAACCTGCGAAGCCCGCCACTGGAAATACCCCTGCAAAGCAGTCAAGCGATTCATTCCACATGCAGCCAAAGTCGGCCAAGACAACTCGGGTCTCAACCTCAGCTACTACAGAAAGACCTTCTTCTTCCTGCACAAGCAGACGCAGTTCGAACCTCTACATGGCTGGACTGGCCCCCAATATGACCAATCGAGAAGTCGACAAACTCAGGGCCTCTGCGCCGCGAATTGGCCGGCAGTACAAGCCCGAGAGCGTCATCTACAAGCTCATGTCTCACCAAGCGGATACGAAGCCCCTTTGAAGAACATCGTCGCCGAAGCCAAGGCCGCAAAGTTCCGAGCCGCGGCAGCAGCAAAGAAGAAGCAGGCCGCCAATCCGCACGCCCTGCCCGCGTTTCCCACACCAGCAAGCTGCAGCAAGATGGCAGTTCAACCAAGCGAAACAGACCACATCGAGCGCAGCAAGAACATGCCCAGCAACACCAGAAACTGAACAACAACAACGCCCTTCGCAGGTCAATCTCCAATCTCGCTTCTCGACTCAGCCATTTCCGTGTCGCCAATCCCAAATCGACATCGGAGTTGCCCATCCCCCACCGGCGGCTGTCCCAGCCCAAACACGACCGACTTCAGAAACAAAACAATCAGGTCCTGCGAGAACAGCAGCAGGGCAACCGCAGAATCCGTAAGGGCGAGGCCTATGTGCCCAGCTCCAGCAAAGCAGGAGTTCAGTTCAGATTCAGCGATTGCGGGCAGCGGCCGGCGTTTGGTCAAGGACAGTGGCAGGGACAGGGGTTGCAGAGCCAGCCAAGGGTGAGGCAAACTGTTGTGCTGCCTGTGATGATGCAGGGCGGTAGTGGGAGGAGGGGGGGGAGGGAGAAGGTAGTGTGCCAGAGTGCCGGTGCTAATGGGAGTTCTCCGGAATGAAAGGGTCAGTATGGATCTGTGGTGGGGGATGGGATTATAGAATGGTAGGCTACACTTGCTCGTTGAACGGTCGGCAGATCTGGTCTCTGGCCTTTCTCTGTAGTCGGGTAAGGTTTTGGGCTGTGTTGGGCCTGCCTTGCGGTCTGCAGCACGAGGGTTAGATGGGATCATCATGCATTCATGAACTCGTAACAGTGAACTAGTATCTCTCAGGCTGGTGTCCATGTCGTCAAGCAGCCCCAAGCTCCGTGACTAGGATACTAGTATTAATACATACGCAGTATGATACATACCTCCGGCAAGACCATCACGCCACAGCATTCTCAACTCGCCCATTGCCTCTGGTCACTTAGCACAAGTTGAAGTCACCCTTTGGGTTAGATTTGATGGGCGCTGTGGTCTATTTTCATTCTTATTCATTACGGATTACTCGAATTCTCTTGAACCCGCAGCAGTCTATGGGTAAATTCACTGAGATGATGATTACTCCACTCTCTGATTCAGTGCTCGTCTCCCTTCTCCGCCTCACCCTTAACGCCGTCACCGCCCTCAAGCGTGAATAGCCTGCTGCACGTGCGGATACACCTGCACCATGCGATGATATAAATCCGGATGGTCCCTGATCATGACTTCGGGGTCCCAGGCGGCCGCGACAAAGATGGTGTCAATGCCGCTGCTGATAGGCGTGGTAAAGACGTTGCATATCTGCAAGCCGATAAGGAAGCTAAAGGCAACGACGACGGGTGTAAAACTCCCAGTGGCATTGTAGGCTGGATTCGTAAATACCATGTAGAGGTAGGCCAGTAGAGCGCAGGCGTAGCCGACAAAGGTGGCACCCATGCCGAGGACGGGGCCGATCAGGCACTCGTTGATGAGGACGTCGATCCCGCGGTCTCTGATCATCCTGCAAGCATATCAGAATCAACGCTAAAATTTAGGATCAGTGGAGGAAGAGCAGTAGACTTACCTCCATGTGTCCTTGGCTGCCGGGATGTACGCCTTGCCATACAGAGCAATGTGCGAAAAGGCGTAGCGGTTTAAGAAATGCACCGCCCAGTCGAGGATTGAGATCAGACAGCCAACGATGCAGAATAGAATCGTGCTCAAGATATCACCTTCAGCCGCCGCCTGCTGCTGCGCAACCGACGCCAGCTGCCTCAGGAAGTTGATGATGGCCACCGCCAAGCTCCCCAAACTGATACTTCCAAAACTGTACGTCAAAGATCTCTTCAGCGCGCCACGCGTAACCTTGGTCGGGTAATTTTTCGAGTTGAAGTACCACGACCCGTACACGCCCGAGATGGTCGTATGGATCGTGTTCTTGAGCCACTCCGAGACCCTGCCCAACAATGTCAATCATTCCTTGCCGGTCAAGCGCGACTCGGGAGTCTTTCGGGAGCAAGAGTGCTGCGTTGGGGACAAGGGCGACTCCCGTGACCCCCGAGACATCTGGGCAAAAAGATTCACGAGTTCGACGTACCAGTACGCGGCAAAGGTGATGAAAGCAATCAACCCAATTACCTTGGCCGAGCTACACCCCCCAGCACCCTGGCGGCAGGCAGGATTATCTGTACTCGGCTCGAACTTGACGTACACACTGACCAGTGTCACTGAATACCACGCGGCGAAGGCGGCCCCCAGCAACCCGCCGACGGCGCTGACGAGGTAGACGTGGCCAAAGCGCTTGGCAACGTCCATGGCTGCTTGCAGCATGAGCACACTGAAGGGGATGCGGCGGCGCCAGCTGAGGAAGCAGATGACCATGAAGACGGAGAAGAGCAGGAACACGATGCCGCCCGAGTAGTAGCGCCGGCTGAGCATGTAGATGGCCGTGACCAAGCCGAGAACAATGTTGAGGATGCCGGTCAGCCAGACGAACTGCTTGGTGAACTTGCGGGCAAGCAACATGTAGGCATAGCTAAGCACGGTGGCCGCGATGAGCACCCATAGGAAGAGGTAGATTGTGTGGGTGGTCAAGCCGAAGGTATTGAGTTGGCCGTTGAGGTCGCCTGAGTTCTCGCGGCGGGTAACAGCTGGGGGATGAGATTTAGTACGAATAAACATGAGACGGTGTTGTGAGAGTGAGTAGCATGTCCTCACCATATCCCTGAATGGATATCGCCGAGACTACAACGAATCCAGCACAGGTCGCCAGGAAGAGAAGGCCGGCCCAGACATCGTTCCATTTCGGCTTCTGGATAGCAAAGACTTCATCGTACGACGGTGGGGGCCCCTTAGGCTCTGACTGCGGAGGAGGGTACGAAGGGGGCGGCGCATATTGGTTGCTGGGTGTCGAGCCGTTGTAGTGGGCGCCTTGTGGTAGAGGATGTTTCTGGTACGCATTGGGCGGGGGAAGGGGTTGTTCGTTGTCGTAGGAAGTGGCAGCCTCGCCGCCGTAGTTAGCCATCTTGCCAGAATTTCAACATTCCCCTGGATTTCAGTTGACGATCTGGAGAGGTTGATCTGTGAGTTCAGCTAGGTATGATGCTGTTGGTTTGGTGACAATGTGCGATCAATGCAACACATAGGGATACCTTAATGTTTACTAAAGCAGCCCGGGCAGAAAACTCAAGAAGGTAAACCGAAGGGTTTGAGGTTGATCGCTTGTGGAGCTGCCAGTGTTGCACGGGCTCAGGAATGTCTTGCAACCGAAAACAGCAACGGCGACTGGCATCGTACAATACCTTCGATGGTGTGACGTCATGCAAACAACGAGCAAAACTTGCAGCAAATTGTCGACAGATCATGCTTGCTCCAAGCAGATGGGAATCGGATCTCGGAATCAAATACGTACAAAACAGGGAGGTCTTGGGGATTCGGATGTCCAATGCGATAAGGCAATTCTTGTTACAGGGCTCTACTTATCTCTTAGACTCTTACGAGTCTTTACGAGTCTTCTCGCATTCCGGTAGTGCCAATTTCTCATCCAATCCGTTTCCAGGACCTGCTGTGCAGTCGGCCGATCGTCAGCCCTAAAGGCAAGCATCCGCCGCAGCATCAATAAGAACGTCTCCTTTTCCTCCTCACCCAGCGTCCCCATGCCATGCTTGCGCCGCGGATCTTGTAACCATTCTTGGACCGCCTGTCTAACGCCCACCCCCAACCTTTTTTAACGGGCTGAGAATCCTCAGCGAAGTACTTGTTCCTTGCCTCCCATCCATCCCACCATTCAGCCGGCAGCCGACCCAGAATCTCGACGTGATCCGCTGTGACATCGTCCATGGTCGCAAAGAACAAGGCGTCAAATAGCGACGTATGTGAGAGCAATGCCCAGATGGTGCACCCCAGACTCCAGATATCAGACGCACAGGAGAGCGGGACCGTCGGCTCGAAGCGAGCTTCCGGCGGCCGGATATCGAGCGGTGCGTAGGAGTTGTGTTTTGACTCAGTCGAAGGCCGAAATGCAACACCCAAATCGGTGAGCAACAACTTTGCACCGGAGTATACGATCTTATCGGAGTTGGCCACAAACCACACCGGCACTCTGGCGTAAAGAGGGACGCCTTCCCATCTTCCCGGACAACAGGTTCCAATTGGGGCGCTCCAAATTCCTCGTAGAGCTCATCATCCGAGAGATTGTCGAGACTGGAGGGCAGCTGAAGCAAGATGTTGCCTAGTTGAAGATCTAAACTCAACTGTCAGCAGAATCCCGTATACTCGGCCACTACAAACAAACACCAAGCATTCACTGAGCTCATGTTGTAGACCATCAAGCAAGCGGGGGTAAGAGTGGGGAAATATGATCCTGACCTCTATGAACTACTCCCTGCTCATGGACATGCGCCACAGCGAGGGGCGAGTTGGGCGGCGAGAGATCAAGCAACGTCCAGCGGGAAAAGATGAGTTCTTGAAAGCTGCTTGGAGTCTTGGAGACTGGCACTCGCCGATGCAGTCACTAAGCAAGAGTGTGTTTCGTTGGGACCTTGCACATTGAAACGATCAGAGAGGATGGGAATCAAGCTTCTCTTGGGTGAGTCCGTCTGATGGGCGGCCGCTTGCAGACAAGACAGGCTGTCGACCTCTGGTAGGTACGCGTCAGCGACGCAAACCTTGATGGCAACATATTTCGAAATATGTTCGTCCTTGCGCGAGCCATATGGTGGAAAATGTGCCATGGCCGAGCTTGTGCACGAATCCGGTATCGTCCATGGAAACGGTCGCCGATTTGTACCGGGTGGGATCCCCAGGATCGATAATATTCTAGGTTCTCCAGATCCTCGCGCGATTCCACCAGCCCGTTAAAGAAACTGTGAAGTCGTCGTCATGATTGGCTGAGCAGCACCCGAGTGCCAAAATGAGGGAAGTGTTTGCTGGTTTTGGAGTGGTCATCCACAACTTGAACTTGGAAGTCAGCTGAGTTTCTCGACTGCGAGAAGGTGAAGAAGGTCATGAGTACAGAAGGTGAAGAAGGTCATGAGTACAAAAGGTGAAGAAGGCCATGAGTGGAATGACCGACATGTGCCTAAGTTCGAGTCTGGAAAGCGCAATTTACAAGCCCGGAAAGAGCAGTTTACAAGCCCGGCGGGCGAGGGATCAAAACCAACTGGGTCAAAGAGCGGCCAAAGCACGTTGAGAGTAACTTGATGACTGACTCACAGTTTGTCACAATTCACTGCACGATATCGTCAGTGTCCGTTTGCAACAGGCATTACTTTGCCGCAGCTATCCCACATGAATTCTCTATTTCGGCCCCGTCTTGCCTGTCGGGATGCAGAACAACACCAATCTCTTGCCCTTGGGTCCTTCCTCGCCATCCTTCCAGTCGTTCAATCCCTTATCCACGCGGTAGTAGCCGCGCCTCTCAAGTTGGATGATATCGTCCTTCTTGAGCTGCGCTGCCGCCTCATCGCACCACGCGTCCTCCATTGTCTCGGTCACTGGGTTCAAAAAGTCCTCCATGTTGTCCTCCTCCTGCAGCACGTCCTTGGTAATGAGGTAGTCAAAATCCCACAGCTCGGCGGGCACCAGCTTCTGGCCCTTGGAGGCGAGCCAAGTAACCTTCTTCTCAGTCTTCTTGACGTCGCCTTGCAAATTCAGCTCGCATATGAGGCTGGGGATGGGGTCACCGCCCGCGATCTGGCGGACGAAGGCGTTGCCCCATGCCATGAGGGTAATCTCCTCGCCGTCCTTGAAGCTCTTGGCATCGGCCTGGTCCATGAGGAGCTCCGAGGCAAAAACTACCTTCTTGTTGCCTATGTCTTTGTTCTTGGGGTGCTTCGGCCTGTCAGCCGAGAAAGGCTCGGCAGGCGCCTCGGCGCCGGTGACCGCCACCTTCACCACGTCCTTCTGGAGGATGGCGGTGTGGCGGGGTGCAACTGGATCAATCTCCTTCTTGTTGCTGGCCCAGAAGTTCGTCCAGTCCATGGTGACCACGTTCCTACTTGGGCCCTGCTTCAGAATGAAGTCTCGCAAGGCGGGAATGGTCATACCGCGCCTGCGAACGCCACGGATTGTTGGCATGCGCGGGTCGTCCCAGCCCCAGACTTTGCCAGTTTCAACCAGTTTTGCCAGCTTACGCTTGGAGAGGAAGGTCCGGATGAAGTTCATCCGAGCGAAGTCCCACATGTAAACCTGACGGAGCTTGAGCGTGTCCAAGAACCACTGGTACTGCGGATTGCGGTCCGTGTACTCTGTGGATCTGAGCGCGTGGGTCACGCCCTCGTGGCTGTCGACAACAGGGCAGGCAAAGTCGTACATGGGGTACATCTTCCACTTGGTCCCGGTGCGGTGGTGGGGTGTCTCGATATTGCAGCGGTAGATGACGGGATCTCTCATGGCCTTGTTCGGGTTGTCGACCGAGATTTTGGCGCGAATGCAGTTTTGGACACCCTCCTCTGAGCCCTTCTTCATCTCCTCGAAGATGCGCAGATTCTCCTCGACAGACCTGTCACGCCGCCGCGAAGCGATGCCCTTGAAGCGCTCATCGCGCATCGTCTCCTGGTCAGTGTCATCGGCATATGCATGGCCCTCCTTGATGAGCCGGATGCACATCTCGTAAAGATAGTCAAAGTAATCCGAGGTGTAAGAGAGAGCGTCAGGCCGGATGCCCATCAAGGCGAGATCCTCAATGATGGCGTCCTGGTACTCTTGCTTCTCCTTGGATGGGTTGGTGTCATCGAGACGGAGACGCAGTGTGCCATTGTAGGCTTGGTGAGCAAAGTAGTCACTAAGAAGGGCAGCCTTGGCGTGTCCAATGTGCAGGTATCCCCTGGTCCAAATCAGTTTTGTCCGCAATTGAAATGGTGACGGCGCAGCTCACGAGGGCTCGGGCAAGAATCTCGTCACGACACCCTTGTTGGCGTTCTGCAGTGCAAGAGCATAGCTCGCGCCGGCTTTGCTCGCAGCGGCTATCTTGGCCTTCGCAGCGGCATCCTTAGCTAAGATGTCGGCCTGGATCTCGGGATGATTCTCCTCGATGAACTGAAACCAGCGGGCAAGGTTGACGAGGCTACCCCGCTTGATGAAGGACACAGCAGCACGGTTACCACGGAGAGCTTGCCAGATCTTGGTATCGATATCGCCGAGCGTGTAGCCGTCAAGGTATGTGCGGAGGATCAAGTGCTTGTCGAGGGCCTGCAGCCGGGGCTCAATCTGGCGGAAATCGGCGGTGAGGAGGGCCTCAAGCGGCTTCAGCTCGTCCAGCTTCATCTTGTTGTTGACGGGTGGGAATTGGCGGTGCGCAAATACGTTGCTGAGTCGAGTCGATATCAAGCGCAGTCTCCCTTGGCCGATCTGAGTCAACAACACCTGCAAACTTTTGGAGGGGCACGGCAGGCCAAGCTGTGGCGGGGTAGCACTGTTTTGCCGGGCGGTGAGTGGCTGGACACCCTGTCCACGACCCCTGTCATTCTTAACGCCTCACAATTGAGGCTCACGCGCCCAGCTGCTCGGACCCAACTTTTTTTGGAGGCTGCAGTTGCAGGTCAACATCGAGCCTGAATCCGCGACCGAGTCCAGCCCCGTGTCTGGCATTGAACGCGATGGCCTCCCTCAACCAGTGTCTTGCCTCTCTGGCGAGACTCAGCTTAGTTGCGCCAGCAAGGCCAACAGTAACGCCGACACTACTCAAATTCCTAGTGCCATCAGCGACGGCCCCCCTTGTTCGGCGTGCATCCGGCGGAGGAGGCATGCGCAAGCGCCCGGCGAAGAAGAAGAAGACATACAAGATGTTCCGCTCCTACGACCTATCGCAGATAGAACAATACTCTCTCTGCGATGCCATGCGGCAAGCTTATCCTGAAGCCCTCCTGCCAGCGCCAACGCTAATTGTTCAAGTCAGATATCTGCGAGCCATCGAAGTCGGCCGCCCGCCTGCCTCGGTAAAATACGACCTCGCTATCAAGATCAAGACGCACAAGAACGGGCCCGTCCTACGCAACAGCATCCGTCTCCCTTTCCCTGTCAAGACCGATACGCGCATCGGCGTCATTTGTCCCGAGGATAGCCCTCTCATGGTCGAAGCGCAGCAGCTCGGTGCCGTGGCGGTGGGGCAAGAAAGCCTATTCGAGAGCATCCGCGAAGGCAATATCCCCTTCAATAAATTGATCTGCCACGTCGACAGCCAGGAAGCCTTGAAGCAGGCGAATCTCGGCAAAATCCTCGGTCCCAAGGGTCTAATGCCCAACCCGAAAACAAAGACGATCACAAACGACCTGAAGGCAACGGTGCAGGAGCTCATCGGCGCAGACGAGTACAGGGAACGGGGCGGTGTGGTGAGAATCGCGGTCGGCCAGTTGGGTTTCACGCCCAAGATGCTGTCTGAAAACATCAGAGCGCTGATGTCGTTGGTGAAGACGGACATCAGCAACGCCGACGAGAACCATCCCAAGGCGCTGGACGAAGTCGTGCTGAGCTCCACCAACGGGCCCGGATTCAGCTTGAACGGCACTTTCCACTCGACGGATGAGAAGGTGAAGCCCGAGGACCTGCAATCAGTCATGTAGGCTCATTGTAACAACGCTGTATGCCAATGTACTATAATCATGAAGCCAAGAGCGTCGGTGTTGGATATTTGTTTGGGGTATCTAGGACGGATAGCAATGCTCGTGATGCACCTCTTATTTTTCCTTCAGCACTTTGACCGCCTCGGCTTGGGCATCAAGACTCCTGTATATCCCGAGGTATTGGATGACGCGCCCTTGGCCTTTGGGTCCGGCTTTGCGAGCTTCCTTCAACGCTGTGCTCAAGTCGAGCAATATTGTGTTCCGACATCGCGACATCCTCCCCTCGGTCTTCTTCACAAACGGCAGATCTCGGCCGACGGAGTCTGCGATGCGTTCAGCAACGGAGTACTCCCTTACCAGCCCAGCCAATTTCGAAGGGCTGCTGCTGAGAAACCCGAGCTCCTCCTCTTCTCCTTCATCCTCTTCATCACTCTCCGCAAAGTTGAAATTATCCCCCCAATCCTCCTCTGCCTCATTGCCGTTCCCGACATCTTTCCGTTCCCTCTTCACTAGGTCACCAACCGCTAACCTCTCCTCCAACCCGGCAACCCTCTCCTCCAGTTCCAACATTTTCCTCCCGAGCTCCACTGCCTCCTTCACACGCGCCAACTCGGCATTCACCCTACCCACCTCCATCCTCCGCTCCCGTACCCTCCCCTGCATTTCCTCGACCGCCCGCCGAAACCCCAGCAGCGCAACCCGGACATCCTCCACCCGTTCTTCCCCGCCCTTCAGTTCGTCGCCCAAGCTCAAAAAGGCAGTGTAGTTCGCATTGACCAACTCCAGCAACTCGGCGCTGATGGCGGCGCTGCGGTCGCGAAGCTCCGAGCGCAGGTCCTCGAGGGTCTGGTGTCGCGACGCTGGCCCGCCGGTGTGGAGTGCTGAGAGGTAGGCTGCTGCGTCGAAGTCGGGGGCGAGGAAATCCAATCGGGAGAGGGCGGCGGGGAAGGGGAGGGGACCAGTGCCATCGTCTGGTTCGGAACCCGAGTCCGAAGGAGAGGAGCGGAGGTGCGAGTTGGAGTGGCTGTAGGCTTGCGAGTAGGAGGAGGGCGGTCGCGAGGGTGGGGAGGTGACGCTGAGTTGTGCCATTGTGTTGCGCGGATATGGTGCGGTGGTTCGCGGTCCACTGTGTATGAAGGAGGATTGCCTGGTAAACGATGGTCCGTCAAAGTGCTGTGATGCTGTGGCGCATGTGGCTTTTATGTCAAAAGAGCTCCTGACATTCCCACGGAACATTAGTTGCATCTTGGTAGCAGGCCTGCTTGGCGCTGTATGGCCCGTGCGTGACTGCCGAAGCTCTCTTGCCCGGCACTTCTGTTGAACTCAAGTTGAGATTTTCCCAGGATTCTCTTCTCCGACACATGGTTTAAGTGAACATCAACTTACCCTCGTCGCTATCCGCATCGCCAAAGCGATTGTAGAGCCTTGACAAACGGTGAAGGTGTGCCTACATGATTCACAATGGGAACCGGGGTTGATGCAGCAGGAGTTTTTTAGTGGACTTGTATCCGTACCTTGGACAGCTCACGACGACACCAACCGCGCTTGCTATTGGAATGCATTGGACCGGTCACTGTATCACATGCCCTCAGCCCAGCCCACGGCGGCAGATATCAGACTGCCCCGAACATGAATCTCCGGTTCCGGGTCTCTCCGGCATCGCATGCGCTGGTCGCAGGGCCAGGAAGGCACCTGAACAGCGCACATTAAAAGTGTGGGCTCTAAGGAGGCTGGTTGTAGGCAATCAATCGCTTCATCCGTGAATCCGCTGGGCCCTACTTATCGAGCAACGGTACACACCTCACGTTCTCTGTGTGCTTTCTCCGGAGAGCACAGCTGCTGCTTTTATTTGCATCTCCGATGCAGGAGGGATGCGAATGGATGACCCCCATCAAATCCACCAGACCCTTTTTGGCGTAGTGTAGCGTCAGAATTATCTTATCAATCAGTCTCGATCAGGATCTCCATCTCCAATTCCATTCTTGTCGAATCATCTCAGCGGACGTGCGCTCGGTACACTGCCCTGGAGCTCCCGATTTCGCTGACGGAAATTCCCTCGTTAATCCTCGGTCGGAGCAAGGAGACGAATTTTCTCTCCTCTGGTTTCCAACGGGACAGATCGCCAGCTTCGCACCTCCTTCGACTTCTCGAGTCATAGTTCCGAGTTCGACAAAAGATCAGTTCCAGTACGACGAGGCTCAAACTCCTGAGCAACACTACACTTACCTGAGTTCTGGGCAACCGAGTGTTTTCCGCGGCTTCCAGCGGTTCCCGAGGTGCGGGGCTCCTCGCTTTCCCCAGACAGAGCAGCCGCCTGCACGTCGCGACCATTTCAGGTATCTCAGCACCCGACTGATAAATTTTCGACGTTAGCGCCCTCCTATTCTCAACATAGGCGCTGCATGACTTTGGTTCATCGTCTACCCCGGCGTCGACGAGCGCTTTCGAAGGGCCGGGACAACCTGGAAGTTTTGCAGCATTAAGCTGGGAGTTGTGCTGCGACGACTTGCAGCTGATCATTCAAGCCAGCAGCATGGCGGCTGTCGTGACCGTCGCACCGAACTCAGGCCTGAATGCTCAGAAGGCAGATATAGACCCATCAAGAGCGCTGTCCCTCACAACCTCGGTCAACCGTGACTCACCAAGTTCTGTCTCCAGCCCCGCTTCAGCAGCCTCCCCGTCCACCGTCTCCACCCCCATATCTGCCTTGTCAACGGGACCCCCAATCGCGATCCGGCCGAGCACATCGAACAAACCACCTCCGATCAAGCCTTCTGCTGCGGTGAGCAGAAGGGCTGGATCAACCCTCATGTCTTCGGCATCAACCCCACAGCACATGACCTTGAGCATGACCAGCAAGGAGTGGGTCATACCCCCTCGGCCGAAACCTGGCCGTAAGCCTGCCACCGACACGCCGCCAACCAAGCGCAAGGCCCAGAACCGAGCTGCCCAGAGAGCGTTCCGGGAACGCAGGGCAGCCCGCGTTGGAGAGCTGGAGGAGCAACTTGAGGAGGAGAAGGCTACCCATGAGCGGACAGTCAGTGGATTGCAGGAACGTATCACGCACCTGGAGGTTGAGACCGAAAACCTCCGCTCAAGATGCCAATGGTTGGAGTCTTTGCTCGAGAAGGAGCGGCAGAACCGTAGTAACATGACAGGAAAACGGGACGACTCACAGCAGCAGATCATATCAAGCAACAGCAACCCGGTGTCACCGCACACCCAAGGACAACCAGGCCAAGTTGACCGATCACACGCTATGCTGTCGCTGCAGCCGGCGCCACCTCCAAATATCTCATCGCGATCGATCCATATTGCCGAACCTCGGCCACTGGCACAACCATTCTCCATCTCACAAATAGTATCGCCTCTGGAGGGAGCCACGCCGGTCAATCTCGGCTGCGGCAACTGCCAGGCCAACAGCTCCTGCGCATGCGCAGATGAGGTTCTACGAACCGCGGATATGGCGGTTGGATGCGGGAAGTGCTCACTTGGCACCAGGTGTGAGTGTCTCGAGGAGACTCTGGGAATGCCCATAGCTGTTGCAGATCTGAAGCGGCCGCTTCCGCCAAGCTCGTCACCGTCACCGTCCCCGGATGAAAAGCGACAACGCTCTGACGCGGGCATCATCATGGAAACCGACTTCACTGCGATCTATTCCACTCAAAGCCACAAAGAGGCGGCACAGCCACATCTACAGCCCCTGACGTCGATAGAGCCTAGAGACTCGTGCGGGTTCTGCAAAGACGGAACTTACTGCGTATGCGCCGACTCCATGTTGACGTCTGCCTCAATGCTGCCACCTCCAAGCCAGCAGATGGCGGGACACACCCAGGAACACACCCCGCCCCCGTCCGAGGATGACGTGGTCGTGCCTTTAGCCATGGAAGTGACGGCTACGGGGGCTATCAAGCTTCCTAGGCTGCGTACCCTTCAGCAGAGAGAAACTGCCAAACCTGCCACAAAATTCGGAGGGTGTGGACCCAACGGCCCCGGCACATGTGCTCAATGTCTTGCCGACCCCAAATCCGGCCTCTTTTGCCGCTCCCTGGCAGCCAATTTTCAGAAAAACAATTCGGGCAGCGGCGGTGGATGCTGCGGAAACAGCGGTCCAGGAGGCTGCTGCAAGGCCGGACAATCACAGCAAGATGCCGACCCTCCGCTTGCTGCAGCCCCTGCGGCCGCGAGGCCGACCAACACCATGACCAGTACCGGTGGCCCCAGCATCGGGTTTGGCCTCAGTCTATCCTGCGCCGACGCCTACAAGACTTTGTCCAGTCACCGGCACTTTGAAGAAGCAGCTGATGACATCGGATCATGGCTGCCGAAGCTCAAGGCATTGCCTGTCCCCCGGCCCGGCCCCGTAGGCGGCCGCGGTCGACATGGGCGGGCACCAATCGAGGTTGAGGCTGCGAGCATCATGAGCGTGCTAAAGGACTTCGATGTCAGGTTTGGCAGGGGTGAGTGATAAGTTCTTAGGTGCTTCCCCGCGTGCCCCTGGCCTCGAGGAGAGGGGCGCCTGCCGGGAAGGGGCCCGAGTGATCCGGTGCAGGACGGGAAAGTCATGTGCTTTGCTATCTTGGTTTTTGCTCGGATGTGCACCAAGGAGACGGAGGAGGGGGCGGCAGTGGAATGAAGGTCCATGCGGCCACTCATGCGGCCCGACGCAACAAACTCATGTCGATCCCGCTTCCGTCACGATTGTTCCCGTTCTTGGCGTTTAGAAATGACGGATATCTCTTGCAGGTTCAGCCGGTAGGATCAGCTGGGATTGGAGGAGAGGTAGCGATTCTAGAGGAGTTCAAACAGCAGGAGGGGCCGGATGGTTGTCCTTGTATTGTGGGAGTACTGTGTAGGTACATACATTTTCTTGACGAGGTTGCTTACATCGGCTTATCTGTCTTTTCGAGCCGGAAATCCAGAAGCAATGAAAGTCATGAAGTATAACCTCATCTGCATTTGTCGAGACTTTCATGTTGCTGCAGATGCATGTAGCCTGAGCGGATCACACAAGCTGCATTTCCATATTGATTACGAAGGCATGCACGCTGCAGAATGCTGACAAGGGTACTATCATCAGATTCTCGTGTACTGGGTAGTACGCTGCGTTGGGTCAGACCTGTATGATCAAACGACAAGGCCGGGAGTGAGGAAATCTGACATATGGATACGGTAAATAAACAATTCCTGATGCAGTCGACCAACGCGAAATCACACGTGTCACTCAGGTAGTATCCTGGGTGGCGTTGAGGCTGTCAGATACATACATCGGCGGGACTGTCCACAAAGTTTAGTCACTGTCTCCACCAAGAACGGGCTGCTTCAAGGTCCGGGACTCTCACCTCTGAAAAGGATGGCTGGACGGTGAGTGCAACGCAGCTGACTCCAGTACAGCCCGTCCACCGCGGCGCCACTGCAGCATGGAAGAGAATCGAGAGCCAGGAACCAATGGCAAGCCAGACCCAACTTGGTTCAGAAGCTCTCCTGCGACAGCCGAGGGCCAAGATGTGCATCATCGCTCCAACCAGGGGTGTTGGAGAAAAGATCACTGCGAGATCTCGGCCGTTGGCAATCGACAGCTCAGCGAAGGTCGCACAGCGCCCGCCCAACGGCCCCAGTCTGCCTTGCTGGCCGGATGAGATCACCGCCCGAGAATCTCTGTCCGGAACCCGGCACCCGACTGGCTTCAGGCTGAGTCGACACAACGCAGGAGAAGACGGCAACAGACATGGACTGTTAAGATGAACGAATTTGTTACCCCTGGGATCTGCGAAATCCAACGCCAACATGCAGCGGGCGACCCTTGCCTGCGGCAAGAAGTTAGCAAGCAAGGCCAGAGCGGGGTGGCGGCACTTGATTGGCGAGGGATCAGTGAGCTGGCATAACAGCCCGCACAAGAGCTAGGCTTGACGATGCAGGCCGGTTCCGTCCTTATGGTCTTGGGGTCGTGGAGGCCACACATTGGACGGCGTCAGGCATGTCCTGCCGTGCCAACTAAATCCCTGGACTGAGCAAGGCAAGGCGGGGCAACAGATGCAAGGCCAGCGCAGCGGGGCTGTGGTCTGAAATTCAACCAAACCTGCCACTTTCAGAGCAAAGAACCGAGACAGAAAGGAGTCGAGATGCTGAGGTCGGCAAAGGCGATATTTGATGACGACAATGCATACTGGTCCTGTGATCCAGTCATGCTTTGCCAATTTTAGGTGGGCGCTGTGGTCAGGTCGTTTGCCAGCCAGGCTTGCTGAGCTGGCAACTTGTGGCCCTTCCAGTGCGGAAACGGTGGTTGGATTCAAAGACTGTAGCATAAGGCGATTGCTCGAAGTGTACGAGGCCATAACAAACGAACGAAAGAGGGGAGATGTCGGAGAAGCTGCTTGACCAAATTCAAGAGAAGTAAGTCGAACAGAAAAGCAAAAGCATGTGATCGCAAGCTGCGTTGGCTTCCATGGTTCTTCCACATAGGGACGAGCCATGGCTGCTTTGCGACGGAGATCTGAGGGAGCTTCAATGTACGGTGCTGCGGCTTACCGAACAACTCATTTGCGAGTCTCTGCCACAATTTGTTGTCCAAGCTAACCCGAGTCCAAGACAATGTGGTGACAAGGATTCGGGCGTGCTGTGGCAGATGAAGTCCAGGATGGTGATTTGTCCCACTCTCCCGATTAGGATTAGCTAGAATCAGTTAGCGGCCGGGTGGCTACCCCACGCTGCCGTTGCCCTCAAATGGGCATCAACACGGAGCAGCGCATGTTCCCAGGTTGCGAAGGTGTGCGAGCTGCGAGAAGACACGCTCTGTTATCTCCTGCTTCCGTCATCCCGTCAAGCGCCTACCTCACGGCGGCCGGAAACGTCACTCCAGGACCTGACGGCTCTCAGACCGACGCTTCACCGCTATCGCCGCTCCCTTTCGCCCCAGGGTGCCCAACGATGTCCTCGCGAGACACCTGAGTCTAGGACATTGGTCGCAAGCCGGCTGGCGCCGACGCTTCCACATCGCCGCACTCGCGTGGCCTTCCGACAAACACCCGCGCAAGAGTCCGCTCTGCCCAAGCCGTCGTTGATAGACACTGCTTACCTGTTGCGTATCAGCCCGCCGTTCCCAAGTCTACGATCCCTCCCAGATCTAAAGGACTCTTCTATCGAGTGCACATGGGCGATCGCTGTCGCCCGCTCGATTCCCCTCATGGGCCCATTATGATATCCATGCAGCGCTCCCTCTCGTCGCCCGTCGCAATTCACCCGTCGCCTCGTATGTTGGGAGCAGACGATGTGGAGAACCCAGATGTCGTCTCATTGCTGACATGTCTTCCCGCAACCGCAGCCCCCGACATCCCGGTTTCGAGGTCGCCGACCCCATCCCCGTCTGATAGCCATGTCGAGGCTTCACGCGCTCGGCGACTAAGGTCGAGGAGCCCGCCTCGTGTGACAAACGACTTCGTGACTGCCACTGGGCGCCGCAACGATGACCTTCCCCGACACCCTTCGGTCCTCCACATCCCGAGTTCGAATTCAGCCCGGACGAAGCCCATAATCGACCAACAGAGCACTCAGTCGACCGCAGCAGGCCCACGCGACTCCTCTGACAGCCTCGAGACCACTGGACTCCCTCCAGCCTTGCCGGACGATAGCCGTGGCAACCTGAAGTTCTTGCGCCCTCTGTTAGCCGACGTGTCACTGTACACGAACCATAATCTCGGCCCAGAGAAAGAGGGAACAAGCCTGGAGGAGCTTGCGCACCTTGTGCGCTTGTCCAAATACCAAGAGCGCAAGCGCGCAAACACTAGGATCCGCCTCCAGAGGAGTCTGGTGTCCACCGCCCTGTCTGCACGATTGATGAGATGCGGTGAGATGGCATATCGGAACCTGGTTGATGGTTTTCGCGGAGATGACAAGAAGACCTTTGCCGCCCTCTACAACGCTGTCATCGATGTTCGGAGGAGTTGCGACGAGACGCGCCGTTATGCGCTGCTGGAGTCAGAGATGGAACTCTTGCAGCCGCCGGGCCTCGTCTCGTCCGAGAGCCTGGAAACTCCCACGGGATCAGTTAGCGGCGCAAATGTATCTCCCAACGCTGCTGTGACGCACTTCTTCAACGAGATCTCTGCCTCAGCCCGGGAGACCTTTCTGAACTTCCTCACTCATATTCGAACTAACCCAGACTATCTGGCCACGCGCATCGCATCCCTGAGGAACTCGGAACTCGCCGCACTCACAAGCTTTCACCAGACCCTCGAGCCAATTGAATCTGTCCTCCCTTACCACAGCCGGTCACCGGCCCGCGGCAGCTCCGCGAATCCCACCTTCTCTGGATCGGGCGGAGCCGGGGGAGCAGGAAAGGAACGCAGCGCGATTGAGAGGCTGCTCTCTTTTCAACGCCATGATCCCATATCGGCCCTGATATACACCTGCTTTGCTAACTCGGCAGGGCCCGACAGTGCCGAGGACAAGCGTCGGACCATGGCCTGGGCCAACGCTTGCGCTCGCCTGATTTCCGCGCAGACAACGGGCAGCGAGCAGACCGTCATTTCCGTGCTGAATATCTGGGTATCGATGCGTGACTGGGCCGGAAAATCCAACATGGAATGGTACCTTATGAAGATCCTCGAGGACGGAGCCTTTCTGCTTGACCGCGCCGAGGACCAGCACGGGACCCGCTTCAACCTTTCGGATTGGTCGACCAAAGACCAGATCGCAGCAGACGAGTTCTACACCAAAGCCGTCGACGAACTTTTTGAGGTCATTGACGATGAGGACTCCACGGGCATTCCGGAGGGCCTGCTGGAACTTGGAAATGAGATCCTCAAACGTCTGGACAAAAAATACGCCGAGAGAACCCGCTTGTGGCTTGTTTCAAAGTACCTGTTCACCGTCTGGCTGCTTGGGGTTGTGATCCATCCAGAGACGTACGGCATGATGGCTGAATACCACATCACCGAATATGGCCGCCAAAAAATCCTGAAAACCGTGGCAATGCAAGCTCAGAAGTATGTTGTTGACATGCTGCACAGCAAGACTCCAGTCTCAACGCCACCCAAGGTCAAAGGCCACGTTCAGAACATATATAGCCGCTTCAAGGACCCTTCCGGATACCGGAAGAAGCCCAGGCTCCTCCCAGCGAGGTCCATCACTTCATTGAGGGAGACGGCCGAGGTTCGACCCTACTTGGTGATCAGCCCAGCGGACCTTGCCACGTTGGTGAACGCCCTCTTCCCTGAACGCAGGCCGCGGTCGGCACACTCTAGCGGCGTACGGTCTGGTGCACCCTCCCTCTCTGGATTCTCCAGCGTCTCACAGCCAATGTCTATCAGGACCGCGCCAAGCACTTTTGATACCATGTCCGTCCTCAGTACGAGCGCAGAGTCGTCCTTTAGCGACGCCACAACGTCCAGGGAGCCGCTTTTGGAGGAAGAGAGCCCACGCCATTATTCCCCGCCCGCCCAAAAACCCGTTGCGCTGAAGCCAAATACCTACGAAGAGGACGGATACCGGCTACGGTTGGCGATGCACGAAATGACCCAGACCCTGGGCCAGGATATCGTGTACGGCCTGTGTCACCCGTGCGCGGAGCGGTGGGCCGTGCTGTTCATTTCTCCCGATGGGAACAAGCTGTCCACCCAAATGACGTTTGATCCGGACGATGAGACGGAAAACGATGAGAATTCTTCGGATAACAGTGAGACTGAGGGCGAGGACACTGACGATGGGCGCCCGGAGCTCGACAAGGATTACCACCAGCTGCGCGACTCCATCCTGAAGCTCGTCCAGGAGTACGAGATACCCCAAAGCCTGGAGAACGACGGGACCAAGCAGCAAACCTTCAGCAACCGCGCATCGACCCTCAAGAAGTATCGACACAAAAATCGCATCATCACCACCATGGGAAGCCGGAATCCGTACCGCCAAAGAGCTGCAAGCATTGCGAGTAGCATCGCGGAGAGCCCCACCGAAGGTGCCAAAGGGAAAGAGGTAGTAGACCAGGCTGTGGAGAGCTCTTCTCCGCTCATCACCATGTTGACCGCAGCCTGCTCCCAGTCTCGAGCCCAGTCTGACTTTGTTTCCGCACACCTTTACTGGAGGACTCTGCAGCAACTCAACGCCCTGACTTCGGAGTCCCTGCGTCGCGAAGGTTTCTCTGCTTTGCTGAGTATCTTCTCTCGCGGCCCGCGCGACTCGATCCGCAGTTCCGCGGCCGCGATTGAGGAATACGATGCCTGGCTGATTTGGCTCAAGCAAAGCCAAGAGCGGGCAGAGGGCCAGATCGAGAGCATGATGCGCCGCCTGCGAGCCCTGCGTGACAAGATGTGGTATGTCACCGATGTTCGCAATTCGGCACCATACGAAGACTCGCGCAATGTGGCGGCGGCTCTCAAAACGATGGGTGCGCCTCGGCGGTGGTCCTCATTTCAGCGCATCAAGAGCCACATGCAAAGGGGGCCCGCATCGAATTACATCTTCAAAACGGAATCACAGATACTCGATCTCCTGGCAGCGCCCGAGGACCAGGGCGGTCCCAACAAGCTTCGCGATGAACAGGCAGAGAAGACCGCGCGTTGGTTGCAGCAATACGGGGTGGAAAATTTCTGCCAAGGCGAGGAGCGCATCCACCGCTTCTGCTGTGAGGTGGACAACTGTGTCAGTAAACTCGTCGGCGACAGCATAATCGATGGCCCTGTGCTGTGGTCGAGCGAGCTCTTTTCTCGAGATCGGCAGGCTTTCGAGACCAACAAGACCCCGCGAGACCGAGACAGAGACCGCGACAACCAGTCGGTCTGGGATGACTCTATCAGCGTCGTCAGCGATCCCGACCGGAGGTTTGTGTCCGTCAGTCGTCCAGCTTCGGTCAATAGCCGGGACTTGCGGACCTTATCCGGTCACAACGTGAGTCAGATGTCTCTTGACTCGAGTCGCTTCAGCTTTTCACGTGCCAGCACCGCCATGTCGGAGGTTCTGGATGGGTCAGAATATTTTGGCGCCTCATCGCCGGTTCACCAAATTGACTACAACGCCACGTTTTGGTCGCCGTTCCAGAACCGGGCCGCTTCTCCCAGTGCCACTTCCCGAGCGCATTCGCCAACAACCAGCCTGACCAACCTGTCAGGCTCGTTTCATCCGCCGCATCACCAACAGCTGCCGTCGCAGTCTCAGCAGTCAACCGGCCGCCCAGGCACATCAGCGTCGTCCAACGAGACTGTGTACCAGCAACGGCTTTCGGACGAGAAATCTCGCTTCCTCGCCGATTTGAGGCAGACCCTGACCAGCCTTCTCCTCTCTGACCTAGGTAACCTTGTTTTTGCCCGCGGATCAGAAACGGACGCGTGGTTCGAGGGCCTAGGTCAGGAGTGCATCGACCGTCGAGAGGCCATTCAGCGCCGTACGCGTAAAGCTTTGGCCAAGGATAAGCGCAGGTCTGTCAAGTCCGGCCTTAACCAAAGGTCTCTCGAAAACAACCGAAGCTTTGGCGATAGTCGCGGGACAACTGGCGATGACGCGTTGAGCGACAGAGCCCTTTCGGACACGCAGAGTATTGGGCCGGATGTGGCTGGCGGCAGCCAGCGGGGTAGCCAGCATGGGAGCATACACGGAGGTAGCATCCATGGCAACGAGAGCTCCGTGACAAGCGACACCATCTCCGCCCGGAGATCCAACAAGGAACCGAGAAAAGAGTCCATGCCTGACTTCCCGTTCACCAAGGCCTACCAGCGACTTCTGAAAATGTTCTGCGTTCACCCAAATCCATACGTCAAACTGAACGCTCTCTTTGAGCTCGAGCATCTGATCGTCGCCTCTCTGAACTCGGGCTCCCGGCGGGCTCGTTTGGCGTGGGCGCGCTCTGAGCTGGGCTCGGCGTCCTCTGCCACCGAGGAGCACGGGGTTGGCGCCGTGGGAGGTCGATCCCAGCCGCTGGAGGAGACGATCGACAACGTTAAAGAACGCCGTTCACAAACCCTTATGCAAGCACCCAACTTCGGTTCAGGCGGTCACGCACAGGCAGGGCGGGTTTCGGGCGGGGGAGGGAACACCGAAGCCCGCTCGGTGGTATCCGTCTACCCAGCGAACACGGATGCCATCGCCAACATCCTGCGGAGTCTCTTCCGTGACCCCTCCCTCCGTCCCAAAACACTGTTCCGCGATCTCCAATTCATATCGGCCTTTGTCCCCGCCACCGTTCTCGACAAGACCGAGCGAGGCAAAGCCTTCTGGGACGCCAGCATCGCCGCACTAAGCCTGAAACAAGATGTCTGCCGCACCATGGTCGAAGTAGCCGACGAAATCGTCAAGAACTACACCCAATCGCGCAACGGTACCTCCTCGGCCGTTGTCGGCAAGGCGCCGAGCAGCACCGCGTCAGACTCGGCAGCCGAACAACCACCTTTATCCCCGCCTACTTCACCGCCCTCTCCCCTGCCGCTGTCAACGCACTCGCTCGCCGACGCCGCCCGCATGTGGACCATCACGGCCAAGGAAGGGGATCCTACCGCCCAGCGCGAGCTGGCCATCTTTTACCTGTCTAACCCGGAGCTGGTGCAGCGCACCACGCTGCCGCTTTCCAAGCCGCGGGAGGTGTTTAAACAGGCGGTTATTGAGAAGTACGGGGGAAGCGGCAGCGGGAGCCGGTCGGGCGGGCTGGTTGGGTCTGGGTCTAGGTATCAGCATCATCATGGGCATGGGCATTTGGGAGGTGGCCCGGGCCGGATGATGGCGCAGGGCTCTGTGGGTGGGACCGGGGCTGGACAAGCTGGGATTGCGGGGAGTGGTGTCGGTGGAGGCGGTGGTGGAGGTTCTGGGGCCGTGAAGGAGGATGCTGCTGGGTTGGGGGATGTCAGGAGTGACCCGGCGTTGATGTGCGTCGCTATCCATTGGATGGAGGCTGCGGAGAGAGGGGGGGATGAGCTGGCGAGGACGTTCATGGCGCAGAACGAGATTGGGGCCGGGTTGATGGGATGATGTGCCGATGGGGTGCTCGTTGGGTTTGGTTGGAGGGAAAGGGATGCCGGGGATATGTTGGGTTACATCTGGTCGTTGTTTGCCTGTGTTGTAGGATGATACCTGGTGCATTTGTCGGGCTGGGTTGCAGGGCAGCTCCTGGTTCACATTCATTCTCTCTATCTTTCCTCTTGCCTCTTGATGAGATGTTGTTCACACAGGTTCGCGTCCTGTTTCAAGTGTGCCTGACAATACTTGACGGCCAGAGGGCGCGCTCTGCGATCTGGCATGGTTCGTATCTGCCCCATGGCTTGGTGGTTCTGCTGGGATTCTCTGATTAGACGGGTACTCAAGTAACTAAATTACTGCCAGTGCCCTCGTTGTTTTGTCGTTCAGTCTAGTGCGAAACTCTAATCCCAGTTACCCGGCCATGCTTCTCTAGCAGTTTTTCTTTCTTGTTTCGTTTTTCCCCTTTACCTTTTGCCCTTTTCCATTCTAGTGTTTTGGACTTGAACGCACCAGGCGGAGAAGACGGAGATGGTTCCACTGACTGACGAGCAACAGGAACCTTTCCAGCCCCGCCAGAACAATAAGTTCCCAACCAATTGATTCCTGACATCGCAGGCTGTACACTTAGAACCTGGAGAGCAGAGGGCCTTACCATCCAACGCTGATTTGTTTCCACCTCCCGCAGGCTGTGGTCCTGACCCGCCTCCAGCTGATGCGCCTTCTGCCATGACCGGCCCTGGGGTAAGACGCAGGGCCCTCGGCGAACGAACGGCACCAGCACGCCCTCGACAAAATCGACGCAAGCCCTAAACACTTCCTTCTCCATGTCACTACTTGAGTAGTGATCACAGCGAAAAAAGAAAAACGGACGTTGCGTAGACATCAAAAATTACGGTTCCGACGGCCCCGAAGGACAATCGAGAGTGACGGGCTCCACCGATGTGCAATGGCAGGCTATCACTCTGGTGCCCCTGCTTCTTGATCCAGATGCACCCAACCAAGGTAAGTATGAAGAAGAAAAGGAAAAGAAGTTCGGAAGAAACTGGCAACCAGGTGGAAAGTTATAGGCGAAAACTGTGGAGTGGTCTGTGCGCGGAAGCAGCCGGAACTCGGCAACAATTGGATTCCGATGTGGCCCCGCCATTGGTCGCCATTGGCGGTCTAGGTGGTCAAGATGCCCCTCAATTTGAGTCATCTGTGAGTGGCAGGATCGGTTTATGGTCGGGGTTTTGGGCAGTAACAAAATCCAAAAACGCAGATACTTTGGTTACAAGCTGTCCCGGGGCTGCACCACGCCAATTCGTTCCAGCGCGACTTGATATCCGACAGTCGGCAACGAGATGCCGACCATCAACGTCGACAAGTATGCCCTGTTCGAGGAGCTCGGCGAACAGTAAGACATAACAGCTACCCCGCCAGATCTGGTCAGGATGCATCGCACGATGCATTCTTACCCACCATGGCGTCCGCAGTCTGACGGGACGGCAACTGCACAGGTTCACCGAGGAGAGCTTCCAACAACTATGCTTTGAGTTCGGCATCGAGCTCGACAAGGACACTGAAAACGACCCGTCGCGGCCCAAAGACCAGGCCCCGGAGCTGGCCATCGAGATACCCGCCAATCGCTATGACATGCTGTGCTTCGAGGGTAGGTATATTCCTGGCATCATGGCACCCAGGGGCAGAATACTGAGAGCCTCTAGGCATTGCAATGCACCTGAATATCTTCCGGGGCAAGCATGCGACACCGAACTGGAGACTGGTCGACATTCCGGAGGACAAGATGCAGACCCTCACTATCACAGAAGACACCGCGCAGGTTCGGCCTTATGCTGCCGGCGCAATCCTCCGCAATATCAAGTTCACCTCCGCTTCCTACGAGTCCTTCATCAGCCTCCAGGACAAGCTCCACCAGAACCTTGCCAGGCAGCGTACTCTGGTTGCGTGAGTGCTCGCAGTCGTATGGTTTCTCTGGTGGCCGAATTGCTGATAGTTGATGGACAGGATTGGAACCCACGACCTCGATACCATTAAGGGGCCCTTCACATATGAGGCCCTGCCTCCAAAAGAAATCAACTTCGTTCCGCTTAACCAGACTAAGCAGATCAACGGCGGGGAGCTGATGGGTTTCTACGAAACGGACAGGCATCTGGGGAGATATTTGCACATTCTGCGTGACAAACCCCTTTACCCGGTGATTCTCGACGCCGAAAGGAACGTTTGCTCGCTACCCCCTATCATCAACAGCGAGCGCTCCAAGATTACGCTTGAGACAAAGAACGTCTTCATCGACATGACGGCGACAGACCAGACCAAGCTAGACATTGTCTGCAACATCATGGTCGCCATGTTCTCCAAGTACTGCGCCGAGCCTTTCACCGTCGAGCCGGTCAAGGTCATTTCGGAGCACAACAGCACGACTCGAGTCACTCCCAACTTGGCCACGCGGACCATGGATGTTGAGGTTGATTACTTGAACCAGGTCTGCGGCCTCACGGAATCCCCCGAGTCGATCTGCAAGCTCCTGAGCAAAATGGCATATACCGCCCAGCCCTCGGAGAACCCGAAACTCATCAAAGTTACGGTCCCGCCAACAAGAGCTGATGTTCTGCATCCGTGTGACGTGGTAGGTTGAGGTGTTTCTTGCTTGCCTCTCGAGTTGGCTGACGACGTCCTAGATGGAGGATCTTGCGATCGCGTACGGCTTCAATGACCTTCCACGCTCATCGCCAAACAGATCAGTCACGATTGGCAAGCCGCTGATGATCAACAAGCTCAGCGACATTGTGCGCCACGAATGCGCCATGGCGGGTTGGGCTGAGGTCATGCCACTGGTTCTCTGCTCGCGGGAGGAGAACTTTGACTGGTTGAACCGCAAGGACGACAGCAAGACGGCGGTCAAGCTTGCCAACCCGAAGACGGTTGAGTACCAAGTCGTGCGGACATCACTGCTCCCTGGTCTTCTCAAGACGTTGAGTGAGAATAAGGCGATGCGCCTTCCCCTGATGATCTTTGAAGCCTCCGATGTCGTCTTCAAGGACGAGTCGGTCGAGCGCCGAGCGAGGAACGAACGTCACTGGGCCGCTGCATACTATGGCAAGAACAGCGGTTTTGAGGTTGTTCACGGTCTCTTGGACCGCGTTATGACGATGCTGCGCGTTGCCTTTGTCACGCACGAGGAGGGACTCTCGGGGAAGAGCATCGACTTTAAGGTCACGGAGAACCCAAGTCAACAGGACGGCTACTTCATCAAGGAGATTGACGAGCCCACCTTCTTCAACGGGCGTGCTGCTGCCATCTACGTGCGGCTGGGAGGCAAGCTGCAGCGGATTGGTGAGCTCGGTGTCTTGCATCCTACTGTGCTGGAAAAGTTTGATCTGAGGTAAGCCCGCGTCACTTCGAAACCTCCAGCTCCAGAGTCTGTCCGTATTAATCATTCCAGGTACCCGGTGAGCACACTGGAGATTAACCTCGAGGTCTTCTTATGATGAACGCGCTTGGAGCCGTAGATGTCTAGATCCGATTGGAAGACGGCGTTCTGACGAATAGAGCTGCGTTGAGCCACATCATAGTTCACTCGAGTGTAGTTGTCGCAAGTTACCGTTTGGTTTTGCAACTTCGGATGGTTTGTGGACGGACCGCAACAACCAACGCGAAGCAGCTTCTTTCCCCTGCCTTCCCATCTCAACATGTGCTACGTTTCGGATGTCGGATCCGCTGGATCGGACATTAGGGGAAGCGACGGGTTGAGCGGTTGCGTTAACGTTAATTATACGCTGCGCCGCCTCGTCAATCTGGTATGATGGCAGGAGTTGTTCACGGAAAAGGAAAAGAATTCAGCACCAACGGTGCCGGCTCCCTGGCTGTGGGATCAAGCAAGATTGATCTTTGTCCAACAAGGGCTGCAGCACGCTGAAATTGGAACTTAGGGGGCCGGCAATAAGAAACGGGCTCCGACCGGAGCTTGCTCCTTCTCACCTCCAACCAATCACAGGCGTCATCTGATCTGTTCGTTTTTTCAGGTTTTCGGGACCAGGACGACTGGGTAGCCACGTTGTCAGAAGTCAGAAGCTGACCATTCCATCTGTACGCAAGGACGGAGTACTCTGTACCCGAGGTCCGCTAACAGTCCAGTCCCCTCTGCTCTCGTTGGGAACCCGGTCTGACTCTTCCGTCGAACCGTAGAGGACTCGCGGAATTAGACGGAGCTTACTCCGTGGGAATTGCAGCGTTGTCGCAATGAACAAAGATGTCTTGCAAATAACTGGCTGGCAAAAAATCAGGCCCGGGCCGGACTTTGTCGGAGACTTTTGGCTGGATATCTCCGTGAACGCAGGCTGCTGAATAAACCTGGCCAGACTCCCTTGGCCCTTGTCTCATTCAGGCTAGGGCTGACGGGCTGCAACTCCCAACACGCCGGCACAGCACCCCTTACACCAAAGGAGATTTCCGAGCTTCGATAACCTTCTTTTCCGCCTGATCTGCTTCCAAATTCTAATTGGACCACAATGCCGTCAGCACGCACACGGAACGATAGCACGTCCGAGCCACCAGCCAGGCACTCGTACCACAGCAAATTACGCCCCAATCAGGGACCTGTAACGCAGAAAGTGACCGAGAGCAGTCAGCATGAACCATGGCACCTCAGTACCTCGGCCACATTGCCCCTACGATGGACAAGGTATTGTGCCGTGCCCCAGCTTCAGCACATTCCTCATTAGAATCGCTGAGCATGATTCATCAGCACAGAATGAGCTGGTCAGCCGGGGGGCCGGAGCTTACGACGCCGCTCCCTTAGCAGGGATGGATCGGGAGTGTGAGAATCGAGATGGAGTGTGGTGCATACATTATAAGAAGTCTGGACGCGTTCTGTCCTGTTCCTGCCACGCTCCCTTCCACCCCGTCACACAGCATTCATCTCTTTCGAGGCGTGTCTGCCACACCACTGAACAAGGATCTATTACCGACATCGACAACAACGCCATCCGCAAACAACTGCCAGACCATGACGTCGCCAAAGGCACTAGGACCCCGGTCCTCTGAGGCGACCCTTGCGGAAGCCACCCGGCCCAGCTCGAGTGAAGCACCAGCGTCGAACCTGAGCCCTCCCAAGACCGAGGCTTACCTGAGCGGCGAGAGTACCCGTGCGCCAACACCGACGGAGAAGGGGGACGAGAATGAGAAGGATCCAGAGAAAAGCGGCAGCGTCAAAGAGGAGGGTGCAGGGACGGATGAGATGGAGTATCCCACCGGGTTGGCGTTTAGCTTCATCGTTGTGGCCCTAGTGCTCAGCATCTTTCTGGTTTCGCTTGATATGGTATGCTCGTCCCTCCCTACTGATCCGGACCCGACTGCCATGGCCAAGCCAAGAGACTAACCAAGGACTCTAGACCATTGTTGCGACCGCTATCCCCAGGATCACAGACGAGTTTCAAGGTCTAGAAGACGTCGCCTGGTACGGTTCTGCCTTCTTTATGACCGTAGGTGGCTTCCAGTCGACATGGGGCAAAGTATTCAAGTACTTCCCCCTGAAGATCAGCTTCCTGATCGCCATCTTCATCTTCGAGGTGGGGAGCTTGATTTGCGGCGTTGCGCCCAACTCGACGGCCTTGATCGTGGGACGTGCCATCGCTGGTGTCGGCGCAGCTGGCATTGGTTCGGGGGCTTACACCATCATTGCTTTCACGGCACCCCCCAAGAAGCGACCCATGTTCACTGGCATCATCGGAACCGCATACGGCATCGCCGCCGTTGTCGGCCCCTTAATTGGCGGCGCCTTTTCTGACCACGTCACTTGGCGGTGGTGCTTCTACATCAACCTCCCCATTGGCGGCATCTCGGCCTTAATCATCACTTTTTTCTTCAAGGCCCCGAGCGGGGCCAAGCCGGTCGCGGCGCCCCTCAAGGAAAAGATCCTCCAAATGGACCCGGTTGGAACCGTGCTCGTCATGGGCGGTGTCATCTCGTACATCTTGGCTCTCCAATACGCCGGCCAGACAATGGCATGGAGCGACGCCACCGTCATCGGCCTGATCGTCGGTTTTGTCCTCATCTTCGCTGCCTTTGGCGCGTGGGAGTACTGGAACGGCGAGCGGTCCATGATTGTGCCCCGCCTCTTCTTCCACCGTGACGTCTGGGTGTCGTCCGTCTTCAGCTTCCTCTTCGCGGGTGCTTACTTCATCATCATCTACTATCTGCCCATCTACTTCCAGAGCATCGGCAACACGAGCCCGACGGAGTCTGGCGTGCGCAATCTGCCACTGATCCTCTCCGTCACCGTGGCCACTGTCGCCTCGGGCGTCGGCATTTCGATTACGGGCATCGCCGCCCCGGTGGCCGTCGGGGGTGCGGCTATTGCCACTATCGCCGCAGGCTTGCTCTACACACTCGACATCGACACCGACACGGGGAAGTGGGTAGGCTACCAGATCCTGGGCGGCTTCGCCTGGGGCGCTGCCTTCCAAGTCCCCATCATCATTGGGCAGGGCACGTCTGCGCCAGACGACATCTCGTCCGTCACGGCCATCATCCTTTGTAAGCTCCCCTCCTCCACCCTCACTGTCTCCCAAGCCAAAAAAAAAAAAAAAAAAAAAAAAAAAAAAAAGCTAACACAACATGACAACAGTCTTCCAAACAGTTGGCGGCGCCTTCCAGGTCTCGGCCGCACAATCGGCCTTTGTCAACACCATGCTCAACCGGCTGCCGACGGTGGCGCCCACGGTCAACCCGATGAAGGTGCTGGGCACCGGCGCGACCATGATCCGCGTCGTCTTCACGCCCGAGGAGGTGCCCGGCATCCTGGTGGCCTACATGGCGGGCATTAAGGTTGCGCTGGCGATTGCCATCGGCGCGGCTGGTGTCGCGTTTATGGTCAGCTTGTTTAGCAACTTCAGGCGGCTGAACACCGAGGCACTGAAGGGGGCTGGGTCGGCGGCGTAGATGGCGGTGTCATATAGAATGTGATTACGGGATTGGGGGTAACGGGTAAATAATTAGGGCATCGGTCGGGTTACTTGTTTGAACGTTTTCAGCAATGACTGGATCATTATGGTATAGACGGCTGCAGCGTTGTTCTCTCTTGAGCGTAGATGGGATTTGGGTGTTACATTATGACTGGGAAGTCAGGAGTCAGTATAGGAGCGTCCCAGCTGCGCGTCTTCAATCTACCCAAGCATCTCTTCTTTGCTTGAGCATATTTACTTTACCATCACCCCCCTGCAGCTCTCGAATTTGACGACAGCTTTTCCGATGACATTACGTTGCACAAGCAATTGATAACTTAGTGATTGCCTACAGTAGCTCAGCGTTCATCGAGATCCATCCTCCCAGAGCTGCGTAGTAGTACCATCAGCATCAGCTTGCAGCAAGCCGTCGCTTCACAGCTTGGTTCTGCTTACTCGTCTATCTAACTCTGCTGTCATGTATGGTGTATATGCACATTGTCCTGATCTACCTCGATGAATGCAGCTCCCGTCGTCAGAATGCCTCCATTTACGCCTTCAGCCTTACGTACGTTGACAAGAAGCCTTGCTCTTGCTAGTCTTGCAACACGAGGTCATCACAGCGCGTGAGATGGCATCGCCAGCTGCGGCCCGCGAGTTATCTGCCCGGCCTGGCCGCTGTCTGAGCTACTGTGAGCTCTCATATGAGTTAGGACTGCGAGAGGCGAGGTCCATAATTGCCATGTTTTGCTCCCGATGCGCCCACAGCAACACGTTTAACGTCATGGATGCGCCATGTTTGCCGAGCGACTTACGCACCGACGCGCACAGCCTCTCAGTGAGGAATCTGGTACCCTGACCTGAGATGCAACCGCTATGACGGTGCGTTGCTAGAACGATGGATCCAGTGAGCCGGGAAAGTCTATATAAACGGAACCAACCCCTCACAGAAACCAGACCATCTTCCACCCCCGGTTCTCCATCCTTTAGCAAGCCAGCCATCTGCTCCCAGAAATGGCTGGCTGGAGACACGCGTTTTCCCTCTCGAGCGAGGCCGTCAAGGACGCCACCCCTCCGGGGACTGTGACCCTCATTGGCAAGTTTCTCATCCCTTCGCTCTCCAGAGGGCCACTGCGGATTCTAATACGGGAGGACAGAACACAGCGTGATCCACCAAAACGGTCGGTACGTGGATCGCGTGGTCCAGTTCCCGCTGCCGACCCTAAGCCCCGCCGACCCTTTGAACTGGCCGAGCTGGAGGAAGATGGCGTGCATGATGACGGTGGCGTTCTACGCCTTCGTCGCCAACTTCCTCTCGGCCTCACTGGCCCCAGCCCTCCCGGTCTGGAACAGGGAGTTCCGCCAGGACGTCAGGCCGCTCAGCGACCTGATGCAACTCGTCGCGGTACGCCCCCTTGTCGGTACTGTAGCCATTGCTGCCCTCTTCGCTGGCCCTATTCCCACAACTCTCCCTCTCGTATTTCTTGCCCTCCTCGCTGCGCTCCTCCGGGGCGCTTGCGGTTTCGTTGCTGCCCTCTTTGCTGGTCAGGATCTAACAGCTCAGCAGCTCAACGTCCTCGCCCTGGGACTCGGCAACGTCTTTTGGGTCCCGCTCTCCAACGTGTTTGGACGCCGCCTCGTCCTCGTTGTCTCCACGCTGCTGCTCTCCGTCGCTACGACGACCGGCGTGTTCGTTAAGGGCTTCACCCCGACCTTGTTCGTCAGGGTTTTTCAAGGTCTCGGGAGCTCAGCATCTGAGACAGTCACGCCGGCTGTCGTTGGAGATTTGTTTTTCGTCCATGAACGCGGAGGTTGGATGGTAAGCGCCCCGATTTTCGAGATGCAACTCCATTCGGTAACTGACGTGGTCCTTCCTCCCCTCCAGGCATTCTACACGGCATCCCTGGCCAGCGGCTCCGTCCTCGGCGGCATCACGGGCGGGTACATCGCTAACGGGCTCGGATGGGTTGCGCAGTTCTCGGTCGGAGCAATTCTCACGGGTCTGGCAAGCGTGGCCACCTTCTTCCTCGTGCCGGAGACCATGTTCGACCGGCCGAAACACGCGCTGCCCGTGCAGCAGCAGCACTGGCAGCAGGCCTCGCTGCAGACATTCCAGCCCAACCTGGCCCCGCGAATCTCGGTACCGCCCCGCATCAGCCTCGCCGACCTCCCGTCTGCCCGGTTCACGCTGCCGACAAGATACACGTGGGCAACCATCATTGCCGTCGCGACGAGGGCCTCTGTGGCGCAGACCGAAGCACCAGTTCCGGCCCCGTCGGCGGCGACACCAGTCCTGTCCGCCTCGATCGTGACACCGACGCCCGCGAACCAGACCGGCATGACATGGTACGACACGGAATCGTCCCAGACCGAGCTCAGCTCCTGGCCAGGGCCAGGGCGAGGGGGTCAGCCGGGGCCGAGCCGTCGCAGCGGACCGGTCAGCGGCGAGGGCAGCGGCGAGGGCAGCGGTGCCGAGTACAGCCCGCCGCCCTACACTTTCGCGCAGTCCCTCAAGTTCAGCCGGTACCGCGGCAACGTCGTCCACCAGTTCATGAAACCGTGGACGACCCTCCTCCTCCCGGCGACCTGGATCGTCATGATGCAGTACGGCGGCCTCGTCGGCGGCGTGGCGGTCATCTCGACGGTGGGACCGCAGATCCTGAACCACAAACCGTATTTTTGGGGAGGTAACGCCGGGCTGCTGTTTGTTGGCGCGCTGGTCGGCATCCTGCTCGGCGGGCTCTGCACGGGTCTGCTGGCCGACCGGCAGCTGAAGAGGCTGGCGCGGGACCAGGACCATGGGTTTGCCGAGCCTGAGGCCAGGATCGGGTTGATGTTGCCGTCGTTGTTGGTTGGGACTTGTGGGCTGCTGGTGTTTGGCTTTTGTGCGCAGTACCCGGGGAGGTACCAGTGGGTTGGGCTGGAGTTTGCCTATGGGATGGTGGCGTTTGCACTGACGCAGGTGCCGTCCATCTGGTTCGGCTATGTGAGTGATCCCCTGATTTCTATTGTCTTAAGGCTGTGACTGACCGCTCTCAGCTCATTGACTCGTACGAGCAGCTGGCCAGCGACTGCTTCGTCATGATCTGCATCCTCCGCGCCCTGATTCCCTTTGCCTGGACCTTCATTGTTGCGCAATGGATGGAGAAGAGCGGCTATCTCGTTCCATTTGCCGGATTCACGGCGATCATGGGCGTGTTTGCTTTGCTCACCATCCCTATCATCGTTTGTGGGAAGCGGTTGAGGATCGCCACAACCCGTTATGTGACAAAGAATCAATGAGCAAGACGAGCGGATTGTGGTATATGAAGCGAAAATAGAATGAATCTACAGATGTTGATACCCTGTACCAGGACGGATTCTCGACTGTTAAAGCGCCAGTCGCTTGTTTGTTCTAAGCTGCCTTGGGCTGCCTCGAGAGAGAGTTGCTGGTCCGGTTGTCGACAAGTACCTGAGTCTTTGGAAGCCACCAGACGTGTTCCAGCTGTGTTATCGCAGCAAGCCATGCGAGAACGACTAGCTAAAGTCTGACACCACAATCCGGGTCAGGTTCAACGTAGAACGGGCGTGTCTCCACTGGGTCATAGACTTACCCTGTGAAACGCCAATCATGAAAGACGATACCGTCCAAGCTGTCTGCAACACGGCAACCCGATCAGCCTCCTGAGAATATTACCAGATTCCGATGGCGAGACTGAGGAGGATGGGGGTCGAACCGTACATGGCAATCTTTGGTCATGGACCATTTGAGGACCAGTGACAGCGTCAAGCACGACGCACCGTTGGCTCGAGCATCCTCGTCCTCTGTTTTCGTCGTTCTCCAACGGAGACGCTGGCGTCGCTTTGGCTGCAGTTCCATTATCCACCGTGGGACCACTGCTCAAGTTTCCAGTCGTGACGATGTCGCCCCTACTGAGATACTGTTGGGTCCATGGCAACCAGCGGCCGCCCTCATCCTTCTTCAAATGGCTGTAGTCGTGCCAGAGTTCATGGAAAACGGCCCTGGCCTTGTTGTCCAGCTCGACCACTTCGTGGTACTCGTTGTCTGGGTATCAGCGGTACAGCGCGAAGCCTTGCACGACCTTAAGGGGCAGGATGCTCTTCCACCACAGCCTGAGCGCTCGCACCGCCTTCCTGGTCTTCTCAAACAACTGCTCATGGACGACCTTGTCGACCAGAAATCTCTCGCGGCTCGCCCGCTTCTCGTTCATCACGCCGACGACGACGTGTGCGAGCTGATAGACGCGGACCTGGAGGGCGTAGCTCGTCTGGCTCTCCAACTCATACAGAGGTCCTTCGTGTGGCGCATCCTCTCCCCGAGGCCAACAACAAGACGGAAACCCACAGCTAAACGGGGAGGCAATATTCCGGCCCTCGCTATCTGTAGTGTTCCTTTCCGTGTCCCGGCCGCGCCGGTCATTTGGCGCCAGGTCCTGGCGGGCGCACGCCGCTGGGGAAAACGTGGGAAAGCCAGATCCCCCTATCTGCCACTGGGGCCAGCGAGCCCGCTGCCGGCGGCTCTAACGCAGCGGCGTGGCGATAGTCTCTGGCGACGATCGGAGGTCGCTGCGGAGCGGAGGCGCAGCTGAGACTGAAGGGATCGGTGGATTTGAAGCATGGCGGGCGCTGTCTTGTCCTTCTATGCCGTCTACAACACGATGAGCTGCTGATATTCCTGTGAGTTCGGCCACGGATGGTGAATTCGCAATGTCAGTGGATAATGGAAGTTGTTGCTGAGCAGAGTGTGATGTTTGTGCACCCACTCAACATGCTGAGCGTCAAGTACATAGTTGGGTAAGCTGAGGCTCCGGCCGGACAATGAGGGGCCAATAGACCAGGCCGAGAGCTCAGGCTAACCCCCAGCCGGCCGCTGTGCGCGGACGGGATGGCTATGCCGCGTATTACCTCAGATTTGATGCCCTGTATAGGAACCTGCTCAATGTAAACGACTCCCGAGAGTCGCTGACAAAGAGCATGCGTATCCGTAGCTGGACGATGAATTGCAACGCCATCAATAATGGCTCAGCGATGTACGCATACGACATGCGCTGAACTGTTCTGTTGGCGTCGGATTGATCTCGTCGGAGCTTTCCTTGGGCGGCTTGTCTGATCGTTCGAAGCCCCGACGAGCACCGTACAGTAGTACATTGGCCCGTCCAATCCCCAGCTACTGAAGATTTGAATCCACCCCGGACATTGCATCCGCGCACTAACCAAGTTTCGGTGATGCCAGTATCCGAGTGATACGGTCCGTGCAGTCCTCGTCGGATAATTCATTTCAAACCATCTATCCGTAGACAGTTCCCAAGTTTCCGGCTCCAGATTACATACTGCAATATTCCTGTCGCGAGGTTCCTCACGCAGCTCATCCGCCCATTACGATTTGCTCCCAACGCGTTCCAGGTTCACGTTTGCTTTACACATAGAACGTTCATGGTCATCTACGGAGCAGATTTCTCGAAACAGCCGCAAAAGTTGGATGGACGACTAAGGTGTTATTGGGGCTGAAAGCAGTTCCTTTTCCTTTTGTTTTCCTTCATCACTTGACGACTGGAAGTTTAATGAATTCTGACTGATGCTGATAAACTCCGATAAACTCGACAACCAGTTCGGAATGAAGATCATCGACGATTTCTTGCTCACGAGGTTCAAACGAGTGACGGGCCACAAGCTGCACCAGATCGCTTGCTTCGCCCGAGCAGAGTATTTCTACCGTGGTCTCGAATTGATCCTAATGACTGGCATGAGAAGCATGGACCCTTCTGCACACCGGGCGCGGCCTTAGCTGCGACATTCTGCACATTTGGGCGCATGATGATACTCCGTACCCCTTTGAGTCAACCAAAAAAAAAAAAGTAAGAAAAAAAAGGGTGCTTGTCTCAGCACAAACATGGTCAGCCCAACTCCGCGAGGCCAGACAGCCTCCTGCATGAAATGCAAAAGATTGAAGAGGAAGGAAAAAGATACAATTCAATGGTCGACGGGAATTGAGCCCGACGTGGGGGTCGAACCCACAACCTTGAGATGAACCCTCTGCATGACATTGTCTCTTGCATAAGAGTCTCACGCTCTACCGATTGAGCTAGCCGGGCGAGGCTAATCCAACTGAGTTGCTGGCTACCGCGCTGAGGGTGAAAATTTGAACGGTGGTGGAGAATCGATTTCGGTGTTTCAGGGAGTCGGGACATGTCGACTGTTGGACCGGTCCAGCGTGTGGTGGATCCAGGAGGTCCTTGAAGCATCTCCTCAAACCCAAGCAACCCAACACACCGGTCTGAATCATGCATCGTTACGGGAAATGAGAATGAAGCTATCGTCAGACATAGAAGCCGCATCTCTTGATCTGTCTAGTTCATCGAGTCGAGTAGCTCCTCAATGCTTGCGAATGACAACTCGGCCATGGTCTCCTGCCAGATCTTGTCAGCCAGCGCCCAGCCGTCGGCACCATACACCTGCCTCGAATATCTGAGAGAAACTTCGTTAGCCAGCAGATCTGGACAGTGCCACGCTATTCGAACCACTTACCGAGTGAATCTTCCAATTGTGGATAAAGCACCCGTGTGTCTCCGGCCTCTTCACCGCGGCTCCTGTGTAGGTCGGCGCGTGACAATGGAAAATCGGTTGCTCAAAATTGGTACCTGCCCTAACCCATTTCAACTTCCTCTGACGTGCAATATTCCTCGAGGAAGAAGGGGGCGTTTTGGTTCACTTCCCATTTTCCCACATCGCAGCACATATGGAGCAGTCCACCTGGGCTGTTGTAATAATGGAGCGCCTGAACCTGACATCTACTACCCTTCGCTCATACAAGCATCCTCCGCGTACACAAGCGCCATTCGCTTGCACAAGTACCCCTTCGCTCACAACGCTATCATTCAAGCCACCAGGAACCGGCACGATGATCTCTCCAAGGCATCGGGCCGCGCGGTTCGCCAGAACGGCAACGGCGGCATCGCGCCGCTCGCAGCCTACCTCCGAACGCAGCTCCGAGAGTAAGCGAAGCCAGCAGCCTCGGCTGAAGTAAGACGTTGATTAACAGCGCGGACGCGGGACAACAGAATCTCGAACGCTCACTATGTATGGCGCCGTCACCCGTAGTCTCAACTATCCGTAGTTGAGGATAGATCCACGAGCAGTTAAAACGGCTTCGATCGGTGAACGCGTTGAATACACGAACAACACCGAGCCGCCAATGTTTGGGCTTTGTTGGCCTTCGAGAAGCGCATCATTGGGGCTCGGCAGTTTGTTGAGAGTGTGAAAGAGATCCTGGAAGGCTTCACCGCAACTTCCTTTGTTGGGCTCAACAAGATCGATAACACTACAAGTGAAGCCGACATCATGGAGCTCGTCACCACGCTCATCATGAACCCGATCGAGTTCGCCATGGCGCAGATCTAGCTGCCGGAGTCATATCGCCTTCGTGTGCGCTGCGAGGTGTGCCCTCGGGATGGTCGCGATGTCCGCGTCGATTAGCTTCTAGAGGTCCGCAGCCCGTCAATTGTCAAAGAACGTTGACTGTGATGGAGATGAAGAACTTCGGCGTCGTCAGCAAGCAAATGAGCAATATCATGCCCGCCGGGGTCGCCTCCGTTCAGCAGGCTAGAAACCTCGCAGCCAACTTGAAAATCCGTTTTCTCAGGGACGCCAAGCAGCTTCTCAAGCAATCCGCAGAATACGCCAGACAGTTTCGAACACGGCACGTTGCCCTGTGCAACTTCAAAGTCGCCATCTATTTCGACTTTGCCCAGCTGCCCGAGGTACTGGCCGACAACGAGGGGGTAACAGTTAATGAAGAGGGTGGTTCCGTTGGAGACTTCGTTCTCATGTACCCGCACAAGGACCCGAACATCTTCCATTACGCGCTGCTTGCCTTCTTTAAGATGCGGTGACGAATGGATAGAGAGTCTTTAGATAGACCACCAATGGGGAACCTCGTTGCCTGATAATTGTCTGCATTATTCGTGGCAAGGTCTGACATCTATATCCTTTAGGAAGCGATGGACAGCGACAGGTTTTATGGGACGTGGGCAATCAGCTAGGTCAAAAGAGGAAGTTCGCAACAAAAAAAGGAGCATCAAGAGCAAGAGCAAGAGGAAGAGGAAGAGGAAGAGGGCGAAATCACTACCAATATATTGGTTCTGAAAATAACAGGTAGCAATGCTGCGTTAGAACAGAGTACTTGGCACTACTATTCAGTCAACTCGCGCCATGTGACCTGATACCCTCACACCTCCGCCTTATACTCCTCCTCCGCTGGTGACTTGTAGCTCACTAGGCATGGCACTGATAGTGCAAACAACACTTGAAAACCAAAAGTAATCCACTGCAGGACCTGCAGCGTGGTCCCCGACTTGATCAGCACCGAGGCGTGGCTCATGCCGGCAGAGGCGTACTCCAAAGCCCCGGCAGATTGGCTCGTAGCAAGGCTGGCCGCAAACACGAGCCCCGTCGACCCAAAAAGCATGCCGTAGGTGACGCGTCGGATAACAGTGCTCCGAATAGGGTGCTCCCAGCTGGACGGACTCCGGACGTCGCGCTTGAGGAGGATCAGAGCGGCAATGCCCAGCGTGAAGAGCACAGCGGCACCAGCGAGGACGGAAATGAAGGTGCGAGTTTGTAGGTCGAGCGCCGTGGTGACGAGGTCGATGATTTCGTCACGGCGGGCAGAAGCGGTGCTGTTAGACGAGGAGTTGCGGCTCTGAAGCTCGGGGAACAAGTTTGCGGCCAGAGTTTCGACGGAACGGCCCGAGGCAGCCTGGCAGCGGGTGCCGTCCTCGTCAATGCCGCAGATTCCGAAGTAGCCGATGCGAACCTGAATGGGAGTGTCGGTTGTGTTGTTGTTGGAGCGCAGGGCCACAACGTAAATGTTGGGGATTGCCGGGGATGTCGACACGCATCCTGTCAGGGACATGGCTGCAAAGAACGTTAGCAAAAGCAAACGGTGAAGCGAGAAAGAGCACAAACGCATACCATGAAAGACAACGGCCGGGATGATCAAGAGATATGGAGCATAACGAAGCATGCTGTATGCTGCCAGCCTGTTAGCACACCTGACTCAATGGGGCAATCAATCTCTCAGACATGGGATTCAACTCACGCTTGAAGTACATCTTTGCCAACTTTGTAAGAAACATCTTCATCTTGTCAAGATTTCAAACAGGAAAGAAGGTATGAAGAGATGGGGATTCTTAAGCTGTTGGCCAGCAACAAAGAGACAATGACAGATGACCCGCAACGCCGCGTAATAAAGGAGATAGTAAAAGAAGATTTAGAGATAGTAAGGAAACAATGGTAGCTTCAAGCCAGAGCACACAATGGACAATGCGATGGACCAGAGAAAAGAACTCTTCGCTCGTGGAAGACCGTCTTTTAAAGCAAAGCAGCACCGGAACCAGCCGCGGCCTAACTTGTCGGCCCATGATCGCGATAACGAGTTGGCTGTTTGTAACATCGCGGTTTGCGTTTCGACCCCTGTTCAGTGAACCGATTTGCTAGGAGCGATTGGGGGGAGCGTTGCACTGGGAAGCGTCGTTTGAGAAACCGCCGACCACTGGACCAGTCAATGCACATGGGGCCACAGACTTGACGGTGAAACCAATTGATTTGTTGGTGGAAACAAGCGACTCTTTGGAGAGGCGCGATCGCCGGGCGCTTAAACAAAGGATGAAGTCGTGTCAGGGGCGCCAGTCGACTGATCTCAGAGGGCTGGTCAAATCGCTATTTTAAGCGACGCGACTTCTTGGCACTTGAGTTCCCACTTGCCCGATAAAGAACCAGCAGGGGCCCGCTGACCAATCACGCCGCCATGGGCTTGCGCTCCCGCTTGAGATTCGCAACCTGCAGTAGTGAGAATGACAACTTCCAAGTCCAATACGGACACTGGTTGGTCAATCTGCCTTCGAGTATCATAGAAGTTGAGGTCTTAAAGTTGCAATACTCCCCATACACTGCAGGAACACTCATGGAGAACCTCGTCGCACCTGCTCCTCTTCATCCACCACTGACCGGCATTTTGGATAACACCACCCCTTCCAAGTTACTGTCCTTCATTTCCTACCGTCGTATCCGCCTGTTCCTGGCTCGCCGCGTTGACCTTCTCCTCTAGCATCTGAATGTCCGCACTCGTCAGCGTCTTCTTTGACCGCTTAAACCCCTCTTCAAACGGCAGCCGTTCCTGTTCTGTGCAACCGTCAGCAACTCAACCATCCCGTAGGTGCCTAGCACACAAGTGACAGCGCAGCACGAGGACAGAGAGACAGCACGGTAGGGACTTACCAAACAAAATCCTCACCCACTCTCTCCTGGCTCGTCCCTCGGCCCCCTCCCCAAAAACAAGCAAGTAAAGACACGTCTCAATGACGCTTGCCTTAATGTCATCCGCCGACATGCTGAACTCCGGTTCCAACGCCTTCACCGCCGCAATGTGCGCCAGCCGTGCCTTGGCCGCAGTGTCAATCGAGATGGTGCCGTCGTCGTCCCTGTCGCCATCCGGCCCCAGCTGCGGCAACACCGTCGCCCACACCTCGGGCGCGAAGTCCTTGTTGTTGTTGTTGTTGGGTGGCGGAGCGTGGATGTCATGTCTGCTGAGGCTGCCGTCGTGCTCGATGACTGGGAGACAGGGCAGGTCAGATGAGATGCTTGTAGCAGGGAGAAGGCTTGTGTGGCCTGCTTACTGCCGTGCTTGGCGAGATCGTCAAGGTGGAAGGTGAGCGCATTTCCTGTGGTTGACGTCTGCAGCGCTTTCAGCCCCGCGGGAATGGTCGCGTCCGGAGCGAGATTGATGGCGTCCAGCAGCGCCGTGACCAAGCGAGGGACGGAGATGTCTTTGCCGTCGCGGGGAAGGTAGCCGTGGTTTGCAAGGGCGTTGAGCATCGGGCAGGGGCTTCGGCCTGGCGGTGTCTGGTCAGGACAACAGGATCGATGGGAGTCCAATGACTGGGGTGACTCACGGTCCTCTGCGGAGGGGCTCTGCCAAGGGTAGTCCTCCACCTTCTTGTTCCGGGATGTGATGGCATGTACAACTCCCGCCGCTCCTGTGAGAAGACGGGACAAGAATGACTGTACTTTGATCTTGATGCCGGGTGCCATGTTGGAGATTGAGGGCAAGACTGCTGGTAGAGCATTTTGGGTAGTGTGGGACACTTCTATCGTACTGTCTTGCGGATCTTGGGAGAATGTGGTTTGAGTTGGGCCGAGCAGGAGGAACGCTTCCAGCAAGCTCCTGCCTGGAATACGAGGGAGCAGTGACAATGGGTAGCTACGTTCCCACAACCCAGCAGGAAGTATGAAGGGATCAGGAGATTTGTTCTGCCCCTTCCATTCAGGGTATATTGTCAAGACTTACAGGAGGTAAGGCGGCGTTTTCCAGAATTACAATTTGACCCACAAGCTTGTTGCGCTCTTCGGCATCCTTGATGTCCCTATCTTGCGTGGCGCCTCGGTCGAGCCATCTAGCCAAAGAGCGGCAACGCTTGATTCGACCCTGATACTTGTCCCACGTACTGTTAGTGATTTGCCACAAACGGGGCAGCCGCCCTGCCCAGAACTCTTGCCGGCCAACCGAGTGCATGGAGGGTTCTCGGCTGCTTCGCAGGCTCTACTTGAACTCACTGACAGGATCGTGTCGGGCCGACGGTGATGGGTGACGTCTCACTCTCCTCGCACCCCTCATCCGGCGTGCGGTGGGAATTTGATGGCGTCATGAGAATCAGTGAGTTTGCTCGGACGAGGTCGGATTGTCTTGGTGGTTTAGGTGTGGCCGCCAGTAGTCAAAATCATCACTTGCATACGCAAGCATGAGATGCAAATTGTTCATCAAGTCGTTTATCAAGCAGGGAGATATGTCTGTCAGCCGACCTTGGCATGTACTTGTCGGTCCCCATCAGGAATAAAGCTTTCTCTGCCTCTTTCCCGCCACGTCCTGGCCCTCAAGTCGTTGTGTGCTGTCGTATGCCCGACACCCACTGGCGGAACCAGTCATTGACCTTGAGGCCCGGGGCGCCGGCCATGCGGCCCCTGTCGAGGAACTCCGACATTGCCCGTGATTTTTCTGCATCGCGAGGGAAAGCGCATCGCAGCGACTGCACGATTTTTCAAAGGTCATCGCGGCCGCGAGTACGGTATAAAAGGACCGGGTCGATGTGGATCCAGCGGCGAATAGCGAGGATATTCTTGCGCTGAGTGCGCCTTTGGGCCTCGCGATGATGGTACATTTTCCGTCTGGCTCTCCAACCGGCGGCTTGGGCGCTGGTGAGGTGCACGAGCGCATCGTCTTCGATCGCCTGATTCCGGATAGACGTGTATTGTCGGGGCTGGACAGCGTCGCCCTTCTCGTCCAATACCGGTACCGCGACCTTCTCAAGGGCTTCAGACGGCAGCTTTTCCAGAGGGTTGGGGAACAGGGCGAGCGGATTCGGTTTGTCGGGTTTTGGGACGAAATTCGGGACGAGGATCTCTGAGACAGGCGTGTTGTTTTCGATGTCGACGGGGTCTTCAAGTCCATAATCTCATGCGACATGTAGAAGGCTGTCATATCAGTCGAGCCAGTCCCCCCGCTTGGACAGGGTGACATCCCCTCTTCGATGAGCGCGCATTGTCGGGGCTACGTCGTCTGTCGTTTGTGGTTTGTTGTCGTTTGTTGTCGTTTGTTGTCGTTGTCGTTTGTCGGGTCGAAAATTGGGTCGCAGGCGTAGTCGGGCGGGTCGCAATTCAGTGGAACGGTAATTACGGTCGAAGCATTCTTTCATCCTTATCCGTATTCTGTAATCCGTTCTCCGCGCACCTCTGCGAGATAAGGCTCGCTTAATCTCCACTGGGGCGTGCCTTATCTTGCGCTGCCAGGGTATCTTCCACCATTGAAAATGCCATTATCTAAAACCAGAGGGTCGAGCTGCCAACATGAGGACGGTTCATGATGTTAGTCTCGAAAGCATCGATTGCTGCTCGAGATTTGTCGGAAAGGTACATTCGTATCGTGCGTGCTCTTCGCGGGCCATGATCACGATCCATCTTTCTAGGAGGCACTACTCGTTAGTAGCAACGTGACATGCGCAGATCCCGCTGACGGACCGGTCCATGCCAGCCACACGATCGAGACAAGGATGCGAGGAGTGCCGGAGGCGGAGACGGAAGTGTGATGAGCAGAAGCCCGGCTGTGGTCAATGTTCTGCCTTCAACAGGACGTGCAGATACACCCTAAGGCTGGTATGGGGCGCCAGTGGCCGCAATGGCTCCGTACGCAAATCCTCGGCTGGTTGCCAGCCTCTGTTTCGTGGAAGCCAAGGCCGTCACGCAGCAGGTAGAGCACCAGCGACGTCTGTTCCGTATCGTAACCCGGACTGACCTGGCTCAGATCTAGACGAAGGGACCTTGGTTCAGCAGGACAGGGCGCTGCCGGAGATGCCCACCACTGAGCTAGCTTCCTCCCTCCCACGGCGTCTCCCAAACGGCATCCCGCTCTCGCCGACATACCGAAGGCTTCTGAGCTACTTCACGGGAGACATTCTTGCCTCCCTCTCCTGTCATCCCTCAATACACCAAGACCTCCGCCAGGGCTTAGTCCCTGTTACCCTCGAGTCGCCTCAGCTGATGTCAGCCTGCCTTGCATTGTCAGCCGCGGGGTTTCTGTCTCGCGGAGTCCTCTCAGTGGATGGCGTCGAGATATCTAAAATCCTCGGGCATCTACAGTCGTCCGGTTTGCCGCTCTTGAGGAGCGCCTTGGAGACTGGCCAGATGAGCGAGACGTTGCTGGCAACCTGTCTTATCTGGTGTCTCACGGATGTCTTCACCTATCGCCAGGGCACATCATCGTGGCGCATTCATCTACAGGGAGTTAGAGCGCTCCTAGATGGTGATATGGCTCGCCGCCGTTCTACAGCCTCATCATCAAGCGCTCTACGGTCAGCCATGAAGCACCTCCATCAGCTCTATCTCTCTCTGCAAACCCTGCCATATATTCCCCCTTCAGAAATTTCCGAGCTCACACCATCGGGACATGCACCAACGGAGACGACGCGAAAGGTGAATCTCGAGCCCGCACCAAGCCCGGCTATTGATGGATTTCTGGGCTACAGCGACGAGCTGTTGGAGGTCCTTCACCAGATCGATCAACTGTCGCGACTGAGCTCCGACGGTGCGACACAGCCATCCTTCGAGGCGGACGTTCTCCTCGGAAAAATCAAGGCCATGATCAGCCGCGACTCCAAAAGTCCGCCGGCCATAGCTATCGGCTCACCCTTGTCGCCCGAGTACGGCCGCGAGTTCACGCTCTGCCACCAGGTCTTCCAGCAAGCCACACTGATCCACGTGTACAGGCGGCTGTACCACCTTCCATCTGGATCGCGGCCCATCCAGTACGCGGTTTGCGCCATGCAGGACATGCTCAGCAGCATGAGCCAGGGTCAGCCATGCCACACCTGGGTCGCCATGGCGATGCCGCTCTTCACGCTCGGCTGCGAGGCCTTCACCGAGGAGCAGCAGGGCTTTGCGCTGGACAAGGTCGACAAACTGGAGGAGTGTATCCGCTCGCTCCATGTCAGGATCATCCGCCAGGCACTGCAGGATATATGGAGAGTAAGGGCGAGCCTGGGCGACTGTAGCGGCGAGCTGTGCGCAAGCCAACTGCTGGGTATGTGTCTTGTTCCTACAACCTTGACGTCTAAGTTTCTAGTAGGCATAAATTGACGGTGCTGCGGTGCAGAGAAGTTGGACTACAACATAATTCTGTTCTGATCTTTCAGACCTATTACGAAATTGAATGACCACTTATGATACCATACGCGGTTTGAGGAGCCCTCAATTCTTCTGTCTTTGCCTCTTTTCTCTTCTGTCTTAATTGCAATGGCAGGAGTTTGTTAGGAAAGGAGATGATCAGGGTGTTAGTGAGCGGATCAACTTGGAATGACAGTTATAAATATGGGGCGGTGTATTCTTCTAGCTCGTGAAGTTCATTTCAAACCTTTCAATCCCCCTGAAACGCCCTGTTCATGCTCATCTGTCGAGTCCCAGTTCACCACTCAAAAATCAAAGATCATCCGCCTCATTGTTTTCAATCATCTTGCTCAAGGGGCCCTTCTTCACCATGATGCTCATGACCTCATAGAGCACATCGGCCGCAGCCATGGTCGTGTGCTCGGCGTTCGTGTCATACGCGGGCTGTTTCACGTTGTCTCCTCATTAGTACGAATCTTGGAGGAATCGAGTGTCGTCGAGCAAGGAGAAACTTACAGCGACCTCGACAATGTCGGCTGCGATCAAGTTGAGGTCCTCCAGCCCGCGAAGGATGGTTCGAAGCTCCCTCGTCGACCAGCCTCCTGTCTCGGGCGTGCCGGTGGCCGGGGCAAATGCCGGGTCCAGCGTGTCAATGTCGATGGAGAGGTAGACGGGCCTCTTGGTGCCAACGCGGTCGAGGATCCTCTTGATGATGCCGTCGGTGCCAATCGTGTCGATCTCGCGGGCCTCAACAATCTCAAAGCCGCAGTAGCCGTCGTTGTCGTAGTCGCTGGGCCCGCTGAGAGTGGTGCGGATTCCGGCGTGGATGTTGGTGTCGTTGGCGAGCAGACCCTCCATGGCGGCGTGGTAGAAGTAGGTGCCATGGTTGATTGCGGCGACGTCGGAGGGAGATCCGCCAAAGACCTTGGGTTTCCCTGAGATTGGCGGCGTCCGTCAGGAAAGGCTCAGCTTCATTTCGGAGGCAGATACGGGCTTACATGTGTCCAGGTGGCTGTCAAAATGAATGACTGAGACGGGGCCGTAGGCACGGTTGATGGACCGCAGCAGGGGCAGGGTGATGGTATGGTCTCCGCCCAGCGTGATGACGCGAGGCAGCGTCTTGCCCTTGATTGCCGGGCCCCTCTTGTCGGCATCTGTCGCAGGCGGGCGCGAGAGGATATGGAAATGACCTTCCTCAATCTGCTTCAGAGCCCAAGTGTTGTCGTACCTTCGTCTGTGTCAGTCCTAGAGATGTCTGCGAGGGCGAAGTGGCTTGAGTAGGCTGAGTCAGGGCCTTACGAGGTAACGGGGATGTCACCGCAGTCGAGCACAGTGGCCCAGCTGTTGAAGGGGTTGGTCTTCAGGGGAACATTGTATCCTCCACTAGCCCCGTGGTTAGCAACCCATTGAGTGATGCTTGCTCAGGAACAACAAAGGTGAGACATACTAAAGATTCAGACGACGAGAGCCTTGTCGAATCCCGGAGGGACCGAATCTAGCACCAGGCCGATACGATGTCCCTGTGTCGAAAGGGGCACCGATGAAAGCAATGTCGTAGATGGCGTCGGGGTTTTGAAGGCAAGGCTGGTAGGGCAGACGGCCAAAGGTAGAGATACCGGAGAAGACCGAGTCGGCCTGCCTCAGCGTGTAAGTGACGGGGTACCTGGTACCAGGGCGAGTTCCTCTGGGAGCCTGACATACCTGTGTACCACCATCACCGGGAAGTGTGTTATACCACAGAGACTTGTGGGGTCCAGCAATGCTCTTCTGAGACTGCCCATGGCCGGCGTGGGCGGTAGCAATGGCTGCCCAACTGAGGGCCAAGAGTACCGATTCGGAATGCATCATTGATCTTTCTTTTCCCCTTGTAAATTATTCGGTCCAGCGAACAACAATAATGGAACTCAGAGCATACTGGCTTGCACTGCAAGCAAGGACCTAATATACCTTACCTTCAACAGACGGAAGGATCCCTCACTCCAGAGATCGTTTCCCCTCCTGCCGATCGCCAGTATGCAAACCCATCATCACCATCGTCATCTGGTGTTCTCAAGCGCGTACTTCACCATAATCAGTCTAGCATTCCCCACGTTTCCATGCTTTGCCGGAACCCAGACACTCCCCCCCACCTCCTCTTGCATTATCAAGAGGCGGGTACTTTGCCAGATTGCGTTAGTGCAGAATTTGTCGTTTTGTGCAGGTGACATCCAGAACGCGTGGGCGATTGCCGATATCTGGGGTTTGGTGGCTACATTTCCTAGAAAAGCATGATAGGCGCCGGTGGGCTGTTGCCAAAGGTATCAGGGCGTCGCGATTCCGCGGACCCGTGGATGGCCGATATTGGGCCGATGATGATTTGACTCTTCGTTGATGGGCTCCGATCCGGGGCGGGGACGGTCGGCTATCGCGGAGTGCGCATCGAAAGGTCCGATAACGTCCACTGCGAGTGTCTGTGGATTCCCTGCAGAATTCCCCATCAGAAAAGAGAAGGGGAAACACGTCGTGGATGAATGCATGAAGGGCCACGGTTGGGCGACAACCGGCAACGAATACACCATGGTTCGCAATCCCGCCCATAAAAGCCAATTCGGCTGTTTTGGGTCTTGTCGACCCTCGACAGGACGGCCGAGTATCGTTCGAATCAAAGTCATCGACACCGCGCGACATCACCGGGCTTTCGAGTCTTTCCAAACGCAAAATGAACAAGCTCCGAGCCAGGGACAGCAACCTCCCACTTCCTGATCCCGAGCAGTATGCCGACGAAACCTCACCTCTGCTCTCTTCGCACCCGGCTCGCCGACCGGTTGCTCGCTCCGAACACGTCGAATGGCTCGCCGAGATGTGGTTTCTGACCAAAGCCTCCATCCCCGTCATCCTGGCCTACATGCTTCAGAACAGTCTGCAAACCGTATCCGTCCTTGTCGTCGGGCGGCTGTCCTCGGAAGCCCTGGCCGTCGCCGCCTTCTCATACATGTTCGCCATGGCAACCGCATGGCTGATTGCTCTCGGCGGGACAAGCGCGCTCGACACGTTGGCGTCAAGCAGCTTCACGGCATCCAAAGACAAGGGGAGCCTGGGAGTCCTCCTGCAGCGGGGACTCTTCGTCTTGACGGCTTTCTACGCCGTCGTGGTGGTCATCTGGTGCTTCTCGGAGCATCTTTTTAGGGCTCTGGGTCAGCCCGAGTCCATCTGCATCCAAAGCGCCCGGTTCCTCCAGTTCCTGGCCCCTGGCGGTCTCGGATACGTCTGGTTCGAGTGCATGAAGAAGTTCTTGCAGGCTCAGGGCATCTATCGACCGGGGACCTACGCACTCCTCATCACCTCACCGCTCAACGCTGTGCTCAACTACCTGTTCATTCACACCTTCGGCTTCGGCATCTACGGCGCTCCCGTGGCCACGGGCATCTCTTACTGGCTTTCCTTCCTACTCCTGGTTGCCTACGCCGCCTTAATCCAGGGCAAGGAGTGTTGGAGCGGACTTCAACCACGAAGAGCCCTGTCGAATCCGTGGCCGTTCGCCAAGCTCGCCTTCCTGGGCGTCGTCCATGTCGGCACCGAGTGGTGGGCGTTTGAGATCGTCGCGCTCGCTGCCGGCCGGCTTGGGACGCTCCCCCTCGCCGCCCAATCAGTTGTCATGACGGCGGATCAGATCATCAACACCATCCCGTTCGGTCTCGGCGTCGCAGAGTCGGCGCGGCTGGGGAATCTGCTCGGGGCAAAGAGTCCCAAGGCAGCGAGACGCTCTGCGCACTGCGCAGCCATCCTCTCGGTCCTCTTTGGTTCGATTATTCTCACAGTCCTGTTCGCTACGAGAAGTGTTATCGGAGGCCTCTTCAACAGCGACGAGCGTGTTATTGCCCTCGTTGCTGACATCATCCCCTACGTGGCCTTGTTTCAAATTGCGGATGGGCTCAACGGCAGCTGCGGCGGAGCGTTGAGGGGGATGGGCCGCCAGTGGGTAGGGGCGCTTGTGAACTCAGTGTCTTACTACGGGGGCGCTCTTCCTGGCGGTATCTACCTTGCTTTCAATGGCTGGGGTCTGGCAGGTCTGTGGATGGGACAGTGTGTTGCTCTTTCGCTCGTGGGCATCCTGGAATGGGTTATCGTCGGCTTGAGCAACTGGGACAATGAGGTACAAAGGGCCGTAGACCGACTGGACGATGACAACCACGACCCAAGCGTTGTCTCTTGTCATTAGATCATCTAAGGCGAAAGATACACATGTTTACATTTTAGCCTACCTTTTACGTGGTGCTTCCTTGAGATGGCGGTCGTTGTGAGAGACTCACATTCTCTTATTGTTGTTGAGTCTTCCGTAAGGCAGATGCAGAACAGATTGGCTGCACCATGCACTGCCGTTCTTGTTGATGCATATCAAGCGTGGGGAGAGGAGGCGGCCTGCATGGAACCCACACCACGCTGACAGGCTATTTGCCAGGAATCTAGAAGGGGTTATTAACAAATGTGCCCTGGACCCGGCCCCCGTTATCCAGTGCGGAAGAGTGGACTCAGCTGAGATCTCCCCACGACCTGGGAATCGGGCCTAGCCAACCATAGTCTATCCATGAAGATAAGAGAATCGAAGTCGAGACATGTATGATAAGGCGCGTGTTGCTCCTTTCTTGGAAAGGTTGTCACCGGCAGAACGCCCAGAGCAGAGATAAGACGTCGCAGACCAACATGATAAGCCCAACAGTTGATCACAACAGCAGTATGGGCAAGGGAGTCGACTTTACGTACCCCAACTGATGCCAGGGACTTCTATCCACCTATATACGTCTGTTGATGCCGGCCGTGATGGACCGTCATGTATCTTCTGAGTCGACAGTTCACTCACTGAACATAACGAGACAAATTGAGTTCCCCGACTCGACAAGGTCTGAAAAGCTCCGTGCTTCAAACCTTGGTCGACAACATGGCCAATGCCGAAAAGGAAGACAAGCCCTTCGGCCTTACATCACCATTTGGGCTAGTATCCAACGGCACCGTCGGTCAGGTAACAGACGAGTTTGTCTTGACCAAAGATGGCCTCCGTCTGTTCCCGCAGCCCGTCCTCGGCGACGACCTCGACCCCCTGAACTGGTCGTCGGTGGAGAAGCACACCATCCTGGCAATTGTCATGTCTCTGTAAGCTGCTCGAATCTCCTCTGACCAAGACGTGCCTTCACATTAACCAGCCCCTTGACAGGTACTTCATGTTCACTTACATCACAACAACCACGGTTCCGTCTTTTCCAGACCTCCAGGACAAGTACTCGGCCAGTCTGGAGCAAGTCAACTGGACCGTTGCCATCCCTGCTCTCGGCCTTTCCCTAGGCCCGTTGCTGTGGGCGTCTCCCGCAGATATCATCGGCCGCCGTCCCATTCTCATTCTCGGCACCATCATGGCACTGGTTTCGACGGTCGGGGCCGCACTGGCCCCGAGTTACTCTGGCTACATGGCCGCGCGATTCTTCCAAGGCCTCGGTGTCAGCCCTGCGTCCAATGTCGGCTTGGCCATCATCAACGACATCTTCTTTGAGCACGAGCGCGGCCAGAAGCTGGGACTCTGGGTGCTGGCCATCGACCAGGGCCTCTTGTTTGGCCCACTGATTGGCGGCTTCGTCAACATTGCCGGCTACCAATGGATCCAATGGGTCACTGCTATTTTATTCGGCCTCATCCTCCTCGCCCAACTGTTCTTTCTCCCAGAGACACTCTACCCACGTCGGCTCATGCTCGAAGAGTCACAAAGAGTCGGCATCATGCCTGTCCAACCAGGCGACGACGAAAAGACCCGGATGGCGAATGGCTCCCCAACGAACATGGATGTGCGAAGAACCAAGAGGTTGCCGTTCGCCAGTGTCTCGCCACTTCCGGGCATTAAGCACCCGAAACTATACGACCCTCTCATCCGGTTCATCAAGACATTCAAGTACACTGTGGTCTCCGTCTCCCTCATAACTTACTGCTTCGGCTGGTATTGGTGGGTTCTTTCCGTGGTGACGTTGGTGCCCGTCGCATACTCGACGTATGATGTGCACATTCAGGGGTAAGTGTTTATTACTTGACCTTCCCGTCACGGTGCTACAGCTTTCTCGGGTGCAATTTAAGTTAACTCCCTGGTCCCCCAGGCTTCTGTATCTTGGCTTGATCGTCGGTACCTTGATTTCGGAGGTCTTGTGCTCCGGCAGTCTGAGCGACTGGCTCGTGGTCAAGCTGGCCAAGTCCAACAACAACCAGAAGACACCAGAGATGCGTCTGTGGCTGGCCTATCCCGCCATTATCTTGACGGCTGTTGGTCTGATTATTTGGGGCATCAGCGTGGATTATGGCTACCACTGGATGGTGGGACAAGTTGCCTTTGCTCTTTGTGAGTTGCCCCGTACCTTGCTCCTCGTCAATGTTAACGTTAAGCTGATTGTGTCTGCCATAAAGTTGGGGCCGGTATCCAGATGGGAAACACTGCCATCTGCTCGTACGTTGTGGATGCCTACCCGATGCAGAGCATGTCCACCATGACATTCTATGCTGTCATGCTAAATATGTCTGCCTTTGTCGACCCATTCTTGATTGTGCCATGGGTGGGGAACGTCGGATTTACCTGGACATTTGCTGGTCATGCCATGATCACTGTTTTCTTCTGTATTCCGGCTCTGGCGGCTTTGCACAAGTTTGGGCCGGCATTGCGTGAGATGTCGGGGGCCCCGACGTGGGTAAATCCCGAATTCGAACAGGCTGCTGCAGCGAGCTGAGCTCAGCGACGTCGACTACTAGACACTTGACTTGTAAAGATATCCGTTCCAACGCCTTTGTCCCTTTGTTTGCCTGTTATGGTCTATCGGTGGCAAGTGATGAAGTTTGTATGGCCATGGGGATTGAGGGGAGTAGTAATTCGTAGACTGGGAAGCATTGATCGTAGATGAGTCTGCAACTTAATAGCAAGATTGAAGTTCTGATGGGCCTCTTACTCAGATACAGAAGTACGTATGAGGCGATAAGCATAGGGTTCCAGGAAAGATTACCTCGGAATCTTCGGTTGTGGTTGTTCCGCCGTTGCATCGGGCTTCCAGTGAGACTTCAGGGTCTATATCTGTCTAGGCTTCTCTAGTCCATTCGACGGGCTGTGCTTTGTTTTAGGTCATTCCGCGTCGTAGGACACCAGATAGTTCAAATGTGTGTACTAGTAGTAGATAGACCGTTTTGGGAGGGGGCCGTGTGGGAACATAAAACCTCAAATTTGCATGAAAGCCAACCGTACTATTGCCCCTACAGAATGCTGATGCCAATGAATGGATGAAAATGCCACATATATCCAAGCTTTGTTAAATGATAAACGAATGCTAAATGATGTGATCTTGTATCCGTCCCTCCATTTGACCTTTCTCCTAGCGCCAAATGCAATACAATAAGGTACTACCGCAACCAGACCCAAAAGGGATCAAAACATCGAAACATACCCTTATGAACCGTTCAACTCGTAACCCGGGCTCTGCAAGTAAACGCAGCAACCCTTGAGCTTGAAGCCACAACTCTCGTGGCATCCCGTGCCGGCAGGCAGACACTTTAATCGGGGGCTGAACGTCAAGCAGAGTCAGGTTTGGAAGTGCCGTTCCTTGTACTATCCGCACACTGGCCCGAGCCAGAGTAGGTATCGGCGTTGCAGCAGCCGCGAAAACCGTTGGAGCAGGACTGGAAGTAGCCGGTGCCTGGGGCACAAACGGTGTGGTCGGCATGGCGCTTATTGGAGACCTCCAAGGGCTTGTGGGTGCCTGTCTCGTAGTCCGGGCACCAAGGGATGGCGAAGGGGTCGACTGAGCAGTCGCCGCGGAGCCTGTTATTGTAGCAGACGTAGAAGGCGGCGCGGCGGTTGACCGAGGGAGCCGCCGTAGTAAAGGTAGCTAGAGCAGCCTGTAGCGAGGTGATGGATTGAATGCATTATGAGACTTGGAGATGGAAGATACCACGTAGATAGGCAGGTATTGCGGTGATGTCGGTTGGAGAGATTGGTAGCTGGGGAAGGTACTCGAAAGAGTCGAAAAGTAGGTGGGCTGCAACTGATTGACGTCACGCCTCAGATTGTTCGAGATTTGGATGGTGAGAAGATGGAAGCAAATCAAAGATGATGGATGAGTCGTGTCATCTATTATATACACGAACCCGGCCCACGAGGGCGCGGTTTTCCTGTATAGTAAGTTGTTGAAGGTCCGGCAGGCCCTAGGGCACAGCTGTGTAGGAATAATAATACTATTTACACGAAACTGCCTCTGATTCGTTGCATACGTTTTGCCAGTGCCCTTTCTGCTACCATGCCTTACATGCGCCGGAGCGGCTGGGTGTCTGTCTGGTCAGACTGGATGAGGCTCTCACTCGGAGCTGCGGCGGTGCTGTGGCGGTAAGACGGCAACGGCGTGCAGGGAAATGGAACCTACACCTTGAGATCTAGACCTGGCGTTTAAATTTACTATTTCGAGTACACCGATCAAGGACCGTGCAGTGCATTGCGATCGGAGCGAGGGGTGTGATGTAATGAATAAGGCCTCGATATGGGACGGTCAGTGGCAAGCCTGGTAAACATGAGACGAAAAAGGACACGGCGTCATCATGGCGTCAAACTCGCCTCCGTACGGCGGCCGCCACTGCGCTCCATGGAACAAACCTCTACACAGAGGGAACGTTGATGTCTGGTCTGTCGAAGATAAAGATGGGTGTCGGCTTGAAAGTCATACGTCGGCTACTACTGCCCAACACAAAGCCCTGAATAAGGTAGGTGACAGATAGCGATGATATCCCGACACAGGAAACTCGAGTACATGGCCTTGAAGTGATGCCTGATAAAAGATGATTGAGATGAGACAGCCTCGCCTGTGCGGAGTGAGATATTTGACCAAGAAACGCACACGTGTAATTACTGTAGGTAGGATAATGTGTACTTAGGTACCTAGCCTACTAAGTACCTACCCCTCCGTCCGAAGTAGGGCATACTGAACCGCCCTGTGTCTTCAAAGTCCACGGGATGCAGCTGAGACCGTTATCATCGGTCTCGCCGTCACTCTTTGTGGGCATACTGGGGAAGGAGAACAAGTCCAACAGATACGTTGGAGTTATGGATGTTGTCGGTGCGAGTCGCTGGAATGGTCGAGTCATGTTGGGAATAGGCTCTCCAGTCACGCACAAGGTCATGGTTGCCCATCAACTGATGGACATGGCGACTGTTGTTACCTCACTGTCTCTTGATATTTTTCAACACGGCACTGCATATCCATGGTCAGGGCTCATGCATCTAGCGTATAGCTAGAAGTGTCCAAGGAAATGGTTAGCGTGCCACCCTAGCTGCTTTGCCTTAAGGGTTGTTAGTGTTAGGATACCTACATTATCCAGAATTGTAGAGAGTCGAGCCGACCGCGACAGCTAAGGGCCTGAAGAGTTCAGCTTCCTTGGTTCAACTCGGCGCCATTCAGTTCAGTTCGGCTATCCCGGCAGTCAGTCTTGAGTTCCTCAATTGAACCGAGTTGAACTGAGCTGAACTGAGAAGTATAGAGTAACATGTATAGTTTCCGGGCTGGGCACGATAGAAACCAATAAGTAACTATTGGCTCTCCTAAAGATCTGTCTGTTATGAGCCTTCAAGGGGGCTGGCTCTTCGGAGCCAAGTCCCGTCTTGACGTGAGGCTTCGGCTAATGCCCCAGAACCAGCTGCGCCGCACTCGTCCCGGAGCATCCCACTGCACAGCCTCGCCCGGCTCACAAAATGCGCAGCAGCCTCCTAGTCCGGTTTGTCAATTACGAACCCCAAACCATTTTCGGCCGCTGCGCTGCAGCACAGCAGCTCCAGTTCCCTGTTCTGAGGCTCTGCGTCGAATCAGAGGCCTTCCCTCTCGCGTCTTGCTGCATGACATGGTGTCAATCATTGGCGTTGCACCCTTCTTGCCCAGGCAGCAGGCCGCCATGCAGATCCGCACACACCTCCCATACTCCTGGCCAACGAGATTCCCTCCTTGTCAATGAGCGTACCAGATCTCTAGTCCGAAAGTGACCATGTCCAGCCTTGTGGACCCCGAGAGGATGGATGCCCCGATTCTGCCTTGCCCCTCTTGGTGTCCCCATCCCTCCGCATTTCGCGACGAGTTAAAGTTGGCTGCCAGCCCACCCCCTTCATCCCGCTGACTCTCGCTCACTAACCAGCAGGCCCGGTCCTTCTCTCAATTGTCTTGGGCCGCTCGCCATTGATTCGGCCGCGACCATGATCTCTTCCATGGAGAATCACGCTAGGGGTAGAAGCCCGGCACGGGGCAACGATGTTTTGAATGATGACGACCGTGCCGCGTGGAGTGATGCCGAGAGCATCTCCAGCCGGTCCACTATGTCGTTCGACTACTTCCCCGTCCGAGAGAGGCAGTATCGCGCACCTGTATTGTGAGTTTTCCACATCAAGTTCCCCCCACCGACGTCAGATGCTGACCCCAGTGCTAGCCGCCTCAAGAGAGGGGAGCCGGCCGGTAAGCCGGTTTACGAAGCTTGGAATATCGAGTACTACCCGCGCAAGAGGGTGCCGGTGCAGGGCTTCAAGTTGCTCGGGGTCAGGCTCGAAAATTATGACGACCTCGGAGACCGATTTGTGGTGAGCCCGCAGCCTTCTGTGCAACCGGACCTGTCAGACATGCACTTGCAGGCCATTGAGGCTTTCCAGTCCAGGCATAAACGGTGTTGGGCGACTCGAGCATTGCGAGGGAGGGCCAAGACTTACGAGCAAGATCTCGAGGAAAGATGCAGAAAGCTTTCTGACACAGTCCAAACTGCTCTCACCCAGCTCCTCATGGATAGAGGCAGGGCCACCTCAACCCATTACCGAACCCGAACCTGGACAGTTGTCGTAATGCGAGAGCAGCTGCGCAGTCGGTTCACCGACACCGACCTCACCGAAGTGAAGCGCCACAAACTGCGCAAATGGAAGAACCCCGGGCCAGAAGAGATCTTGGTCTACACGGTGCTTATTCGAGGGACCGAGACCAAGGCTGCCCCTGCTGACACCGGTTTCAGCACCTTCGCACCCTTCTATAATCCTTGGGTGCACTCGGACAGGACGGAGGGGCTGCGCAAGCAGCGGGAAGAACGCCGGCAGCGGGACACTCTTCGTCGCAAGAGACACCAGTTCTCCCCACCCTACAGAAACTGGTCGCCTCCGCATCGGAACCGGTCTCCATCATACCGAACGCGAGTCCGGTCCGCATCCCCTCCGTCATACCGGAGCTGGGGAAGCCGCTTTGATTCCCCGTCTCCACCGCTCCGTCGTTCGCGCTTCGAATCGCCTCCCCCATACAGGCGCTTCGCCCAAAGCGAGTCTCCAAACCGCAGCCGTTCGCCCAGCGTTCGGGTCCGCGTTGTTCCGAGGCACGACAACTACAGCTTCGACGACGCGACGTTCTCTCCCAGTCCAACTCCGCCGGAATCCTTCACCCCTCCGCCCGGCGTATCGGCGTACCACCGACCGGGAATGGCGCCACCAGCACCCTTCCCAGCACCCTTCCCAGCACCCTTCCCAGCACCCTTCCCAGCACCCTTCCCAGCACCCTTCCCAGCACCCTATTCCAACCAGTTCCCCTCGCCACCGTCATTCCCCGACTCCTCCGGAACCGCACCGAGAGACACCCGGCCATTCAACGACCACACCACCGCCCCGTTCCGGCCGATCCCAACCAACTGCTTCGCCTGCCGCAATACCCGGACCTGCATCCACTTCCCCCCCTACCAGTCCTGCGCCAGACCCGTGCTATGGCACAACGGCATAGGCTACCACCCGCCTTGCCTGGCCTGCGCCCAGATAGACGCCTCCTCGAGGGCGCCCTTCCCACGCATCCCACCGCACGCGGGCACAGCCTATGCTCCAGGGCCCTATCAGTTCGGCGCCGCTTCGTTCACGCAGTATCCCTTCAACAGCAGCTGCTTCGGCCCCTCCCCGCCGCCGCCTCCTCCTCCGGCAACGACACGCCCCCCATCTTGGATCTCGCAGAGCTCGATGGGACCGGTGCCGCCGGCGCCAAATCCGTTTTCGCCGCTGTCGACACCACCCTTGACGAGTGCAGGCGGGTCGAGCCCGGTTATGTCATCTCCGTCGGCGCGGGTGAGGACGCCGGCGGCCGAGGAGATGGGAGAGCCGGAAGTGAGGGTTGAATCGCCCAGAGCAGGGTCACCTGCGCCGTCCGGGGTGAGTTCTCATCAGTTCTGAGAGTGATTAGGTGTGGTGGTTGTGACTGTTATCTTTGATTCTTCGAACGATTCGGGAGGGGTTGAACTGGCAAGATTGGCTCTGGTTGAACTCCATGACGAGATGACGTGACACGATTATTATGACCTTCGGGTGGTTGCTATTTTGATAGGATCTAGTTTCCTGGTGTATTTCTGCGATTGACTGTTTCCAAATTCAAGAATACGATTGTTATTCGCCTCCAAGATCTGGATCCACCATATGATGTTGCGTGCTTTGAAAGAATCCAAGCCTTGTACGGGGTACAAATCTGCTCTCGGTTTGTGCGTTAGCACGGGTACACGGCGGGGCAGTAGACATAAGACAATTGAAATCAAGAAACAAAGGTGAAAAAATTGCTAACGTATATTATCAGTGAGTGGCCCATATCAGTGAGTGGCCCACCTTTAACAGGCTTGAGTAAGGCTCCAATGAAATGCATGATAAGAGAATGTTGTTGCTCTTAGCGATCTTATCCGGATTTCAGAGTGCAGCCCTGCTAAACTTGTTTGATATGGGCCACTCACTGATAATATACGTTATGATGTAAAGATTAAAAAGTAAAGAAGAGGACAGAAGAGAAGAAGAGGAAGGAAAATATAAAGGGGGAAAGAAAGAGAGAAAGAACAAAGAAATCAATAAAGGAAAGGAGAATACTGTACAAGAAGGTTTAGGTTGAAGATGAGGCGTAATGTCCAGGTCCCGTGCTAACAAGCAACCAGGGTTGAATTGTAGGTATGGATACAGATCCGTACAGGTAGGCTTGAACAAAGAAGGCACAAGGACCCACTTCACCATAGCGTGCCAAGACAATCAAGTGGACCAGCTGTTCTTCAACTAGGTTCAATTGGCGAAAAATTTCCAGAACCAACCACCACTCCTCAACCAAACCACTACCCCCCAGGCTGTTCGAGCTCCCGACAACCGCAGCCATGCATCTCATGTACCTCCCCGAGGCCAACGGCTCGGGCCGGCGCTACACGCTCAAGAAAGTCATGGACGGGCAGGTCACCAAGTCGGCGCACCCGGCACGCTTCTCGCCCGACGACAAGTGGTCGCGGCACCGCCTGGCTGTGCGCAAGAGGTTCGCTGTGCTGCTGGCGCAGAAGAGTATGTTCCTCCCTCTTGTCCCTGGGATCGCTCTGTAGTACGGGGATGCTAAGACTGTGGCTTCAGAATAAGTGGATAATCGTCGGGTTGGTTCGTTCGGCGAGACGAAGGACGACGACATCGGCAATGCCACGCTATGGTCGCTGTGCGATCAATCCTCCCTCAAGTAATTCACAGAAGGGGATATATGAACCCGGCATTCATGGGCCGCCGTCATCGTCCGTTATGTCCGACTTCTCCGCCGGCGGCACCATGACGATCCCAGCCCGGTGGTGACGAGTATTTCGGAAGTTCTTTGCCTGCCCTTAGGCTCAGACGGCGGGTGAAATTAAAAGGCTTGGCGTTGGATTGGTTTGGGGATTTGCACATGGCGTTACGGGCCTTGCATGTTTGATCAAGAAAGGAATACACTAAATGCCCACAACGTTTGATCACGGGGTCCGATCCCCAAATTCGGTACCTTATCATGGCATTGGCATCTGCATACTATCACCTCCTCTTCTTGGCGTTAACATTGCGGCCCGCGCCCACCTTGATCCTCCCGCTGCCCGACGTTCTGGCGCCGCCCAGAATGCCGGGCAGGTAGTCCTGGTCCATGAAGTCACGGTACTTTGTCCGTCGTTCTTCATCCATCTTCTTGGCGTACTCCTTTTGGTCTTCAGTGAGGATCAAGGCCCTTCCCCACCCATTCTTGCCGCCTCCTTTGACATTGTTGCCCTTTCCGCTAGCGGAGCCGTGGGTCGGCTTCGGTATGCTGTAGACGTTGCCCCGATTATTGTACTGGAAGTTCTTCTTGAGGTGAAGGGTGAAGTTGCCCGACGCGTCCGTACTGCACGAGACACGGGTCAAAGTGGGCTGGCCGCAGGACGGGCAGAACTGTTTCGACATATCCTTGCACACTTTAAAGCACCCGTGACATCGCAGAACCCAGGTTTTGAGGTATGTGATGCGGGAGAAGCCTGAGTCGAGAAGACTAGGAAGGTCAGTGTGTGCTTCTTACTCTCGCTTTAGTTGAACGTACTTCAAGTTTATTCTCAACGCCACATTCCGCATGGCCATATCCCCGGTGATCAAGGCCGCCTGCAGTACCCTCTGTACAGGCTGCGGTTCTATGTGTGCATTTTCCCTGGCCTGGTACTTCTTGATGTTGCTGGGCGCTGGGTGATTTATTGTCAGTGCCTGTGGTTGAAAAAACTGCGTTGTAGTGAACGTACTTATCCATTCTCCTTCGCCATCATCTTCTTCCTCTGTTACCTCCTCTTCCTGTTCAGCAGTATCCCCCTCCGCGGAAGGCTGATTAAAGCTGAGATCTTGCAGTTTCTCTGTCACTTGGGCCGTTGCTTGCTCGATTGACGGACCCGCCTCGTCTGCAGCCCGGGGCAAAGCCTCCCCCTGCTCATTTCTTGCATCGGAAGCAATGATTGACGGCTGGACAACCGCTGACTCCACAGTCTCCTGGATATTCGGTTCATCGGCTGCTGCCTCAATCTTGCCCGGCGGTTTCCCATTCACACTCTTTTGATTCGGTTCTCGTCTCAGTCGCCACTGGAATCACCGAAGTCAGACATCGAAAAACTGGCGATAGCTGGGATTTGCGTACGTCACCGCCATTCCTCTCGACTTCCAAATCGTATGTTAGGGCGAGAAGGTGAATATCGGGCTTTGAGAGAACCTGGAGATCGCCCGTGCTCTTCGCAAAGTTGGTAACGAACTGAATGGACTCGGGGCGCGGGTTCCGGAGCTTTAGAAATGGAGACAAAGTAGTGTGGAACCGTGACCTTGCCGCCTCATCGCGAACTGCGCGTGGTCAGCGGGGTGCTGTAGGGGCTCGCGGCGTGGTCGCCATACTCTCTGAAATCACAGCAGGAATGGTGTACAACTCCTCGGCTTGGGTAAGCAACGTCGAAACTGTGGGATCGTTCTTGATAATTGCGTTGGCGTCGATGACCAGGGAATGGATCCGCTTGGATGGTATCGTCGGCGCACTCTCGGCAGGGCCAGGCATGGTGGGGGCGGGGTTCTGCGTCTCGGTGTGCTCTGGGGCAATAGGTTCGCTCGCTGGTTGCTCCATGACTGGAGTGATGGCACCCTCGGCACAGATACCGTGAAAGTGCTACGTTCCAGGTGCGGGTGCTGTTCGGTAGCTCTAGGATTTGCCGGTTAAGAGATCGGGTTGCGAGAAGCAATGCCAAGCCTTCAAAGGTGTTGTTTCTGAATTTCCAAAATTCAGGCGGGGCTAACTGGCAACATCGTGCCAAGTCCTGGTGGTGAGGCCAGCGCCAAGGACTCTGGGCCCACTGCACGTACTGTGGTATGATGGGTAATGAAAATCTTCATGCGGGGTACCTACGCTAACCGAGAGTAAGGTATCCACACTTTTCCACAATAAATACAGTAAACAACTAATTAATATTTTGTATGCATACCCTTGGCTGCAATCACCGCCTTGCACCGATCTGGCATCGAGGCCAACAGTTCCCTCAAGTAGTCGTCCGGTAGTGCCTCCCAAGCCTCATTGACATACTGACGTAGCTTTTCGTACGAGGGCTTTTCTTCAAGGCCATACCGGTCTTCGATCCAGTCCTTCATCCAATTCCAACAAGACTCAATAGGGTTCAAGTCCGGTGAAAAGGGTGGCCATTCCATCACAACAATGCCTCGCTCTCTGAGATTTTCCTTCGTCTCTGCGGCTGCATGCCCTGGAGCACCATCTTGCATCAGGATCAGATCCTCACCAAGCTGTTCCTTGCACAACTGTACCCAGCCGTGAATCACAGGTACAGTATGTGCGCGGTAGGTTTCGGCGTTGATCTTCCCCCAATCCTTTTCCCAGAAAATCCCAGGGCCTTTGCCTAAGCCAGAGAAGCAACCCCAGAACATCCAGCCACCCTTGCGTTGATGCTTTTCCACAATGCACGTAGGATCCCACTCCTCGCCTTGACGCCGGGTTACATACTGCTTCTTATGCGGGCCACCAGTAACCCAGGTCTCGTCGGCCCAAAGGATCTTTGCCCACCGCTCAGGGGTCCAATGGTCATGCTCTTTGGCCCAGGTCTCTCGGAGTTTCCGGGTTCGTTCGGTTATCGGTGGCTTCTTACGAGCAACTCGTCGGCGGAAGCCCAGTCGATAAAGAGCATGCTTGATCACCCACACGCCAAAGACCCCAGCGAAGATGATTGTTGAGAGCTCAAGGAAGCCCATCCGACGAGCTTTTTTACTGGAAACGACATACTGAACAAGCTCGTTTTCTTGCTCTGGTGTTGACGTCCGTGGCCGGCCAGTACTCCGCCTAGCAGTGGCGTCGCGAGCGCGAATAGCGGTCCGGATCTGGGCTTTAGTATAGCCAGTAATACTCTGGATCTCAGCTTGGCTTTTGCTGGCATCGAAATATAAGACCCGAACTCGCTGGCGTTCCTCGGTAGTAAGCTGTTTCGTACCGCTGGATCCCTGTGGCCGTGCCATCGTGCTGTTGTGAGTTATCGAAAATAAGAGATGCTTTGGAAGACGCTGTTCCACAGTACGGACGTACTGTGTAAAGTGGAAAGTTTGGGTGTGTTCAGCTGATTGGCCAAAACGCGTCAGCCTGTTGTGCCCCACAGGTACCTGACATGGGGGTTTTCTTTATGCACGCGACCACAGTATGTAATGGTTCTTCGACGACTGCATTCTGCGATTCTTCCGTAAGTTGCTGAGACCGTCCTCTTGTCCTCTTGCAGAACCACGACAACAGGTTGGTTATTGCTTCGCATGGAATTCCCGCCCGACCTGGTGTTTTTGGCGAGCTAAAAGGTTGGAGGTACTCCATCCGTCCATCATAGAATGACTTACAGCATTGGCGAGAATCTGCCGCTGCGCTGACTTATTGATGCAACATGGCCGTATTCTGGTTTGGCAGCTTTTTGGCTCAGCCCCTCAACGAGGCCCAGAGGTCATGTCCCAACCATTATCTCGGTCGGGGAGGGCCTCCTCCGCTCGTGAATCGCAGTCTCCTCGCAGCGTCCCAGGTTCTGTTGCATAATTATGGGTCCGCAGTACCAGTACAAACCCCTCTTGCATGACGACGAAACCCGACTCTTGCACTTGGAGCCGGGGTCGGGCGACGACGACATCCGTTCTACGCTTCGCTCCGTCAGACTGAGCGAAAAGCGTTCGTATGAGGCCATATCGTACTGCTGAGGCGACGCCGGTGAGACCTGCGAGGTCTGCTGCGATGATGAGCTCCTCCTTGTAACTAACAGCCTTTACACGGCCCTCAGACACCTTCGAAGGCCTGACGCTGTCCGAGTGCTCTGGGCCGACACCGTCTGCATCAACCAACGGGATATACCGGAAAAGAACAGGCAGGTTAGGCTCATGAGCCGTATGTACTCCCAGCCAAGTACCGTCCTTATCTGGCTAGGCGACGACAGCTCGGGATTCGACGAACTCGATGGATGCATAAGGGGCGCACTGGAACTCTTGCCGCCCGAGCATTTCGAATTCGAAGAGATATACCCAATCTCGTACGAAATGTTCGGTGAAGCTGCGGTTTGTACCCCCATCGAAAGAGCCTACAAAAGAACGAAAGCCGCTTACAAGATGCAGCGACTACGGCGCGAGAAGAAGCCCAACTTCTTGGATCACGACTGGCGTCCCATCACCAGTCTTGTCAAGCGGCCCTGGTTTAGCAGGAGATGGATTATACAGGAAATAGCTCCTGCAGACGACACAGTTCCCCGAACTGTTATTTACGGACACATCAAGTTTCCGTGGAAGGAACTCGCCGGCGTGGCCTACAGCATAGCGTGCTACGGCATTAAGACGCTCCTTGCTGGACTCGCAACGAGTAAGCCGTGCAAATAAGAACCATCCCATGACGATTGAAGACACTGACGTTTGACGGCGAGCGAGTCAACTACCACGCACCATACATGCTAGCTTTTCTCGAGGACAGTTGCAAACCTGTCCACATGCTGAAGGCCGTCTTCATGACATACTTGGTAACGGTATACCGTAAGCTGACCCTCGTTGACTGTGTCACCGCGACGCCGGTATTCCAATGCACAGATCGGAGGGACCATCTCTACTCGCTGCTCAGTCTGCAGCAGGATACCGTCTGCCTGGAAGTGGACTACCCCTTGTCCATCGAGGAGGTATGCATGAAGTTCGCCGTTACAACACTAGTCCCCTTCCAAAACTTGAAGCTCCTGTGTCTCGCCCCGGACACCAACTATCAAATCGGAGGCCAAAAGCAGGACCGCCTTGCGCTTCCCTCGTGGGTCCCCGACTTGACGTGTCAGGGCCCCGTGAACCCCCTCGTCCCCTAAGTCACACCCCCTGCTTGTGAGCACCCCCCACATTTGAGCACGTAATTTCCAGGATGCAGATGTCCACCACAACCACTTTAGAAGACTATTTCCGACTTTTCGCGGCCACTACAATACAATCGCCGGTATCACTAGATTCCTCATCTTCAGAAGTTTCATCCAATTCAACCTCTACTGCTCCAGCCCCAATCTGAGCCCTGCGGGTAGCCCCAATGTCCGCAAATACAGTATTTGGGTCCGTATCAACCCTCTTCCTCTTCCTGGGCCTCATGGCTTCCAACTGTGCCCGTAGAGCCTCGTTTTTGGCTCGCAAGAGGGCCATATCACTGTCCATGTTCTCGAAGGCTTTGTTGACCTTCTGGAAGAGCTGTCTTTGGGTCCTGGAAGGCTCTGTTTGCAGGGCGAATTCGGTCAACTGCTGACGAAGGTCAACTCTTTTCTTTGGTGTAGTCCACGTCGTCGGTTTGGCGAAGAAAATAGGTCTTGGAGTGACTGGAGAATGAAAAGTATCCAGATGACTTGCTTTTTGGGGCGTGGGGATTGAAACGCGGGTGTTTCGACCAACAACCGGCTCATCAGCGGTTTGGCGATACTGACCGGCCACAACCCCGAGGCCTTCCACCCCGACAGGATATTCCTACCTACCAAGGCCGTCAATCGAGCCTTACGGTAATACTCAAGGAAATTCCGCTTGCCCACGATGCTTGTATCGCTCCATAGGGCCAGGGCAGTCAAGGATTTGCGGTAAGCCGTTTTCAGGGGCGAGAAGACGGCCAAATCCAATGGTTGGAGGGCGTGGGAGCAGTGTGGTGGAAGATAAATGACATGAATGCGATGTTGGAAACATAGCCACATGAAGTCATCGCTGGTATGACTGCCGTGGCCGTCAAGTATCAACAGACGGTAGTCGGAAGGGCCAACTGGCTGGGTCTGGGGGATAAGGATCCGTTCCAGCCATTCCACGCCTACGGCATTGTTGGTCCAGCCGTTTTCTGTTGCAACGAACTCCCAGCCATCAAAAAACTCTAGATACAACGGAAACCATTGCTGTTGAACGCTCTTGCCCTTGAAAATGACCAACGGATGGAGGTATCTGCCGGTGGCCGAGATGCACTCGATGAAGGATGTCCAGGCGCGTGTACCGGGGGCCTTCCGCAAGATTGACCTCTTTTCCCGGCTCCCAACTACCAGGCCGTTGATCCCCATGCCTTCCATAATGCCGGCCTCGTCCATATTCCACCGGTTGGCCGGCTTGTTCGCCTTGATGTCGGGGGTCGATAGGTAAGGAAACCACCCGCGAATGACCTCAGTCGTGGCGCCATTGACGCGCGCGTGTTCCATTTCCCGGGCTCTCTGGGTCTTCAGGACCGGGTTCCTATTCAAAAACCGGGCTAACCAGCGTTTTCCGAGTGTTGTTGGGTCGCCGCGTGCCCGAAGCATCCGTTGCGCAAGCTCCTTGATCTGCGAGTGGGCTGGAGGTAAGCCGAGGTCGACTTGGTTGAGAACCCATTTCGTCAAACGGTCCTCCTGGGCCTTGGATAGTTTTTGCAAGCTCTCGAAAGCTACTGCGCGTGGTTGACGTCCATCTCGACGGTGTTGTAAGGTTGACCTTGGTATGGCCCATTCCTTTGCGACTACGGCGACTGGCCGGCCTTTTTGAATCTCTGTAAGTGCCTGAAAAAGCTGTTCCTCAGTATATTTGGCCATTTTGGCGCCAAAAAATATCATATACCAAAGGGAACTCCAGGAGATGCAGATTGATGAAGATGTGGTTGTTTGAAGTGGTCGGTCGGGTTGGGTCGCGATGCATCGAATGTGTGCCCAAATATGGGGGGCGCCCACAAGCAGGGGGTTTGACTTACACTGCTCCGCCGCAGCTGTTCCACGCCGGCGGCCATCAAAAGCCCAACGTCACCATCTCCACAGAGACGGCCGGGTGCTCTATCAGGGGACGAATCGTCGACCGGGTTGCGAAACTCGTCAAGCCTCAGAACGAAGTGCCGTTTCCCACCGAGGAAGACGTCGCTCCTGAAGCTGCGCATGAGGGACTGGATAGGAGATTGTCATGAGGTAGCTTATGAGGAATACTGGAAAAGGACAGAAAATAAAGGGGAGCCGGAGCTGGCGCCCGACGAGACCGAGGAACAGGCCGAGTTCAGACGGAGCTTTCTGGAGACTCTTCTCTGCAGCATGACAACGATGCGGGATCCCGTACCAGAAAAGGTGCTCCAAGCGACGCAGGTCTTTATGACCTACCTCTTCGACTACTTCACGGATGGCTTTGAGCTGTCGGAGGAGGTCAGGATGATCATGTTGACGTACGGCGCCATAATTGAGCATTCGCTCCTGACTATGGCCGACTGCCGGCGCTTTTGTCGGACTGAGCAAGGCCGGCTTGGCCAGGTGCGGAACGAGGCTAGGGAGGGCGATGTCTTTGTCTGCATTGTGGGCGCCGAGGTGCCGTATCTTTTGCGAGAGAGCACAGAAAAGCCGGGCGTATACACGCTGGTTGATGACAGCTTTCTCCTGTGCGTCATGGAGGGCGAGGCATTCTCGGACCCGCGGTACGAAGCAGTCGACATTGCGATCGAGTAATTAGGCCCGGGTCTTTTGAGGTCTCATGCCTGACAACGATGCCACTCCTGGAGAGGGAGATGCGAAGGGTCATGTACACCTGTGCAAATCCAGAGTTTTGCTCCAGTCTGTTACCCGTCAACCTGCTATGACTTGATTGTAGTATCTGGAGATAAGGAGGAAAATAAATAAATCATTGAATTAGCGATAGAGATAACGTTACGTTAAGGAGAAACTCAAAAAAAAAATGGACATGGAGGAGGAAAGCAAAGCAAAACGAAATCAAAATCCACGAAGATGCAGAGGATTTGTGTTAGCGGCCTACTTATTTCATCGTGCATTTGAGGGTGGGTTCGGCAAGGCTTGGTGATTGCTGCCTAGAGGAGTTTTTCCACCATCCTTTCGCTCATTCTGCTTCCATCATTCTCGACGATTTACGTCACTCCAAAATTATTCTCTGCCTTTCCCGTTCGCAGCCAGCAGTCCCATCACATAATCCCCCTCAATTACCGCAGACAATCTGAATCATGGAGTCCATCGCAGGATCCCTCACAGCCAAACAAAAGAAACGCCTCCACGGGGTTGCCGGCCAAATGCTCGACATCTACAACACCCTCGCACGCATGCGCTATCTCGAACCAGAATGGATCCAGGCCGGCCCGCACGACGTCAGCTCCCTCATGCCGCTATACCGATCGCTCAAACTCGACCTGTCCATCATCTACCTCTACCACATTTTACCCTACGTCAAGGCCCCGGATTCAGATAGAATGGACTTCTTCATGGGCAGCAGCTTCGCCGACTTTCGCAACGAACACCACGTGCGTGATGGCCGCGATCCTTTTATCAGTGGGAACGACCCCGAGCAGATGATGCGACCATGGATGACGCCGCTGTCGATGCTGGGCAATCACCAATGCGTGATCGTTTACGATGCCAAGAGGCATGTTGTGGGCATCTTCGATCAGGAAGACGGTCGCAGCCATGATCCCAATCTGCGCGAGGGCGTTTATCAAACCTTGAACGAGAGTGGGGAGAAGACGTATATTATCCACAAGGATGGAGTCGAAACCCCGTGTGACGTGGCGGAGTGGGAGATGTCCTTGAACGAGGAGGCGGCCAACTCCGACACGCATGAGCAGGACGAGGAGAAGGATGATATAGAAGCCGAGGGTGAGAATATCTGGGATGAGATGGATGCCCGGCCCGCTCGCAGAGTCCTAGGGGATATCGTCCGCTGGTATCACGAGCTATTCGTAACTCCAGGGGGGGGCGAAATTGCTGGCCAGGAGTGGAATGAGGACCTGGTGAAGCCTCTGTATCGCAAGCACGGCTGGCCTGGCGAAGACTTCGATGGTGACGCCTTTCTTGTCGACCAAGTACGTGCCGACGCTGCAAGAGTTGTCGAGTACCACGCCGAGGAACCGTTCCGGCAGGTTCAGAGCCTCAAGCACCGGGTAGCGGAGCTTGAAGAGAATCGGGCGTTGGCTATGCCGAAGTGGCAGAAGAAGCTAGCAGAAGCGAAATCTCTTGACGAGGAGTGGCTTGTGCGTTGGGAGATGTGGATTGATGAACTGGACACTCGAGGAATGCGAACAAGTCTCAAACGGGCTGAAGAGCTATTCGCAGCCGGCGAGGCCCAAAGACACGAAAACCTGCCACAGTGGGAACTGAGGGAAGTTCAAGTCAGGCTTAGTATGGCAAAGCGACAGCTTGAAGCCCTCAAGCAGGGGCCATCTGGTAGTGCGCAAGACCAGGAAGCCATCCGCCACGCCGAGAAGAAAACCGCAATTCATGAGAGGGCGTACTTGGCCAGTCTCGCTGACGCTGAGCGTCTGTGTCCTGGCAGGCCCTTTACCCTCGAAGTTGGGCAAGCGGAAACCGGTGGACAGGATTACAGCGCAAGGATTGAACGCCTGAGCACGGTCATCAATGGTTCGGAACAAGCGATAGAAGACATTCGGGGATGGATGGCGCAGCTTCCTCACGGCGCTGATGGAGTAAGAAACGTCGCCCAGGCACGTCTGGATTACCAGGAGAACTGTCTCAACCGTTTGAAAGGGCATCAGCGACGTTACACTGAAGCGATGAAGGGGTTTGCTAAACAGAGCACAAGTTGACGCAGCAGAGACAGTGGGGAGAAGAACACTCAGCGCAGGAGGATGTCATCCACTCTTCCCTACCTACCGTATTTCAACCAACATACCACCACTTCATCGATTTCCTCTTTAAGCTAAATCACAAGCTCGTTCTAATTGATGGCCGTCCCGAACAAGGAGAGACCCGATCAGGCCGCAGCCCAGCGGCTGAAGCTGAAGCCGAACCTGTGCTGGCCCAGCTGGGAGGCGACGCCTGCCAAGCCGACTGTAATCGTGCATATACGAGCCCACATCGTGATGGGCTGTTCAGACCATCGGTTTTCCATTCGGACACGGCAGGAAGCCGAGTCATGGTCAGTCAGACGGCAGAATCAGACTCCGCTTGGATGGCAAGTAGTTTTCTGAGCTTCGTTTGCTCACCCTAAAACATCTCTCCACCACGGAGAGAAAGGAAGACTTTTGCCGAAACCACAATACGGGAAGGTTGTTGGCCGGGCTGACCTCATCCAAAATCTCAAACCACTGTCACCACTCTCGCTCAGCGTCAGTGGGCTGCAAGCTTCTCCAACGAATGCCCAAAGCGGATAAGATCTGCGGGTATGGCCGCTTCTCCGGCAACGAGTGCCGACATCTCTCCCGAGGCGGGACTCGGGATTCAATCCGCCATCACTGGGGCCTTTGAGCACCATGTAACGGTACAAGCGGGAAGACTGAGCCTGTCCCCGCATTTTAAACTCGAATACGCATCGTTCTTCATTGAGCCGGCGCGACAATACGATATTCCACGTCTCGCTTCGCTGTCAACCCTTGGCATACGGTGCCGTTGGCGGCACATGACTACCCAGCCTCCAGTGTCCGGCTAGCATGAGGCTACATTGGGCAGAACCGGCGGAAGTCTTCCTGCTTTCCGCTGCCGGGCTTCGTATTGACTGTTTCCCTTACTCGGCCTCATCCATTAATGGATATGAACGCGAAACCGACCAACAGGCACACTGCAAACTGTTGCAGGTGCTGCTATTCTGAGCGCTCACAACAGATTGGGCACCCTGCAGCTGCCGCGACAATGATGAAGCCAAGACGTCAAGACATGTTGACCCGATTTCACGAGGTGTATATAAGACTGTCCTCCGTAGATGATTGATGACACCAGACAGATCGCAAGCCCTTCGCTCTCACACCACACCGCAAACCAACAAAATCTCGGTCGGAACCCGCTCAACCGCAACCATCATGCTCGCCAAACGCAGCATCCTCGCCCTCGCCACCGTGGCCCCCTTGGCCTCAGCCCTGGGCAAGGCCCGCGTGGTCAACAACTGCGACGAGACGGTGCACGTCTGGTCGGTCGGCTCCCAAGTCGAGGGCCCCTACGGTCTCTCCCCAAAGGTCGGCTACTACGCCGAGGAGTTCCGCAAGGACCCCGTGACGGGCGGCAAGGCCCTCAAGGTGACGCGCAACGCCGACGGCCTATACACGGGCGCGCCCCAGACCGTCTTCGCATACAACCTCGACGGCGACAAGATCTGGTACGACCTCAGCGATGTCTTCGGCGACGCCTTTGTCGGCAAAAAGCTGGTCGTGGCGAGCGCCGAGCAGACCTGCCCGTCGATTATCTGGCCCACTGGCGTGCCCCCCGCAGGCAGCCAGGTCAAGGTGTGCACCGCCAACCAGGACGTTGTCTTTACCCTTTGCGCGAATTAGAGGGGATGTTGAATGGAGGAGACGGGAAAGGTTTATGTTCAGATGGTTAATGGGAGCGATTACGAGAGGTGGATCTGCCATTAGATACCTGCATTACGCTTGGCCAGGACCTGGGTTAAGTGGTTCTGTTCTTACATTCTGCAGACTGTGAGACGCTATTTCAATGCTTGATGTTCAGATCATCAGATCTCTTTTCCCTCCGTCACCTAGCAAATGGCATCCTGTGCCTTACGATTCCAACAAGGTTTAACTACAGCAAAATTAGCTTTGAAAAAGGGCGATTGATGGCTAAGTACCTTTCAAAGGTCAAACAATGATCGAAAATAAGTAAACTACCTACCAGGTGCAACGGGAGGGTTGTATATGATTGCACAAGTAGACTGTACCAGCCCTATGTTAATAATAGCCCCTGGACTGCAACTTGAAAACAAAACACACCCCTGAACGGATCACTGTGAGTCTATGACCCTTTTGGGCTTTATCCCCTGCTGCAAACTCGCCCTAACCCAATTATCACGGTATTTTCTGGTTAGATAAGTTATGATGCACATACCAACGGGTCCGATTTACCGCACGAACAACGGGTGGCCTCAGGCAGACGACAGACCAAGAGGGACCGGAAGCAGAGATCAATGGAAGTCCTGGGGATGGCTTGTCTCAGGCAGGTACCTACGTAAGGTCATCACCGATTGGGAAGTTGCCATTTTCAATCAGGTGAGCTTCTTCCTCAGACCTCCTCAATTTGCAGAGGGCATCACTTTCTCGTCACATCATTCACGCTCTTCCCCCTCATCGTTGTGTGACGGGATTCGCGCCTCCGTAACCAACCCTGGACTCTCAAATCAGACCGTAAGTTGCTCGATTTTTACGCTCGTTTTTACTCGGAGAATCTCCCTTTTCTTCTTTGGTCGTTTACGAAATTCGTTGATTGGGAAGGCAAGACGTTCCTGTGCTACTCGGCCTTGACACCCTCCGCAGTTCAAACTCAGAGGCAGTCCCATCACCAACATGCACCGCAAACCCATATCCAACCGCGGCGGTCATCGTGGCGCGTATCGCGGCAGCATCAACTCGACCGCTCGTTCCTCGACCAGTTTTGCGAGCGTTCCTGCCGCTCTTAGCACGCCGCAGAAATTGACAGGAAGACCCCGCCTCGCTCATGGCTGGTAAGTGGCATGTTGTTTCGATTCTCGCCGCAGTCGGAAGGCCGGGAAATACCCCCTTCTCGCCCAACGCACGCGCTGCTGCTCGTATGTCGACAGCGCAATTTACTAAAGGCGCTGGATGACTGAGTAAGGTACTGACACATGTTCCAGCTTCTTGCCCAAGCAGATCTGGCGCCACTTCAATCCCTCCTCGGCAGCGACCTGCATCCCCGATCAGTTGCATACCATCAACAGCAGCAAGGATCTTCCCGATGCCGCCGCCTTTGCACTCATCTACGTTGCCAACCAGCCCCAGTGGATGACGGAGAACACCATCTACGTCAAGTCGTGCCTCGATCTCCTCCCGGAGTACGCCGCGAAGAAGGCCATTCTGCTGGAGCAGCACAAAGAACCGAGCCAGGTAGAGCAGGCAGCCCGCGTGGTCGCCCAGCTGACCGAGTCCGTCAAGTTCGAGCGCTATGGGATCGACGACGGCCCGGACATCGAGTGCTTTGACGAGGAGGACAACATCTCGTCCATCGTCATCCCGGGAGATTGGATGTCAGAAAGCCGTGAGCTTGACAAGCCCGCCTACGTTGACACGCCCAGCGTCAAGTACCATCCCACCGAGCACGGGCCGATCGCCGTCTATGCCAGCTACGGGATAGAACCGGACAAGAGGGGATTCAAGTTCGTGGCTTGGTTCCTCATCGAAGAAATTGAGCTGTTTGCCGCCAACTCTCGCGACCTGGCCCGCAAGATGCAGCACAAGACGTGGTCCGCTGACATGCGCTGCGAGTGGGCTGCTATCAAGCTGAAACGTGTGGAAAGGGGGGAGCCGCAGTGGCGCCCTTACCCCTACATCCAGCGCGGTGCGGCCAAGGCACAGACCTCTGGTGGCGAGAAGAAGGAGGCCAACGGTGGGGAGGTGATGGGAAAAGTGACGGAGGAGGACCAAGAGCAGGAAAAGGAGGATGATAAGGAGGATAGCAGAGAGGAGGACAATGTGGAGGAGGTGACAGAGCAATTGAAGGAGGATGGCAAGGAGGATGACAAGCAGGATGACAAGAAGGATAAAAAGGAGCAGGACAAGAAGGTAAAGGAGGAGGAAACCAAGGGGGAGGAGATCAAGGAGGAGGAGATCAAGGAGGAGGAAATCAAGGAGGAGGAGACCAAGGAGGAGACCAAGGAGGAGAAAACTGACGCTAAGGTCGTCTCAGTCGATGAGCAGGTTGTGGGGGTTGAGGTTAGGAAGAGGAACTGAAGGATGCTGCCAAGTCGGGTGAGACTTGTCTTGGGGATATGAACGATGGGGAGTACACTGGTGCCTTCCCAAAGGCAGTGGTGGTAAACGAGCAGGCAGAGGAGGCTGAGGTCAAGGAGGGGGCGCTCATAGAGGACAAGGCGAACACGGAGGTGGCAAAGGCAGCGAGGGACGCTGTGGAGGAAGAAGACGAGAAGAACGGTGAGCTGAACGAGGAGGAATGAAAGGGGAGGCATAAAGTCCCAGCTCTGTGACATTTGCTTCAGTTTTTCGGCTGCCTTCCTAGCAATTAGGCATATAGGTTCGTCTCCAGAGAACTAGATGGTTCCCCAAGATTAAAAGGAGGGAATCACATCCTCTCCTCTCCACAGCCTGGGCTCTACAGTACGTCATGTATTGTACATGGGCTGATATGAACACTCCAAAGCAACACAATGGTCCTATATCATGATCGCACTTCATGATCACAGTTTCTAGCCCTCACCCTTCGGAAGCATTTGCAGATGTCCTGAGTACACTACATGTGTACATGCTGGTAGCAACGTAAGTCCTCTTTGACAAAGGGGGTCCCATGTGTAGAGGGCTTATCATACAACGCAGCTCAATGTGTGTTTAGCCAAGCCAACCTGACCAAGCCGCAAAACCACGGCAGGATGCAAATGTCCTGTACAAGAACGCAGCAGAGCAAGCCTAACCAATGCCTGTCACGGTATATGGAACACTCCAATCGCCAACTCAAGCCCTGCCACCTATACCCCATTACCCTTGAACGCAAGCAAGCAGAGTCGCCTCCAGACGAGGCCACCTCTAAAACACAGTCCCGTCGCTGTCGATGAGGATGGGCGGCTCCTTGGTATTTGGCCGGCTGACCTCAGCAATTTCCCGACCTCCCTGCGGACGCCGTTAGCAAATTCAACCAGGGCATCCAAAAGCATGGGACAAATACACACCTTCCAGCTGCCCGCCTCCAACACCTGCGCCAGGCTAAGCTCATGGCCAGCCAGCTCGGCCTTCAGCGCCTTGTTGACCTCGGTAGTCAACATATCCAGGAAGCCCACCGTGACGCCCCGCCACTCGACAATGACATCATCCCCAGGCTCGAACATGGGAGCCACCTCGACTCCCCCGGTCCCGGTGCGCTGGCAATATTCGGCATAGTACCGAAGACCCCGTTCCTGGTCCTCTGGCTTGAGCGTCAGCACGCCAAGGTCGACAAAGAGGCCGCCGTTCCGGTACTCGGGCAGTCCGGTGAGCAGTTCTTGGCCTGCGAACTGGATCTTCATGATGCTCTGCATGGGTTGCAGGAGCGAATACGTGAGCCACTGAGTGAGCTTGTGGAAAGGGAGGATGCTCTCCCATGGCGCGACACCGTTGGCCTGGCCTGTCGTGTTGGGGAAGGGTGAGAATGTCGGGCTGGTGGGTGATTGCGCGGGCTGGGGCATTGAGCTGCATGGCCAGGCGTCACCTAGGGAGACGCCGTTGATGGCTGTCCGGGATGGCGGCCAGATGGGGGCGAGCCCGTTCATAAGAACGTTCCAGAGCACCGGTATCGGGACAATGATGACGCTAGAGGCTTGGGTTGCGGGATGCGAGAGAATGTGGTCTGGTCGGTGGTCAGTAGCAGCACTAACGAAGTGCGGGTCTTGGGCAATCCTACCGAGCATGTTGCCTGGGCGGCCATCTTCACCAAAGAATTCCCTGTTCTCCAGCGCACCCCCGAGACGAATGAGGAGCTGTGCTCTGCCTTCCAGGCCAGCCATCTCGTTCCCGGGCCTCGACTGCAGTCCTTGGGCAAGCTGTTCCACCGTCAAGTGCCTCAGGCCCTCCTTATCCACCTGGTACTTGTTGTTCTGGTTACCAGAGAAGAGGCCCTATAACGGGACTGTTAGTATCCACCAAGGGGTTCCTGTTGGCGTCAATCGGATAGACTCACCGCCTTGAACATATCCAAGGTCGCAACAGCGATACCCTCCGACCGCCTGTAAACTCGCCCATTCTCAATGCTCTTGTAGCTCCACCCGGTGCCGGCGCCGGCATCTAGCAGCACGCTGACGAGGAAAAGGTCGAGCATCCGCTTGCATTTTTCCGTGTTGTCGACCTCCTCCGGCCACGTCGCCAGAAGGTGTGCAATCCGGTCGCGTCCACCGACACCAAAATGTTGATATCGGCCATGCCCAGGGATGCTCGTAAAGGGTGGATCGTAGTCGCGCTGTGCAGCCACGGTCAGCTATCTGCGGCGTCAGAGTCGGAGATGACAGCCCCTCCCTCAAAAATAGTTTGGCTTCGTCCCGGCACTCCTCACCTTGATAATGTTTGCCACAAACGATACCACGTCTGGAAACTTGTCCATATCCACGTCAAAATGGTGCAGCTCGTTCTTGCATGCTTTGGCCGTCACGATCCTGCACCGCTCCCGCACGGCGCCCAAGTTGCGCAGATAGCCCGCAGGGTCAAGCTGCGGGTCTGGTGGCCTCGGCATGGCGACACTGGGTATGGGACCAGGGGAGAAGGGCGTCAGCGGTGTCCCCGGACCGCCAATGGTGCTCGTGGTGCCGGCCGATGTCCGATTCATGACGCGGCCGCTGGTATTGATGGGGGTGACGACGCTCGAGGACCCCGACGTCAACGATGATTTTGACTGCGAGTTCGAGGGTGTTGGTTGGGGGTTGTTGTCGGCCGCCTTCGGCGCCCGGTCCCTCTTCGAGAACAGGCCCATGTCTGCTGCTGTGATACGTAGATGCGGTCTCAGTGGTCGGAAAAGGGTGAGATTGGCCAGTAAGCGGTGGTCTGCAGGTGGGCGATTCGATGCGACGAACGGACCAGAGCAATGCTCGCGTGACACCAGTGGAGCTATGAGCAAAGTTGCTCCAGAAAGGACTGCAATTCAATGGCGGATAGGCTACTGGCCCCTTTGGCTGTCAGTGCAGTACCGTGTCTTTGAGGTTGTTTTTCTTCTCTGTTGAGCAACTTGAGCAAACAACCTCACGCGAGCATTAACAACGGAAAAGTGCGAAGTCGGGATTTTCTCTCTGATTCGTTCGTTGAGAGGTGTTTGTTCGCATCAGAAGGTCAGAACAGAATCCCAGGTCAAAAAGTCAACAAGGAAGAACTGCGAGGTAGCAATAGGACAACGAGCTTGTGGGCCCCTCACATGGATTGCATGGATGAATGGGGAAAACTGCCAAGTGAAGAAGGTTGGGACTTGGGAAACAAATGCCCCTGAGGTCGGGAGGGGTAAAGGTGGGGTTGTCCAGGGGCGCGCGGCCTCGACGGCGTTATCCATCCGCCCCTCATTGCCGACAACGCCCAGTCATGGATGGGAATTGGGAAATTGAAGGAGAAATGCATCGGCCATGGTTTCTCAGGACACATCTCGGTGAAGAGAACAACAGCGTCTTCCGGCTGGTCTGACGTTGTATCCTCGAATCTTGAGTGTGCAACACTGGACTCTTTTTGGCAGGATCCCAAACCTCGGCACCAGCTAAATGGAGCCCCCGGGAAACACGCCCGGTCGCTTCCACCCGCCTTTCCGTCCGTCTCTTGCGCTGTTTGATCGCTCGGACGAGAGATGGCCTGATAACGATACCGGTAGCATCACTTGCCGAGCGCTCGCTTCCGGATGACCAGCGCTCGAGGGAACCGACCACGAAGACAATGGGGCTCGAAGCTTGGAGTTAGCACCTCCACTGGCATGGATGGGATCCAGAATGCTCCCGTCACGCACGAGCGATTACCTTGCCGATTGAAGATCGCGGACAATCGGCGTTGGAAAGAGCAAGCTCTCTCCTTCATGCTCAGTTGCCGCTACCATCAGCTGCGACCTCCTCCCTCCAGGCACACGCAAACCCCAGGTCCTTCCCTCACCGTGCTGCCGCTAGCGGTCGCTAGGGCGCTGATTGGCGGCGTGTTGGACGCATTTCCAGTGGTCGACGGCCGCTGATGAAGTGCCCACCGAGACCCAGAGTTGTGGACAGACCGAGTCAGCTTGAAGCAATGGCCGGGAAGCATTCTTCCCAAAAAAAATAGCACCTTTCAACCAGGCCACAACGTGGTGAGGATCCATGAACCCTTGCCCGAGACCCTACCCTCCTGCAGGTACGGCGTAACATCAACCCCCCTCCATCGCCGCGCGACCTGAGAAAACTTATCGATGTGATCCTTTCGTCACACTGCAACCGTGATCTGCTCGCAGGGCCAAGGCTAATATGGTCCGGAGGATCGAGGGTGGGAGATCTCGCAACCCGTCCACTCTCTTTACTCACCGGCTTGGCGTCGTCCATTAAACTTATCGGCCCAGATCGGTCCGGTGTCAGGGAGCTGCCAAAGTCAAGCAGTCTCCCAAGACTGGGGAACACTATGTAGCACAGCTGGGCCTGGGAAATATCTCATAAAATCTACCGGTAGCGTTGACCTGGTTGGGTATAGATGGTTGCTTTCTCTGGCCAGTTGGACCCAATATCCGAGCGCTGACCGTTTGAGCGTCTGCCGCCATCATGAGGCCAGGGACGCTCGGCCTCAGAATTTCCTTCCTGGGAATGCACTAACTAGCGCGCCAACGTCAAGTAGTCCTGGAGAAACAGCGCCAAGAACCCACCTGTCTGGTTTGTCCATGTCGTCGACACCTTTAATGCCCCTCTCAATGCCTCTGTCCCGGGTACCACAGCATCTAGAATCAGTCCAGAAACACGAACGAAGCTTCTGTTGATCTCCGCCTTGGCAAGTTCTCTTTCGTTTTCGCTTTCTCCGAACGACGCCATCACGCAGATGAACTTCATGGCTCGCAGCTGTCACCACAGGGTCAACCAATACTTCAACGTAATCCGAGTCTGGGCATGCAATCACAGGCAATGCAAAACGAGCGTGGAACGCTCCAGGCTCAAGTTGCCAAGAGTGACGAGCCATGCCCATGGCCACGGCATTCTCCGCGAAGCAACCGAGAAGCCTCCGTGCTCAGCGCCCAGCTCTGGTCTACACATAACAAGAGGTCGTCGGCGAGCATGCAATTCGTCCATTTTCAAGAGATTCCTTCACGGTCAGATCGCGACAGCAATTCGTTGGTCATAATGGTCCACCTATCAAAGCCGGCGGGACCGTGGGAAGTTCTGGGGTGGTCCCTTGCGGTGTGCCGTCTGGGACCGGGACAACATATGTAGCCTTCTTCAAAAGCCACAAGCGAACGACAAGTCAAAACCAGCGGTGCATCGTTGGTGGTCGACACCCTGTTTCCGGCGTTTTCCGCCGCTTGTATTCCGTACTCCGTACTGTGTGTGGAACTCGGTCATCAAGGGGATTGTGGACCAGGCGAGCCCTTCATGAAGTTGAAGGCAGATCGGGATCGTCCGGGCCATTCGCGCGTGGCGATCAGCAATTCTTTCCCCGCTTTTTAAAGGACCGGCAAGCCCTTTGGGATCTTCAAGGCGCATTGTCTGTCTTTTATGTGGCTTCGCAGAACGTACGTTTGTCCCAGGGAAATCAAAGAGATTCGCGTCTTTGCCATGCATTGATTGGCTCGGCTGCTGCCCGAAGAGCGTCCCACATGCACTGGGAGACCCGAGCACAGCCTCGGCAGGGTACATAACTAAACTACTGCACCTTAGTCAAGTGAACTACTGCGCAGGCAGTAACCGGCCTTTTACTCAACCCTAGCATCAGCCTCTTACTGGCAGAGATGCCATTTCGAACGTAGAAAGTATCTGACTAACACCTGTTCATCTTGAAGCTCTTTTGGCTCCGGCTACCAATACGGTATGATAATTGAAGACCCTTCTACCTCCAAAGGCCAGGGTAGTGGATATAATGGGAACCGTCACTCTCCGTCTTCCCTTGCAGTCAAGGCCGAGGGTCGAGGACAATGTTAGTCTACCACAACAAAACGGGCCAGCTCAGTACCAAGGAGTTAGCCTCTTTCAACCGACCGCAGCGTATACTTAATGTCAGGGACGGGAGCCAACCAAGCCATGGGCATTTGGAAGCTACCTTGTATATCGGTTCACCGCCAGGGGGCAAACCCTCCATGACCAATATTCCGACACAATGAGGGTGCAACGGTTCACGACTGACTTGGGTAATAAAACAAACGACGAGTTACCGAGTAATCACCTCCCAACTCCCTCCCGTAGCAGCCCTCTCATGCAAATACAGCCGGGTGACGCCAGATATTCATCTCGTTCCAGTTCCGAGTCAAGGTAAGCCATTCACCATCGGGTGAGATAAGCTGTCAGAAATACATAGAAATGTACACAATAAAAAGGGTATTACATGTCCGATGACCTTAACAAGCCCCCCTTGAGATTGGTGCTGAAGAGGGGAAAGCAAAGAGCTTCAACGTGAGTAAAACTGATTCCGTGCAAAGGACACTCTCTCCCACAATACCCACCCAGCCGCAATGCACCGCAAAAAGCAAGCCCAGCCAAACCGGCACCCTGTGTTATCCTTGGTGACCGCATCAGCCACCATGAAAACGCCACCAAAACCCGAGACGCCCACCGCAGGTCGCTGGCCTGTGGCTGGGATGCATGCATCAAAACCCCTCCAACTAAGATTCCTTTCGAGCATCCATCCACGACGCCGCCTCGCTCCGCGCCGCCTCCCTCCGCGCCTCCTCCAACATCTCCGCCGCATTCGAAGGGTGGTGATGGTGTTCGGCAACCGCTTTCTTTCGGTGGTCCCCCTCCTCATCATCATCCTCGTTTACCAGATCCACAAACATGCTTTCGTCCCCATCCCCTTCATTCCCGACCCCGATTCCAATGGGGTCATCATCCCTTGCACCGCTGGGGCGGTCACGGTCTCGATCGCCCCAAACATCAGGCCCAAAGATCTCCTCTGCACGGCGGCGGCCCGTGTCGGTGCGCGACAGAATCTCCAACACCCTGGCCTTGCCGTGGTCTGTTGAGAGCTGTGCGTTCAACTCGTCGTCGTCAAACGTGCCGCGGAGCAGGCGCTCTTCGAGGTCGTGCGTCGAATCGCCCGCAACAAGCAGTTGCGGACCAGGTCCGGCCCCGTCGCGCAGAAAGATCCCCGGTGGTGCGGAACCCGGGTCAATGTCCATAGAGTCACGACGCAACATGGAACCGGACCCAGACCGGCCGTGCTGACTGTGCGATGACGCCGCGTCAACTCCGCTTGAAGGGCGAGTCTGCGTGCCGTTGGAGAGGCCCGGCGTCGTAGGGAGGGCCGATGTGTTCCGGGGGAAGTACGAATGAGGCGGCGGCCCGTATCCGGGGCTGTCCACCATCATGATGGAGCCCGAAGGGGCGTTCGCGGCAGCTGCGGCGGCCTCGGCGTTCATGGCCTTGCGTTTCAGGCTGTTAGCCTTTCCCTTGACGTTTTCAGGAAGGTCATCCGGGTCATCCACGCCATATTGAGCCAACAACTTCTGCAGTTTGGTAGGCCGCGGCTTGCGAGTGCTCTTAGACACTTCGAGTAGCGGCGGCGGTTCAGGGGCAACGGGACTCCACTTGTGGAGTTCCTGTCGGAAGAAGTTGGTTTCGTAGGCCAAGAGAATTTCAGCACCCTCGATTTTGCGGAGGTAAAACCGCTGTGTCTCCGCCTCAGAAGCTGTCGATAGGATCGGGTTGCAGTACGACGCGATATGGTTGCGGAACTCGGTCGCGTTGTCGATGATCTTTTTGAGCACCTCCTCCTCCTCCGGTTGGAATGGCAAGCCGGGAATTTCTGCCTGCCAGGAGATGAGGTCCTCCAGCTTCGGTCGAGCGGCATCGCGAGGAATTTTGACGCGCCAGTCGCAGATTGGGCAGGTGTACTTATCATCTTCCTTCACTTTCCCACGCGCAATCTTGAGACATTTGCCGTGATACCACTCGTGGCACAACTCGCACTCAATCATCATGCCGGCTTCGGTGCGGCGGCAGATGCAGAACACCTCGCGGAACTTTGGGTCCTCCCAGCGACTGACCTTGTCTTTCTCTGGACTCGGCTCCCGAGACGCAGGCTCAGCAGGCACCCGCGGCTTGTCGTGGACTATGTCGAAGCAATCGAGGTTGCGGTCCAGCACATATTCCATATGGCTCTTGAGGATGTGCAGAGGCGCGTTTGTCTTGCCAAAGAGCTTCTTCCCCTTGCGCATCCAGTCCTCATGTCGTTTTTGCTCCTTCTCAAGCTCGTGGGTGCCGCTTGGCTTGGCCTGAAGCTCTTCAATCTTCTTCATGACGTCGGCAACCTCGGCATACTTTGGCCTTTGCTTGTAGTCGAAATGCTGTGAACGCTGATTCAGGTCCATGATCTGTTCGTGAGCGTCGCGGTGCTTCTGAAGGATCTGGTCCACGATGGCCATGGTTTGGGGTGAGACCGGCCAAGCGTTGGCTTGTACTTGATCAGCCAAGGCCTGGAGTTGCGTGTAGTTAATTGAGTCAGCGTTGATGATCTCCTGGACCTTCGCATCCCACATGTGACCGTGTGTCAGCTGTTCCGTATAGAAGGCGAGGTGGTCATTGTAGACCGGCACGTTGAGCCGCTTGCCCTCATCGATGAGGTCTCTGACATCATCCAGACTCATCAGCTTGTTCCGGCTGCTGCTCGCCTTTTCGTTCCATTGCAGCTGATCCAGGAGACGGGTCAACTGCTCAACCTCCGGAATGTCGACATTGAAACTTTGGCCTTCTTCCAACAACTTTTCCACCGAACCGATGGCGCGGGCCTGCCTATGCTCCAGCATCCTCCCGGCCTCCTCCTGGAATGCCTTGATGGCGTCGGCGCGCTCTTGGAGCTGGAGAATCTCCGGGCTGTCAAACCCGATCTGGTTGGCTTCGTCAAGGAGTCGGTAGATGTTCGCAACATTGCGCATCTCGCGCTCCTTCTGATCATGCTGCGCATTTCCGACCGACTTGCGTGCCCCTGTCTGCCACACTCTCTCGTTTTTGCGTCGATTCTGCTGTTTCCGGACCGTGTAATTGGTCGCCTCTTCGACCCAGTGGTTGCAGCGCTCGACAAATGTCTTGAGGACCGGCAATGACGGAAGTTCATAAGGGATCTTTTCCCCTTCGGCAAGAAGAGTCCGCAGGGTCTTGAGTGACGGCGTTGCATCGGCGTCCAGGAGACTTTCGTACTTCTCTTCCCACGCCTCCGGCATGTGCGCTTTGTCGGCCACTTTTCTGTAGGTTGTGGCCATGACATCGTCGGATTTGCGGTAGTAAAGGGCGTGCTCTTTTCCGAGGTACCTGTCCGACTCCTGAAGATCGCAGCAGGGGTGGTTTCCGGCATGTAAGAGGCAGAGCACCTTGCCCGTTTTGAGGCATATGAACCTGGAGAGGTAAGTGAAGGCTTTGCAGTAAAAGCAGCCATACTCCTCCTCTGGGACGTCATCATCGTCGACCTTGAACGTCATGGGGCACTCATCATCGCCCTTCCCGCCAAAAACACAACGGTGGCTCTGCGCGGGATGTTTCGCATCGAGATGCTTGGCGATGAATTCGTGCTTGGCGATAAATTCTTCTCGCTGAGAGAGCTCCCGCTTGTGGATTTTGTCCAAGGCGGGAGCCAGCCATTTGGCGGTCTGGATGGTCAACCCGCCGCTAGTAAGGCCTTCTGCCGCGGTCCACAACAGCTCATCGTGCGAAAAACAGGGCTGCCGCCGAAATAGCTGGAGTCTCTCAACGCCCGCAAGACCATACGGCTCCCAGTCACAGGGGGCAAAGTTAACTGCCTCGTTGAAATTGAACCCGTGGTTGAATCCGGCATGGTAAGCCTGGGGAAAAGTAATGACGAACTGCCCTGCCCGTTGATCTAGGGCATAAACGCGTACGCCAGCCTTCTGCAGCTGCTCAGGCGTAAGAAGCGTGACAAGTTGAAAGAGCAGGTCTGGCTGCGTCTCAAACAGCTCTGGAACAGCCTCCCGCATCGCGTTCTCGAACTTCTCGGCGTCGTCACCAGGGATTCCATACCAGGTCTTCGTTGCGCCAAAATGCTGGTAGTTCGCTGAGTACGAGTAGTGGTCCTCGTTATGCCAGCAGAAGGTGGAGAACGTCATGCCAACGTAGACCCAAGGCACCGTCATGCCAGAGATGTCAGACTTAATATGCCGGAACAAGCTGTCGGGGTGGAGTGGTAGAAGGTTGAGGTTCCAAGGATCGGTAGAGTAGGGGTTGTCGGGATGTTTCTCGATGGTCGGAAAACCGGACCCATGGGTCGTGCAGTGGATGTCCGCGCCATACTCCACTGTCACGGTCTCCTCGATGTCGGCCACCAGCCGCCAGAACTCGTGCTCCACATCGTCTTCTGTGACTGGTCGATGACAATTGAGGACCGGGTCGAAGGGCATCTTGTTGGAGAAGTATTGCTGCTTGAACTCTGCGGCCTTTTCCTGGAACTGTTTCAGCGAGTACAGCCCGCCCTCCTCGAACCCGAACTGGCCGTCGCCCACCAAGCATCGTGGACAGTTCCATTCAGTTTCTGGTCTGGTCTTGAGGGGCGGATCGAGGCAACTACTGTGATAACCATGATCACAGGACTCGCACATTAGAAGAAAGCTCCCCTCCTCATTACCTCTGCCGCATTGTTCGCACTTCTGTTCTCCTGTTAGCGTCTGGTAAGTGCAGAATACGATTCAACTGTTGGGCTTACCTCTCCAGGGCCTGCTGCGTCATCTCGGGTTATCCTAGGTGCCGCTGAACGGAAGAGAGACATGTGCGAACCGGCGACGGTGGGCACGGTATCTGTGCGCGAGTAAATATCAGTAGCCGCTCGTAAGCTACTGGTCACATCACATCAGTAACAAACCTTTCTTGAGCCGTTTGCTCCTGCGGCTCCCGGGTTCCCCTTCGTCCTGGTCCACGGAATCCTTCTTGGCAGATTCCTGACTATCGCAGCTCAGCTGACGCTTGAGTCCGGAAGGCCCTAGCGTAGACGAGCGGAGCTCGGGTGTGTTTTTTGCAGACGCGGTGGGTGTGCCGTTGGTTTTGGACGTGGCAAGGCTCTTTCCGTCCGGGCGGTTGGCGCTGGTAGAACCCGACGTGGCCGGTGTGATAGCCCCTGAGTTCACTGCGGTGAAACCCGTCACTGGCCTGGGGGTGGTGGATGCGGGGCAGTCCGTCATTGAGATGTCTTGATCCAGATCCTTGGCCGGCCCATCAAGGGATGCCTGCAATGCATCCGTCGCATGTCTCGCTGGGGACTCGGACGCGGGACTTGCCGGGGTGGGAACGGTTGACCGCTTCAGCGGACTTGGAGCAGGACTCGGCGTCAATGGGCCGCCGTATTCAAGCTCGAGCTGCTGGTGAACACCCGGCTTGGCGATCCGCAAGTAGTCCTCGTAAGGGCAGAGCCATTTCTGATACGAGTTCTTCAAGGACGTGGACAAAGAGGACATAATCTTGCCGCTATACCCGAGATCACGTCCAATCTCGGCCCATTTCTTGAGCTTGCAGACCTTCTCGAAGCCGCCACGGGCCTCGACGGCCTTCTTCAGGCGGTACAGATCGAGGGGTTTCTTGTCGACGTAGGGCCATCGAGTCAGATTCGTGCCCTGCTGCTTGTGGAACTTTGCGAGAGCGTCGAGATAGGACAGATTTGCGCGAGTGCCTAAGCCCTCACCCTCAGCATTGTGCTCCTAGGGAATTCGCGCGGGAACCGGGGAGGGGAAGCCTTACTGCCTTCAACAGAGTTCAACTCCTGCTTGCGGGTGCGAAAGTGAAATTTCTGCGGTGATGCCATCGTCAGTTACTGTCAATTATGATATTTTGGTACCTCCATGAGGAACCGCCCTAGCTGCCCAGTTCTCCTTCGCCCAGTTCTCTTTACTGCCGTTGAGGCCGCTCACCTCGGTGTCAATGGCGAAATCGGGATTCCACGACTCGGGCGGAATGATTTTGCACAGGCCATATTGCCGAGCCTCTGGTGAAATCTTCTTGATGTACTCAAATGGCTCTTTCCATTCTTCCTCGGTAGGACGGTACGTCGGCGCTTCTTGAAGACCGTGCGGGCGACTTTTCTTCTTGACCGGCTCAGGGCATGCAGTGGGCTGGCCGCGTCTCTCAACCGAGGCCAAGTCGAGCGGAGCGCTAGTCAGCGAGCTGAGCGGGTTTGGTAGTTTCGTTGACTGGGTGCCGTTGGACTGTGATGTCTTCTGTTTCCCACTGCTGCCGGGCATCACCGGGGGGGCTATAGCCGGGGAGGCTCTCATGTTTGCATCTGCAATCGAGCCAAGCCCCGGGGGCGCTGGTCGAGCGTTCAGCCCGTCAAGTAAAGATCTTGAGGCGATGCCCCCCAACGGTTGCGCTGGTCGAATTGGTAGAGGCAGCTATCTGTTGGCGATGGGCGTTGTCGGAATGGGGATCGCAGGAGTATCGGCGAAAGTACAGGATTACGGAGACGTTGAGTGCATTGTAGGAGGGAAGTCTGCAAAGGTGCGACGCACGATGTTAGAACCATGCGATAGCAATGCTTGGAGCAAGGATCTGCGTGTCCGTCATGTGAATGTCCCATAATAAAACGCAGCGTGCATATACATACCAGCTAGGGCCTCCAACAGAACGAGAGAAGTTCCAATCTGGTTCTCCCTCCTCAACAGCATGCGAGGAATGATTGCACGCAAACACCGACACCTTTTCTGGGGTATCACGAGGGAGATGGGGAGGAACAAGCCGTTATCGGTATTCGTGGTCACTGTACATAAACCCTGGGTACCGGTCGGTGTTGGCGGCCGTTGACGCAAAATCAGAAATGGCCCAAATCGTGTGAAGAAAAAGAAGTGTGGCAGTTGAGGTGGATGTGGGTGAGATTGGGACATGGGACCGAAGCGGGAGATGGGAGACGTTCCCAGAGGAGCGAGGGAAAGCGGCAGCGGCAGCGGCCGGAACGAAAGTTGGGAGGCGCAAAACCCACGACAGGCCGCATCTGAGTTGACATTCTCGGCAACAAAAGTGGAGCTGCAGGGGCCAAGGCTGGGCCCTCACCTCACTTCTATGTGTAGTCTCCATCGTGACCACCACCACCACTCCATCTATGGCCTTTTCCTGGTACCTCAGCATCTAGGATTTTGAGACGTTTCACCGGGTGTTTGGTTTTTACACATGAGAGGTATCTGTAGTTGTTTGTGAAACTTAGCCAGTTCTGCCGTTTAACCACGGGATCAGAAGCATGGGTTTGCGAAGCCGATGTCCCAAAGTCGACGGAGGGTCCCTGAAGGAGAACCCTGCAGCTGTGTTGTGATCGCTTGGTTGGGCAAGAAACATGACAGCGGAATGACGGCAATGGAGACATTGGTGCAATTAGCACCCAAGGTTGAATCAACAGTTTCGCCTTATAGAGCTCCATCCACAAACTGAGGTCTGGTATTCGGATTGGCTCCGGAAAACCATGGTACTGTCCGCCAGCTTGGCTGGGCTGTCTACAAGCATCATGGATGTGCAAGAGTGGTGGTCAACGGGCTGCGTGACCGGCGGCAAGCGGGATGTTTGTCCAGACATCGGTCCGGCTTTGAAAGGCTCGAGCCAACGTAGGCTGACTGGCCAGCCAATCACCGAAGACTTGACGTTGGCAGAGCAAGAGCAGGGCGAGGCTGATAATGTGTTACCTCATGCCCTGATGTATCCGTGAATTCCCATGCCCAGGTCCAAACTTGGGTTCGCTGGGTCTCACATCAATCTTGGAGGATGAAGAAGTCTGTACGGATATGTTACCTGGATTAGCTTGAGTGTCACTTGCCAAGCAAGAAACCCACCGCAGCATGTCTGTGAAGAGGTAGTAGAAATAGCGTGTATGTGGGTATCTTGATGTCAGCAATGGTTGTCCCGCCGTCGCTCAAACGCCGCGCCAAAGTAAACCGGATCCATCCTGATCACATCACCTTGCTCAAGCTTTACCAGCAGCCTTGTTCGCGCCGCCGCGACGCTTCCTCTTGAGCAGCTTGTCCACGTCCTTTTGACCCCTGACCCTCAGCGTCAGCTCCCTCATCATATCACCCCAAAGCACCACGCCGTAGCACTTGGGGCAGTGACCCAGAACCGGCATAATGCTCTCAGTGTATTCGCCTGCCAAAAAGTGGCGACTCCAACACGAGAGATGGCCGACCCCGTCACAGCCATGGTTGGTGCAGAGCGCCTGGAGACCTTCGCCCGCCTGCATCTCCTCCTGGCAAACCACGCATCGCCCCTGGCGCTCAAATTCGAAAATATCTTGTCCCTTGGCCACGTACTCCTTGATCGGCTCGTAGTCCAGCGGTAAGGCGTGGATCCCCCACGTATGCAATCCCCCTCCGTCCTTGACCTCACGTGCCGCCTCCGTCTCATTCCCGGATGCCGCCTCCCTCCCAAAATCCGTCACCACCGCCAAGTTCGCCCTCAGCTGCTCGGTTGCCGTCGTGCGCCACTTTTCCCACGCGTTGAATACCCCCCGATTGAAGAAATGCACTTTGAGCGGCCACCGCGCGAAGCTGGGCACGTGCAGGAGGAGGTGCAAGTTCGACACGACCGAGGTGAGACTCTTGGACGGGCGACGCGGCTGCCCGTTGGCCTTGACTTGCGTTGAGACGGCGAGGCGCGACGACGAGGGGATATGCACCGATATGTGCGGGTTGTTCAAAGCCCACCTGTCGACGCCACACAACGCTGATTAAGCATAGCCGCATGAGATGGTTTTGGAATCATGAGAAACCTACTCAAATTTCAACGCTGCCGTCATGCTCGGAAAACCCGAGACCAGGGCCACCATCTCCCATGGCCGGAGCTTGGTTCGCGATGTGCGGGCTGCGCCGCCACGGACTAAGCCGTTGTGCTGGCTCAACCGGCGCGGCGGGTTCGGAGTGGAGCCGATGTAGAGCGAGGCATGGCGGACTGTTGAACGCAAGAGGTAAACAGTGTAGAGCGCCGGAATGGGTTTGCATTGGACTGCCATAACGCGTCGATCGAAGGTCGTTGGAGTGCTGGGCTCAGTTACCCCTCAATTCTGCAACATTTCAGGCGGGGCGATGTGTTGTCGTGAAGAGCTAAATCTTCCATGCGAAGGTTGCATCTCTTCCAACTACTAGTTACAAACTCGTGTGATGCTGGTTGCTGGTGTCGGTCAGGAAACCCAGCAGGAGGTTCGTTACTTGGTCTGCTGGTGGTTGGCAGTGCCCGACTTGCACTGGCGGCTTATTATGTCCTCCGTATCATACTCAGCAGGAGTGGGTCCGCTAGCGAATGCCTACACTGGGCATTAGGGATGCGAATGAAATTTTCCATTACGAAATTTCATCCGATGTGGGAATATTCCATCCAAGGTTGCCTCAAAATGGCTTGACGAAATGGAGACGTAAGGTCTACGGATTACCAGGGTTAATTACCCATTTTGGGGTCTTGTATCGGAGACCGACATTGGCTAAGGGTTGGCCAGCACGGCCGGATAGACTCTACGTGTACGGAGTAACAATAACCGGTTTGTTCTTGCCTCAACCAAAATGGGAATAACGTTAGTGGAAGACTTTTGGAATTTGACATTTCACAGCCCGTTCTCATTTTCCATGGCCGGGTAGGAGTTATCCGAGAATTCGCAGCCCTGCTTGGCATTTGACATATGCCAAGAACATCGCCAGCATCTGATCGAGTATGCCCAGTATGGCTGCTGCAAGTAAAATCTCGACGTCGAGACGAACAACCATGCCAGCCAGTGGAAATTTTACGAGGATATCAGCCAAACCACGTTGCTCTCCCTAATGTACAGTTTCCAGTTCATCCAGACTACAACAGGCCCTGCTTCTGCAAGTCGAGATACACCTTCTCGGGCATCACGTTACCCTCGGCGTCCTCCATCTGGACGATTGCGCCGTCGTCGATGTGGCCCTTGCTCTTATCCCGCTGGATTTTGTCCCACAGCCTGACAGCCTCTTCGATAGAGGTGATGTCCCGGAACAGATACGCGTCGGTGATGCCCAGCCGCTTGAGGTTGGTAATGTGGTTTGTCTCGTTGAAGTGCTTGTCGAAGGCTCGCCGGCCCCGGTAGACGAAATTGCCGCAAATCTCGCAGGGAAACTCTTGTCCCAAACCGTGCAGCCGGTACAGCCAGAATGGGATCGGCTTGCCGTCCCAGGCGAGGGGGAGCTTCAAGGGATTGTAGAGCTTATCCTCTCCCTCGTCCTTCTCCCCCTCATCTGCCTCTCTGTTTTGCGCCCCAGAAGTCATGTTATACAGGTTTTCCAGCTCCTGTTGCCGTTCCCTCTCCGTCATGCCCTGTCGGCGCTCCACGTTCACTCGCGTGTCGTCCCGCTCAATGTTCATAGCGCCAGTCAGCTTCTTGATACGGAACTCGCGCTCGGCCACTGCTCGTTCTTTTAGTCGATGCGCGAATGTTGTGGTTGTGCCGTTGGCGTTGGCGTCCTGCGCACTTTGCCGCTGCGCGAGAAGCTCCGCCGCCTTTATGTGTTTCCGGCCGTTCAGATGGCCCTTGTGGACATTGGGGTTCTTGAATTCCTTCTCGCATGCCTCGCACCAGACTGCTTCGCTGGTACTTAGCGTCCTTTCGGGTGCAGTGGTCTTCGCCGCCTTGTCCCTCTGCCAGCCCTGCACTTCATCCTTCTCCCATGCCGTCTCAAACTCTTGCTGCCAGCCGCTGAAAACCTCATCAAGGTTTTCCAGTGGCCGCGTTCGGCGCATGAACGACTCCAGGTATTCCATCAGCTCGCCGAGGTACTTGAAGTACTGGTCTGTCAACTTGTCCGCCCGTTTCACCCCGCCATATCCCGGCTGGAAGTTGTCGAAAACTTCGAGGTACTGCAGGTACCCGAGTCGCTTCGTATTTGGAAGGTTCAGGTACGACTCGTGGCATTCGTGCAAGTCGAAGAACCGTCCGTATGCCTCTTCGCCCGAGAACATGTTCTCAACGATGTAGGGTTGGTCGTCGCCTCCCTTGCGCGGTCGATACCATTGCTCCGAGTTCTCTGCTTGCTCGTTGGGATACCGCGCATGGTGCTCCTTGATCTTGGATACTTGGCGATAGAACTCCTCGAAAGGATCGCCCGTGCTGATTTGAAGGATCTCTTTAGATCTAAGCCCGAACTTGTCCTCGTAGAGCGGTAGTAGCTCTGCAGATTGGCGTTGAATTTGGTCGAGTAACTGTGCCACCTCGTGGTCTCGGTTAAGGCGATCGCGGATCTGAAGATGGTGTGAGCATCGCATTCTCCAGCGGTGGAAGCAGCGAGTGGAACTTACGTGCTTGGGCTCCTCGCCCATGCGATCAGCGATGCCCTGTTCGAGCCGCTCAAGGTCCTCATGAATGTATCTCTGGTCTTCGAGTAACATGCTGCTCCGTCTGGTGTCTGTTACCAAAGTCCCGACTGAAGCTTGGAGTAACAGGAACAGGGAACGTTAGATGGGCGTTGAATGTCTGAATTGCCTGCGCCAAGACTGCGACACGTCTGCGTCTTCGTTGCATGTGGTTGGTCGAGATCAAGCAATGGTGGGCCGTTCAAAAACCTATCCCCACCCGCCGATCAAGCTTGATTCGCCTTCATCAACTTCAAGTTCACCCGAGACGCATTACCAGGGCTTTCGTCGATCGACAAATTCAGCCTCCAAACAACAACTGATACACGAGACCAAGGGCGATAGCCAAACCGATCATCATAATGGCTGACGGCGCTGGTATTGACCGCAAGGCCGATGAGAAAATCCAGTTTTCGACCTCGAAAGAGGTCACGGTCCATCCGACCTTTGAGTCCATGTCGCTGAAGGGTATGTCGCAACCATTGCAGCCATTCGGAGATGTCATGCGCTAAGCGTCGTTGGTTTTAGAAAGCCTTCTTCGCGGCATCTACGCCTATGGATACGAATCGCCGTCTGCCGTCCAGTCCCGCGCCATCGTCCAAATATGCAAAGGCCGCGACACCATCGCCCAGGCACAGTCCGGTACGGGTAAGACGGCGACGTTTGCTATCAGCATGCTTCAGGTTATAGATACCGCCGTGCGCGAGACCCAGGCGCTTGTTCTATCCCCGACCCGCGAACTTGCGACACAAATCCAGAGCGTTGTGATGGCGCTGGGCGATTACATGAACGTGCAGTGCCACGCCTGCATTGGCGGCACCAACGTGGGCGAGGATATCCGCAAGCTCGACTATGGGCAACACATCGTCTCAGGTACCCCTGGCCGTGTTGCTGACATGATCCGCCGGCGCCACCTCCGCACACGCCACATCAAGATGCTCGTGCTCGACGAGGCCGACGAGCTGCTCAACCAGGGCTTCCGTGAGCAGATCTACGACGTGTATCGCTATCTGCCGCCTGCCACCCAGGTCGTTGTTGTCTCGGCTACATTACCCTACGACGTGCTCGACATGACCACCAAGTTCATGACGGACCCCGTCCGCATTCTCGTCAAGCGTGATGAGTTGACGCTCGAGGGGCTGAAGCAGTACTTCATCGCTGTTGAGAAAGAAGACTGGAAGTTCGATACGCTATGCGATCTCTACGATACCCTCACCATCACCCAGGCCGTCATCTTCTGCAACACACGGCGCAAAGTCGACTGGCTCACAGACAAGATGAGAGAGGCCAACTTCACAGTCAGCAGCATGCACGGCGATATGCCGCAAAAGGAGCGCGACAGCATCATGCAGGACTTCAGGCAAGGCAACAGCAGAGTGCTCATCTCGACTGACGTCTGGGCTCGCGGTATCGACGTCCAACAGGTCAGCTTGGTCATCAATTACGACCTGCCCAGCAACCGTGAGAACTACATTCACCGCATCGGTCGTTCTGGTAGATTCGGCCGTAAGGGTGTCGCCATCAACTTCGTTACTAGCGAAGATGTGCGCATTCTGCGGGACATTGAGTGTAGGTTCTCCTGACGGCCCCTTTGAATCTGGCTAACGGCTCGCAGTGTATTATTCGACTCAGATTGACGAGATGCCTATGAACGTGGCGGACCTTATTTCTTGATTTGCAACGCCGTTGGGCCAGTTTGAGAAGAGAAGCTATTGCTCGCGTCCAGTCCGCTGGACGCTCAGCTCAACTAAAATGGTTGTGGGAGGAAAGGGGACACAATCGTTCAAGGTAGGGTGGCCTTAGTGTGACCTTAGTATCTCATGCGGATGCTGTTGTCTCCTCCCTCTCCCATTTGCTGACAACAAACCAGCTGTCATATCGAGATTGTACCAAAATTTGTGCGCCGAGTTGGCGTTTCAGGGGCGCGGGACGGCAAAGCCTCCCCACGGGGCAAGAGCCATTCCGTTATTTTCGCTATGGGTCTCGACAGGCATATCGGGGCTACCTGAAGCTCAATCAGTGTGAATGAAGAGAGACAGCAGCTCTCGGTTATCATTGGCTCCTCAGTGTCCTCGTCGTGATATCGCTAATATCGTGAACGCAGATCAGATTTCCGCCCCAAGCATCGCTGATGAATTGTTTAGATCTTCTACCAAATCGCTACCCCCAGCCAGTGCTTCAGGTTTTACTACATCTCAATCTCCCACGGCGGTCGGACGGAGCTAGATTTCCCTATCGGCAAGGGTGGTTCAGAACTCGTTTCGGCAGACAATGCCACATCCGTTTCCACCTCGATGCTCTATCGCCGGTCGTCGCACTTTTTAATAACCTCTGATCCATCCTCCTTGTCGCCGAACGACTGCGACTTACGAACCCCCCCAGCCACCCCTTCGTTCTCTCCAAGGGCTCCGATCTCATCGTCGGCGGGTGCACCGTCCTCACTTCAAGCACGCTTCATCCTCTCCCGTAGACGCCGATTCCGCCTCTCTCACTCCAGGAGCGCTTCCTGCTCTGCAGACCACTAACCATCAATTCACCAGCTACCGCAGCGTCATGCGACTCGCGCGCGCAATGGCCGCGTTGATTATAATGGTATTCGCTTACGGAATAGTGCAATCTTTTGCGCAGAATTCTCCCAGCTCGATATCTGCGCCATCAGGTCGTGCGGGATGATAGCACACACGGAGAACTCCCAGCTTGGGAACTGTATATGGCGCTGCCTTCTGCTGAAGCGCGACGCGCCGGCTGGCCGAGCACAGGGAAGGACAGGAGGTAGAGGAGCACGTTGGCGCCGATGTGCAGCCCGTCCGTCGGGCTGCGGGCGGCGCCGTTCTGCGCTTGGGACAGATTTCCCTGTGTGGTGGGACATCTCACCGGATCCTTGCCGTCGGGTTGCATGGCACGAGTTAGCAGTCTGTCTCGGTGGAGAAGATGAGATGGCACGATAAGAGGGAGCTTCCTAACCCGGCAGCTCATACTCGGTATGGGTATACCCGTTGAAGTGGAGAGGACCTTGCCCTGATCGGAAATACGCGAGCCAGGATGCGAACAAGCTCTCTGGGCGTTGGGCTAAGCTTTCTCGGCGTTCCACCACCCATCCTCGGCATCTGCTTGGCCCGCCGAGTGCCCCCATGAGCCGCTACGGCACTTGGATTGGTCAATTTGGCTTATTACAGCTGCCAGGCTTCAACGGCCAACCAACGGCGATCCGGTCCAGGAAGGGAAGTTGGGAACCGATCCCATCCCGTCCTTGCGACTCAGTAACGGCTGCACTCCAAGCCCCAAAATGAAGCCTCTATAAATGCTGCAACATTGCTCCTTCCACTCCTTCCTCCATTTTTCATTCCTTACTCCCGTCCGTTATCAAGCTACCGGCTCCGCATTTTGAAGCAGTATGCTTCAGCGTCTTCTGTTTGCCGCGGCATTCGCTGCCCTCGGGCAATGCGGATCTAACGTCCTGGAGTCTCTCCCCGCGAAACCCCGAGGATGGACTCGCCTGAGCGACGCCTCGCCAGAGCAGAACCTCAAGCTGCGCATCGCCCTGCACCAGCCTAACGAGGCTTTGTTTGAGCGCACGCTGTACGAGATTTCGGACCCGGCGCATCCCAAATATGGCCGGCACCTCTCGCGGGACGACCTCTCGTCTCTGATGGCGCCTCGCGCAGAGTCAACCTCAGCCGTGCTTTCCTGGTTGCGCGACGCCGGCATCCCCAGCTCAAAGGTCCACGAGGACGGCGAGTGGATCAACTTCAACGTTACGGTCCGCGAGGCTTCGGCCCTGCTGGACGCTGACTTCGGTGTTTGGGGCCACGACGGGACCAACATCAAGAGGGTGCGCGCCTTGCAGTACTCGGTCCCCGACGAGGTCCGTCAGCACATCAAGATGGTCGCCCCCGTCGTCCGATTCGGACAGGTCCAACCTCAGAAAAGCCAGATCTTCGAAGTGGCTGATGCCAAGTTGCCCGAAGTCAAGGCTGCCGCCGCCATCCCGCCGCAGGAGCTGGATGCCGCCGCATGCAATGCCAGTATCACGCCCGAGTGTCTCAGGGCCCTGTACAATGTCGGCTCGTACCAGGCGGACCCCAGCAAGAAGAGCCTTTTCGGCGTTGCGGGTACCTCGAGGAATGGGCCAAATATGACCAGCTGGACTTATTCGTCGACCAGTACGCTCCGTATGCCGCTGACGCCAACTTCACCGCTGTAGGCGTGAACGGCGGGGTCAACAACCAGGGTCCGTCCGAGAACGACGATGTCGAGGCCAACCTGGATATCCAATACGCAGTCACCATGAGTTACAAGACGCCGATCACCTACTACAGCACTGCCGGCCGAGGACAGCTTGTGCCTGATCTTGAGTGAGTCAGTCGCTTGAGACTATACCAGGGTTACGCTAACACATCTATAGTCAACCGGATCCGAATGACGTGAGTTTCCCTGTCAGCGGTGTTTCCCGGTGCCGCTCCTATACTGACACGTACGTCCAGGGTTCCAACGAGCCATACCTCGATTTCTTCTCGTATATGCTCAAGCTTCCCGACTCCCAGCTGCCGCAGACCCTGACTACATCATACGGTGAGGATGAGCAGTCGGCACCACGGGCCTTTGCCGAGAAGGTCTGCCAGATGATTGGCCAACTCGGAGCCCGTGGCGTGTCTGTTCTGTTTTCATCCGGAGAGTACGTCACCCGCGTCTGACTATCAAGGTGAGACCATTGGACTCACCACTGCATCCATATTCAGCACTGGCGTTGGTTCCGCGTGCCAGACCAACAACGGCAAGAACGCAACCCGTTTCCTGCCCATCTTTCCCGCGTAGGTCCTCCGTCCCACCAGCTTTCCCATCTCCTGGACCGTTTACTCACCCGCCTTCAGCGCCTGCCCCTATGTAACCTCGGTCGGCGCCACGCGCTACGTCAACCCCGAGCAGGCTGTCAGCTTCTCCTCGGGCGGCTTCTCCGACATCTTTCCGCGCCCAGCTTACCAAGACGCCGCCGTATCCTACTACCTCAAGACGCAGCTCAAGGACCACTGGCAGGGGTTCTATAATCCGCACGGCCGCGGCTTCCCGGATGTGGCGGCGCAGGGTGTTAAATACCACGTGTTCTCCGGGGACAAGGACATCCTAGTGTCAGGGACAAGCGCGTCGGCGCCCATGTTTGCCGCGCTCGTTAGCCTGCTGAACAACGCCCGCCTGGCCCAGGGGCGGCGGCCGCTCGGGTTCTTGAACCCCTGGCTCTACTCAGTCGGAAAGCAGGGGCTGACGGATATCGTGCACGGCGGATCAACCGGGTGCACCGGGAAGGATGCCTACTCGGGCTTGCCGACGCCGTTTGTGCCGTACGCCAGCTGGAATGCGACGCCCGGGTGGGATCCCGTCACGGGGCTCGGCACGCCGCTGTTTGATAAGCTGCTGCATCTGAGCACCCCGGGCGGGAAGTTGCCCCATATCGGCCACGGTCACTAAGATGAGATGGATAGGTACCACCATACCTTGGCTTCTTGTTCGAGGGTATCAATCAAGTTACTTACTTCGTAGACAATGTCTTGTCTAGGTAGAGTGGGGAAAAACATAGACGGTCACATGGACACAGTTCCTTACCCAACAAGAAAAGTGACAAATCGCGCTCGTATGCGGCCTATGAATCAGGTGCACCATTGTTGAGGGCCGAAGCCCCGAGGCGGCCGGCAAAATCGGTGACAGCAGAGCCTCATTGTGGAACAAGAAGGTCTTATCATCTCGTGCGGCTGAAGATGGAACCTTGCAGTGATATGGATATTGACACATCGAGCCCCAACCATCACCACAAACGACAATCAAAGGTACGCGCTAATGCTTCGACGGGATGGTGATACGGCTTTGCGGCTCTGCTCAGCAAGGTGGAGGGCGACAAGAGCTGGGCGTGGTCTGATGCCGTCCTAGTAAGGTGGTGTATGTGACAGGGCCGAGACACGATGCCCTCATGCGGAAGATGAGTGTGTATTGGGCGACGAAGCGCTGAATGATTAGAAATTATAAGGCAGCCACGCCCGCCGAGGTCTCACTCGCTGTTGCGCTCCCTGAAGCAACAGCCTCGTTTAGAATCCTATCCGCTTTCTTTTGGTGTCGTCTCCTTCACACCGTCGTTTTGCAGTACTTTTTGTACCTACCTGATTTACATCTCTGGAGCAAAGAATGCGCTCGTCGTTCTCCCATCGCAGCAATTCTCGGGCTCCTCGACCAGAGTTCAGTACGAGTCCATCACTCAGCAAGACTTGAAACTTTCCTGAGTCCACTACTCAGTCCAGCTCCTCTTGTCTCCTCAATGGCAGCCACTTGCCGCTCCAGCAATGTCACGCCCATCGAGCAATTCATTGGCTCGGGCGGCGGCGGGAGTGGAGAGGATGTCATTGCCGCAGTCACAACGCTCTTCCGCAACATCCTGACCCTCCTCAAGATACAACAATCTTCTTTGTGAACTGTTATACCCCTTTTCAGCTCTCTCGGGAGCAGGATGGCTGCCGACTGCGCATTTGCTCCCGGACCCCTCCGGACTCGTCCGGAATAGGAAAGTCGGAGCTGACATTGTTGGTCCAGCGCTCGCCCATGCGCACGCCCGACGCCCGCCTCAACAACGTCGCCTACGTGCTGGATCCGCGAAGCGACACGGTGGAGTGCACTGGTGCGGAGATGTGCCTGTCGATCCAGACGGTGCCGTTCTGTCTTGACCTGCTGACGTATTCGTTCCACGCCAGCGACGGAACCACCGTAATGCCATGACGGAGGAGTACACCTTGCCAGACGGGAGGAAAGGAAATATGTACACGGGCGCCTGGGCTGCAGCGAACTCGGTGCAGGCGAATGCCATGACGACTTCGCGGGCAGCCACATGGGCAGACACGCAGGCGGGTGGAAGTGCTGGCGGGTCCAGGGCGACGGCGGCGGCAACGAGTGGAGCTGGTATCCATGAGGCTCGGTTGACATAAGAAGGCTATGACTACCCTAGTTGTATCTGCCTAGGTTTCCTCAAACGTTGGAAACCTACCTGCTTCTTGACTCGAATTTCAAACTCATCTAGCATCTCTCGGCCGCAACAGCCAATTACCTTCATGAACTGGTTGCGGTAGAGCTTGCTACGGATTCCGAAACTCGTATCCGATGCCTAAATGATACTTAATACGCGGTAAGCAAGAAACTGTGTTTCGTCGGCCGAGGCGGAACACCTTGCAGTTCCAGGCAAGAACCTCGGGCGGGATGAGAGTGTCTGTATAACACACAATTTGGTTGAGGGCGCCGGTTCGTCTTGGTTCCGAAGCCCGGCTACCTGACGATTGGGGTGGTTGGCCCGTCGCTTATGTCAGAATTGAGAGGCCGATCCGGTAAGGAGAAGTCTGAGCGAAAACCGAACTCGGACCGGCCCGAGTTTTGTCAGGTGATGCACCGGGCCGTAGTCGGGCAGGTTCCGGATAGAGGTTGTGGGAGTGGCCCGCCAAGCCATGGAAAGCGTTTCTCTGAGAACGAGACGATCGGTTTCCACACCTCATCACAACGTCGGCGTTCTTATTTCACTGTGGTAAGGTGCTTCCAGTCGTAGCTTGTGCGACTCGGGTTGGCTTCACCGAGCCCAGAAGCAGGGGAAAGAAGGGTAAGTGTGATCTGCGTGAGGGTGGCCTACAAATGGGCGAAACAGGAAGGTGTCACATTGTGGGAGAGCCGAACAATGGCCGAACCCGCGCACTCACCCTATCATCCATGGGTGAAAAATGGGGTTCTCAGTTCCCAGAGTCGCATCAAATACCTTCTCGCAAAGCAAAAATGGGAAAAGTCTTGCGCGCACTTGCCCGCTCTGGAGGACGAACATCCCGGCAATCACTTCAACCCATCAACCATACAACAAGACGGGCCTCTCTGGGTCTTATCCTCTCTGGGTCTTATCCTCTCTAGGTCTTATCCCTCGCCACCCCGTCTTTTGCTGCAGGGTTCACTTATCGGCTTCCATTGTGGTCAAACCTGGACTACCTACCCAGTTCGCGGCGAGTTGATATCAACCCACAGCTCACCAATTCTGCGCCATCGACGATGAACCAGGCCACTCTGTTCTCCATCCGAACAAGATTCCCTTCAGATTCTACTACGTATGTCCCCCCATCGGGTGAGTTACACCGAACTCACGATGCGACACGTGCTTCATTGTAACTCTCCGCGCCCGCATCCGCCTCTAAAACTGCACTCCGCCCTGGAGACCTTGACGCCTACGATATTTCACCGATAGTTGGTTGCTGATCGGCAAGCCCTCCTCCCACCACCGCCCATACGCACTCCGCACTCCACGTCTTGGCAGTCGAATCAAGCATCTGCCAAGTGTCCCAAGAAAGCCACAACGGCCAGGCTTGGCAGGACCAGACCTCTTGCCGTGCTGGGCGTTGACCGAAGCCAAGAATTCCGATAGACGTCGACTTCATCCTACCGCCACAACTTACCGTTCGATTCGGCATCGCTAATGCTCTTTCGACTTGTCGCCTCAACCATCAACACCTCTTAATTGTATGGGGCCAACTCCGCCACTCATCCCTGCTACGGTCACACCTCGGATGCGCGTGCCCACCAAGCCGCCAACCACGGCACCACCCTGCCACCGGCAAGTGACTTCACACGTCGTTACGCAGCATGCTGAGCGGCTGCGTCGATCACTGCCCGCTTCGCCTGGGTCAGCCCATGTCCAGCGAGGATGCTTATAAGGAAGGCTCAAAGTCTGAGCCCGGCTTGAGCGCGATATTCATGATTTTCTGGTCTTCCATCATTCGAGCCGGGCCACACATGAAGGCTGCAGAGTACCTCGCATTTCAAACCCCTTGTTTACCTGGTCACGTTTGTCCTTCTTGCCGGTTTCTCTTGAAGCCAATATCACGTGCTATAGCCCTTCCCGGACACAGAGATTGCCATGGAATCGACGCACGAGCCGGCCGACCCCGTTGTCAGGGGCGTATTGGCAACGGTAAGACAATCATGGCATGACTTGTTCATCTTTAAGCAGCGAGTTGTCGTGACAAACGAGCGCGGCGAGACAAGCACCGAGTGGGCGCGCCCAGTGCCGCTACGCAACCCCATCAGCTTGCTCGCGCAGCTGTCCGGTCGCGGTTGGCTCTTTTTCCTCGTCGGCTTCGCCGCCTGGAGCGCCGACGCCTTCGATTTCCACGCCCTCTCCATCCAGCAGGTCAAGCTGGCCAAGTACTATGGCACCACCAAGACCGAAGTCTCCACCGCCATTACCCTCACTCTGCTGTTGAGGTCGCTCGGCGCCGCCATATTCGGACTTGCCGGTGACAAATGGGGTCGCAAATGGCCCATGGTGCTCAACATGATAGTGCTGGGTGTGCTGCAGATTGCCACCATTTACAGCAGCACCTTTTCACAGTTTCTTGCCGTGCGCGCTTTGTTCGGCTTGTTTATGGGCGGAGTGTAGGTCTCGTCCCCAGTGGTTACACACTTTTGCATTTCCTCGCTGAATACGTGCTAGCTACGGCAACGCCATTGCCATGGCGCTCGAGAACAGCCCTACCGATGCCCGTGGTCTTATGTCCGGTATCCTCCAACAGGGGTACTCCTTCGGCTACGTCTGCGCCGCCTGCGCGAATCTCGGCGTTGGCGGTTCCGATGATAGTTGGAAGACGGTCTTTTGGATTGCGGCCGGCATCTCCATCGGTGTCGGCATCATACGCTGCTTCTTTCCCGAGTCCAAGCAGTTTATCGAGGCCCGTAGGGCTGGAAAGGCGCGGGCCCATCCCTCGGCCTTCTGGAAGGAAACCAAGATGATGCTTGGCCAAGAGTGGAAGATGTGCGTCTACTGCGTCATCCTCATGACTTGGTTCAACTGTAAGCCCCACCAATCTTCTCGCGCGTAGTATCCCTTGCTGACAAGCGTCTGTAGTTTACAGCCACACGTCTCAAGACAGCTACACAACCTTCATGCTCACCCAAAAGGAACTCGACAACGATGGCGCCAGCCGCGCCAGCATCGTCATGAAAGTCGGCGCCTGCGTGGGCGGCACCATTCTGGGCTACATCTCGCAGTGGCTCGGCCGCCGCCGCACCATTATTTTCGCCGCCATTATGAGCGGCCTGATGATCCCCGCCTGGATCCTGCCCGAAGGCGAGCGCGGCCTGTCTGCCTCGGGTTTCTTCCTGCAGTTCTTCGTCCAGGGTGCTTGGGGCGTCATCCCCATCCATCTCAACGAGCTCTCCCCGCCGGCGTTCCGCTCTTCGTTCCCTGGCCTGACGTACCAACTCGGCAACATGATCTCGTCGCCGTCGGCGCAGATTGTCAATGCCATCGCGGAAAGCCACCTTGTCAACACTCGGTCGGGTCGCAGGGAGGAAGCGTACGGTCCGACCATGGGGATTGCCACGGCGATTATCGCCACGGGGATTGTGGTGACCACGGCTTTTGGGCCTGAGAAGAGGGGGAGGGAGTTTGAAAAGACGCTGCCGGCGGGTATGAATGTTGTGCGGCAGGGCGGAAAGATGAACGATATTGAGCGGGCCGACACGAGAGAGGCGAAGCCTGTGGTTGGGAAGGTGGAGCATAGAAGGCAGGGATTGGAGAAGGTATGATGAACGAAAGGTTCAGCGCGCAGATGGGAAACGGGGTTATGGTTTCAGCTCTACAACGAGGTATTTCGATGGTGGACAAGTCATGTTTTACATGGGGTTGACGACTCGACGAATGAATGTGCATTTAAGCGTTATGTTCCATATGATCTTCGGAACTAGTTTGAGCTCTACGTTAGTTGTATTGATATGAGGTTTGAAAAGTGGGCGCTGTGATAATGTTCACGAGCTATACCGGCTTGCTGGTCCCTCCTGAACTGCTCAGAGGCATGCTGTGTTTGCTTACGACGCTTTGAGAAACTTTGGCTTTGGTTTTTGTGATAAATTCATTGACTGATGCGTTGTGCGTGAAATGTTGTGACTGCACGAGTGACCAAGGCCGCTATTTGGGTATTCAGGAGTTCGAAATGGAAAAGATATATACTGGCATTGAATGATGCCTGGGGCCTGGACTAACATGAAGTAAGGCGAATGTAATGAAAAGAGGACGAGGTAGAAAGATGCCCTTGGTCAGGTCACTGGGTAAGAGCTACAGCGTTATGACGCTGCGGCTGCCTGAGCCGTGGAGAGTCGAGTTCACTTTGGCGCTTCTGGCCGTGCTGGAAGGAGACTAAAACCCGATACTCGAGCTGTTATGAATGCGCGTCTCAAACGGCTGCCGGACCCGCGCATCTAGTGGGAGCCCCCCTGGCAGCCTCAGCTGCATTTGATCGTTACTGTGGTATGAAAAACAAGATTCGCTTTTCTCTATCCATGCATCCCCATTCTTGATCAGGTGCCATCCAGCATAGCTGTTGTAGTGGACATGCTTCCTGTTCGATTTTGTTTTGTCTTGCTATTTTCTTTCTCACTTTTTGGTTTCCTTTTTGTGAGGCCAATTCGGCCGGCGACTGGATGTTGAATCGTTCAAGTAGCATAGGAAAAGACATCGACATCAAGCAAACGAGAAGGCAGTGAACTTATTACCTTGTTAGCTCAAGCTCAATCGAGGAAGTATCAGCTAAAGACTTGGTTCACTTGCCTGTTCCAACCCCCTTTTTGTTTTTCCGTGATGAATCCTAAACGGAACTGGCTCAGAACAATCTTGATCTAAGACAGGCTCAACAGCGCTTCTAGCGATTGCTTCAGCTCCCATCCCCTTCGGCATCGTCGTAGGTCGTGCCGGGCCAAGCAGCGAAGCCCCCGGGGTTATGGGAGCCGGTTGGATGAGCCCCAAGAGTTGTCTGTGTCTGTGGATGACCCTTAAGGGTTCCCATCGACGTTGAAATGGTAGTCGGCTACTGCTGCGAGGAATTGCCGCCGCTTGAACTTGAGTGTGGTGCCGCATATCTGCCAGTGGCAGGAGATTGGCCATGCCGCATATGCGTCAGAAATTGATGCTCGGCTCCATTGCCGTGTTGCCAGGTTTGAACGACTGGCGCCATGTCATCCAAACCAACGGAATATTGGACCGGTGATGGAAGTGCAAGAATGTTTGTTCCAGGAGCTGTTTGGACAGACCAGGCCTGATACCCGGTTCCGGTGACGGACAGGAAGGCATCGGTCGTGTTTCTCGGGTCACGGTGTTGCTGCCGAGTCTGGTAAGCTCGAGAGGGAAGGAAATGACCAAGCGATGGAGAACACAAGGGGTAATCTCCAGCTGGATTCGGCGCCAGAAACGGTCGTCGTTGAGGTTGAGTCTGATGCTCGTCAGCTATACCTGTGGTAGCAGTTGTCTCAGTTTGCAGTTTGGGTCTGTATTCTTTTTTCGTTCGGATCCGGTCCGGACTCAGTGTTGTCGAACGAGACGTTTGCTCTTGGAGGGCTGAGCGCTCAAAGTGACGGAGGGATCGGTTGAAAAGATCTTTGTAATCCGCGTCCATGGCATCCTGGAGATGCGAGGAAATGGCGCTGACGTCCCCTCCGTGTCTTGTGAGTGCGTCGGCCACATGCTCTGGGACTCTATTCTTAACTCCAGACCATGCCGGTGTTGCGACTTTGATGAACTCGTGGGATTCCGCAGGTATGCAGGGTTCATGCTCTAAGGTTACTCACGGAGGTAAGCGTTCGGACCTGGGCCTAGCAAGGTCAGGAGAAGTATATGTAAGAAACATACGTGAGGAGGGCATATGGGTGTCACTGGGGAACAAAGTTTTGCACAATTTCTCCCAAGTGCACACCTTGAGGTGGCCCTTCCTTCTAACCAGTATGGCTGCAATGGCCTCGGTGATTCCGTCTTCGACATCCTCAGCCAAATCCCCCCGTTGGAAGGCCATCACTCTGTGATGGTCTTTACTGATATGCGCCCTATGTATTGGTCAGCCCTGTTGCGATCCTGTAAACGAAGGCAGTGAGCGGATAGACCTACTTCAGTTTACTCAGGTCTCTGAAGGGCTTGGTGCAGCTGATGTGATTGCGGATGTTGAATCGCGCCCTGTTTCTCTTGCGATATGGGCAGCTCAGGGGTTCATTGAGGGCCGCCCCTTTGTTGCCGGTGTTGGTATCCGCACCACTACCATCTCCTTCTTCGTCTTCTTCATGGATGTCGCCACCGTCCCCGTCATTGCCCTGTTTGTCATCGAGGTCAGACTCGACGTCCTCGTCGGCAGGTCCCGAGGCGTTATCGTCGGTTGCGAGCTTGTCTGTCCCGGAATGGTCCGATCTGCCTGCTGTCGCGGTGTTGGGGCCTCGAAGGCAAGTTAAATGCACCATTTGGTCCGGAGGTGTCGCCAAGCTGCGCGGAGAGGCTGCCGGACAAGGAGGTGCCAAGGGGTTCGTATGTTGGATGAGCCCTGGTCGAGGTGCCGGCCCGGAAAAGCCAGAGGTGATAGACTGCCGCTCCATGGAAGCGCTCAGGCCTTGGTCAGCATGCAGAACAAAAGCCTGAAGCGAGTCCAAGCCGGCGTTGTTCTGTGGTTTTAAAGTAAGAAACAGACAGCCAGCAGGATCCATCCTCATGTCTGGGGAGGTGATTCTCCCCTGAGAGCCCAGAGTTCACAGCGAAGAAAAAGAAGGCTTTGCAGTTTGAGCTTCAGCCACGTCATGAATTGTTGAGTTCCAAGCGACTCAACAATAACAAACGCACGGCTGGACATGGTGGCCCAGTCACGCAGCAGGACGTCTACATGCAAGCAAGAGATCGCAGCTCATGGCATGTGAGGTAAGACGAGGCAACAGAAGCATGCCAACTCGTGCATTTCAGCCTTGAAATCTTTGCAGGCTAAGCAATAGTTACTGGAGCACTATTGGCTTAACAAGGACTGGATATATCAAACCCGAACTGAACCACCCAGGTTTCATCTTTAAGGTGTGGGCCGGAGGGCTTTTGGCCTGCCGAGCGGCCACCGGTGACGCCCGACCTCACAAAGCGGCCAGGCTTCAAATTTTTCCACCGACTTTCTCAACGGCGGGTTCGTGATGAAGCCCAAAGCGTTATTTCGATCGACACGGCTTCACTGGATCAATCGTGAAATCGGACTCGTCCGACATGCGACCCGGCAATCCGGTTGGGCCAACAAAGTGGGAAGTGTGCCGTTCAGTAACGAAGTGAAACTCCAGGAGAAATGTGTGAGTGGTTGCCTCATTATCTTCGGCCCGTGAACAGGCAGCAGACCGCCTCAGTACATCAGGTGCTAGCAGGAGATAACGAGCTGCAGCAGATGAAAAAAATTTCAAACAAACTCCAAGGGCCGGATGTTGTGTAACCGCGCTGCCAACATGTTCGTTGACTTCGTTAACCAGCTTGACATTCAGGGGCGCATCATGATGCATGCCGCAAATGAGTTTGCAGGAAGAAAAATTTGACGTTGGTTTCACCCCCCAAAAAAATAAAAAACGGGAAAACAGAGCGAAGCCACAATGCAAAAATTCCAGACTCAGAGTGAAAATTGACTGTGAAATGGAGTGTGCTCGGTCACGGTGTCGGAATGCCAGATTGACCTGCGGCGCTGTAGGGCTGGCAATCTACCTCAGAGATAGATGGAAAAATAAAATCTGATGAAATTAAGAAAACAAGGAAGGAAGAGAAAAAGAAAGATATAGTTAGTTAGACGACGAAGATGAAAAGTAAGAAAGAGGGCAGAAAAGACGATAAAGACAAAAAGATAAGTAGGACGAGGGAAAAGCGCAAGAATAAAAGGAAGTGAAACTGAAAGAATAAATAACTTAACTATATAACGAATTGCGGATCACTTATCTAACGTTATTAACCCAAGTTCCGTACTAATCACTGTGAACACAGCAACAAAACTGAACAAACCAGGCTTCCATTGTCGCGTGAACACCCGGCCAGTCCCACCTCCAGTTCAGCTTCCCTGCTTGTGGAGTTCGCAGCTCCGCCAAGATCGACAGCCGCGACATTGGCCGCGGAACCTCTGCCCAGCGCATCAACACCCCGCGGAATTTCGATGGAAAATGGCAGCGACCGACGGCCCCAAGCTGCTCTGGAATCCAGACAACGTCAGAGATGTTGCCGATGCGATAGGAATATTGCTTTCTGACGAACCGCTGCGGGTGCTCGCTCAGGATGTCGAGTACCGCATCGGCCAGGTCATTGTCGAGGCCCTGCGCTTCATGCGTGCCGCCAATCGCACCACCCTGACCGTCCAAGACGTGTCCCAAGCACTCAGGGTGCTCGACGTGGAGCCTTTGTACGGCTACGAGTCGACGCGACCCCTGCGGTACGGTGAAGCCAGCCTCGGCCCTGGCCAGCCGCTTTTCTACATCGATGACGAGGAAGTCGAATTTGAGAAGGTCATCAACGCGCCGCTGCCAAAGGTGCCGCGGGATATGAGTTTCACCGGTACGCAACATACCGCGGTGGCCATCCAATTGCCCAGCCGCTGACTGCTCCATCACAGCACATTGGCTTGCCGTCGAGGGCGTCCAGCCGTCCATCCCCCAGAACCCCACGACCGCCGAGACTTCATCAAAAGACCTCTTGCCCAAGGGGCCCGGCGCGAACCCTGCTCTAGCAGCTCTCGCAGGCAACGACAATGTCTCGTTCCGGCCGTCAGTCAAACATGTAATAAGCAAGGAACTGATCCTCTACTTCGACAAGATCCAAGCGGCTATCCTCGACGACGACCCCGATGAGGAGAAGACCAGACTCCGCGAAGCAGCTTTGGAATCCGTACGCTCCGACCCAGGCCTTCACCAGCTCCTCCCCTATTTTGTCAACTTCATCACCAACCAAGTAACACACCATCTCGACGACCTGTTCGTCCTCCGACAAATGATGGAGCTCGCCGAGGCCGTCATCCAGAACCCCAACCTCTTTCTCGACCCGTACGCCAGTGCCCTCTCAGCGCCCGTACTCACCTGTCTCATGTCGCGCAAGCTCGGCAGCGCCGCGCCCGACGGAAGCAGCGACACGCTGCGCGAGCAGTACCGCCTGCGCGAGCTCGCCGGCAGCCTGCTCGAGATGATTGCGCGCAAGTACGGCGCCACCAACGCGCTGTTGCGGCCCAAGCTGACGCGCACCTGCCTGAAGCACTTTCTGGACCCGACGCGCTCGGCCGCCGTGCTGTACGGCGCGATTTCCGGCGTGGCGGCGGCCGGCGGGCCCGAGGCCGTGCGGGTCCTGGTACTTCCTAACATGAAGAGCTTTGACGCGGCAGTCCTGCAGCCGATGCACGAGAAGGGCGAGGCGCATGCAGTCGAGTACGAGATGCTCGTGGGTGGCATCATGAAGGCAGTTGAGAGTCTGGCGGGAGGGACAGGCATTCCGGTGACCAATGGCGTGAACAGTACCGACCTGACAAGGGAGGCGGAGCAGGTTACAGAGTTTCTAGGGCCGATTATCGGGCAGAGGGTTGCACGGCTAGGGAATCATGCGCTGAATCGGGCTATCTTGGAGGTGCGGCACTTGGAGTAAGTGTCTCACCTCATCAGTTGGGAATGCTTGGCGTTGGGAAGGCGGACGGATAAACATGGCGTCGAGGAATCTGGGCAACGGGACCTGGATCACCACTCCGTTGCAGCCTCAGTAGCAGGTCCTGGCGTAGGGTATAACAGGCATTTTAGGAGGAGGGAAAGTAGTGATACATTAAAACACACCGACTTCCCAACCGCCGTGCCCATATCCATGACAAACAATCGCCTTGACATTGCGATAATCACAGACATATATGCTTCCCCCATGTCTAAACCCTCCAGACTAACAATCATGACAGTCTCACGAAAGAAGAAGACTAACCTTAGTCCCTCACGCTTCCACCTCCTCCCACCGCGTCTCTCCTCACATAAGGGTCCGCTCCTGTTCTTGGTGTACCCAACTATCCGTATTCACCCCTTCACAGAAAGAAGGCAATGTACAACCCGCCCACCAGGGACGCGCCCCAGACGTACCACCCGGTCTTAACAATCGTCCGCCGACTAAAACCGACCCCAATGTCAAAGAGCAGATGCCGCACGCCGTTGATGGCGTGGAAGGCAAACGGCCAGGCGGCGAGAAACTTGAAGGCGCCCTTGGCGGCGAAGGGCAGCGCGCCGAACGCGGCCGCCAGCGACGCGCTCTCCAGGTGCCAGCCCATGAGCGGCGCAACGAGGTAGGCGGCTGAAAAGGCGTACAGCGAGCCGCTGAAGGCGGCGCCCGTGAAGCGCATCCAAATGGAGCCGCCGAACCAGGTCTGCTGCTTGTCGTAGATGTCGAGGTGCGGCGACACGGGCCGGTTGAGGCGCTGCTTGGCCAGGAGGGCCGTCTCGTCGTCGGCGGTCAGTTTTTGCGTCGCTACGAGCCTGTTTGGTGTGTTCGGGGGAGGTGTCAGTGAGTCTCGGGAGACTGTCATTCCAGAGTGGTGATGACGTCTTGATGGAAGAGGCTCCTGCTGGAGGTACGGACCTGGTCTGGGTGGTGGAGAGCGGCTGGGCCAGGCCCAGCTTGGCCACGTTGGCGGTGAAGAAGGCATTTGGCTTGCCGACCACTGTTTGTTTGCCGATGCAGTCAGCATCTGTCCGTCTTCGTAAGGACCTTCAATTTCTTCTCTTCGGTGGACGGGAATCCTAGGCGTCGATCGGAGTCGAGGGATGCATACCTCGGCGCAGCACCGTTGTTCCTGTTCGCTGGGCAATCATTGTGTGGGCTGGCGACAGAGGGCGGATCTGGAACCAGATGTCTCGTCGTGGGGTTGCGAGGTTTGAAGTCGATGATGCCGGCTCGTGAAGTTGCAGCTCGGAATCCGGGCCCCGGCTGGTCGGCAGCCCTCGGCTTCACGCGACCAATGGGAGCTGGGCGAAATCGAATGCTTGTGGTTGGCTAATGGCTGCAAGGTCTGCGAGGAGCACGTGAGATGCCGCCCCACTCGTTTGGTGTGGGCTTTTACCATCTGCCTCCACAAAAAAGTCTGATTCTTCTTCTTTTTTTCTCTTCAGATAGTCATGGGTGTCCAGCTATGGCATTGCCGCCTCCATCGGCGATGCATACGTAGCATTTGGCGCTTTGGTGTCCATGGATGCCCAGAGAAAAAAGAGATCCGTCGTTAATCACTGTCGTCAGTTCCTTCAGTCTGGCGATTGTTTCATTTTAGAGATCTACATCCCTAGCCATGGTTATTGAGAAGCACTGAAAGTCGACGGTAAAGGGCTTTTTCTAACTGAGGTTGCTTTCAAAGTTGCTATGCTAGTACTCAGCCAAGTTAGAGCATGCTTTCGGTTTGAAGCATGATCATGTTCAACCTTTCCAGCTTTCGATAGGAGGTGCCGGAAAGAACATCGTCGGCACAAAGAACTCGAAGCCTCCACACACGTGTGGATTGTGCTTATGTAGTAATAAGTTATTCCATCAACTAACGTTAGTTCTACGTCTAGTATGATCGCATAAGCTGTGGATCGTTGCATCGATCAAGGCTGTCCGGTGAAAAGCGTCAGAAGCAGCTGCCCCAATAGCTCTACCCGCTTGTCCGTAGTGACGACAGTCGAATCGAGGAGAGTCTTGAGCCCCTTCGAGGTCCCTGCCTCGGCCTCCTCTCCAAGAACAAGGGTTGTGCAGATGCTGACGTGGTCGCAGAACCTACGGTGACAGTCCAAGCTCATCGGCCGGAGACACTTTTTCCAGCAGCTCTCCAGCATCTGATCGTCGGAGACAACGACCCCAGTGGGCTGGAACCTGAAATTACCTTGAATGCCGCCGTCGTCCTTGAGACTCTTTTCCACCAGCCAAGAGAACCTTATGCGCACCTCTCGCAGCGACGACGTCACGTCGAAGTGGCCGCCGGCCATGACCATCTGCCGACCATACGCTTGCTGCAGATGCCCGAAGAACTGGTGCCAAGCACCGTCAACAAGTGCGATTGCGCGCAAGTGGATCTCGGTCGCGGTGCGATGCACACGCCACCACAGCTGCAGCAGGTCGGCATATCGGATCGTGGCGCTGCGCAGGTCCAACAGTTGGAGACATGGTAGTCGCGTGGTCCATGCGAAGTCGCTGAAGGCTGTTATCAACACTTCTTGATCGGCCCTTGACTTGGCCATGTTGTCGTCGAACATCAGGGTCAGACGCTGCAGCGACGTCGCCAAGTTGATAAGGGTCGGGAGGAAGCTGCTACTGAAGCTCTCTTGGACGGCCTGGCCCGGCGTCTGCTGGGCGCTCTCGTCGATGTAACGCCGCATCAAGGACAGCGTCGTCAGGTTGGCGAGACTAGCGGCAAGGCCCTCTTGAAGCCCCGTGTGGGGGTCGTCGATCCGCGGCAGGATGTGGACCGGGACATAATCGAGTTTGTGCTGCTTGTCCCTGAGCGTTCGACTCCATTAGCCACGCCATTACTCGTTCTGATCGCTGGGTCGCCCCGCGGAGACTTAGAGCCAATTTTTGGAGGTGGTGCTTACCAATGCCAGATACGCATAGATTTGATTTGCCTGCTGGTATCCCTCAAGGCACGGAGGAGAAGGCCAAAGTTGTATCCTAGTCCGGCGTCGGTGTGGATGTTGTCCCGCCCGGGCATTGAAGCAAGCAACGCCCTGCCCTCCGGGCTCGTCATACTGTCATATTTCTGACCGGTCGCTTGCTGAAAAGGAGCGGCGCCGAAGCACTTGCGCTCGTCCCGGATGTGGTACTTCCTGGCGAGCTGGTTTGGGAGGAAGTATCCGTCCGTGATCTCGACATGTTTGAGGTCGGTCAGGCGGGAGATGACTTCGGTCAACGTCGCAAGGTCCAGCTTCAGAATAGAGAAGACGGCTTGATCCGAACAGTATCGAACCCAGCTCACGTATCGCAGGTCGGCCGCGTATCGCTCTTGAGGAGGCCTGGGCCTGTGGCGTTCCCAGAACATCTTGAACTCCTTCCGCACTTTGATATAATGCGACCCTAGGCGCAGGACCTGCATTTCGCTGCGACGGGGGCCTCGTTGATGACGATGCTTCTCAGATAAAGGAGGCTGCGAGAAGACACCAGCCAGGGAAAGCTCTGCAACCTGTTGGCGAGGACGCCGGCCGTCGCTTGGTGGATGCGAGTAGACGTTAGGCGAGAGGTCACCAGGTCCTTGATGTCCTCGAGGTTGCTGGCGACCCGGACAATGAGCTCCACAGGGAGGGCCTCCAGGCTCGCCCTCGGACGCAGATGCCCAGCAAGGAGCCGAAAAAGCCAGGCGCGCGTATCCATGTCCAGGCTCTCCCTCAAACGCAAATGCGCAGCAAGGAGCCGGAGATGGAAGGCGCGCGTGTACTCGTCCATGTCCTATTACCTTAACGGGGCTCCGAGTTAAATTCGGGTGCATGGATGTAGGAAGATTGGGTGAGCGAACGCATCTAGTAAACAAGGAAAGCAGCGGCAACAAGACCTAACGGACGCCGAGACATGGGCACACTGGCTTCGAGGTTGGGACCAGAAGAAGTCCTGGGCATGCCGGGGTGAGCATAACGGTAAACCGGTCAGGACACGGGGTGTGAACACATCGTTGGGGTGTTGTTGAACCATGGTTAAGCCCACTACCAGCCTTGCCACGGTCGTTGAAGTCCGGGGTGGTATGTGCTGCATTTCACTGCTGGCAATTGGTCCCATGAAGCCGACATCTAACTAAGTCTGTCATTTGCTTCACCCACAGTCTTGTCCGAGAGAAGGGGACTCATTACCACTGAGGCAACTCTGGCTGCTCGGGAGCGGGAAGCGGCTCGGAAGCGGCACCGATGTGTCGAACAGGGAATATGCATAGGCCGTGTCTTTTGTGCTTGGACGGTGGAGGTGTGGTAGGGGCTGGATTGATGAGCGAGCAGGATGGTGAGAGGTGGCTATGACAGAGACATCTCCTTGCCATCGTTCCTTCTTGATTCAACCCGTGACTGCTGCTTCGTGCGGCTTCTTGATAGTTGTAAAGGATTACTCCAGCGAGTATTGGAGATGATAGGCTTTGAAACAGTCTCAAGTCTTCTGTGATTGTTTCCTGGACGATCACAGTCCTGAAGGGGCCTCTCACAATGGAGACTTTGGCCGTTGGTCCTACCGTCTGCTTATACTGTTGCAAATGACAGAATGTGACATTAGGAACGAGCGACTGATTTCAAAAGTCCAACAAGCCGCCATCTACACTTGCCTCAAGCTTCTCCCTTACCATAGGTAGGTAGTGTTTTGTGGCCAATGGACAGACCATGCATGATAGCCCAGCAATGCCAATGTTTAGGTACAGAACCAAACATTGACCCCTTTTCGTTTATACCAAGCACCAATGCCCCACAAGACTCCGGAACTCATCATCTCTCATTGGTGAAAGTGAAACCAGCTCAGACTTTTTCGTCTGACTTTTAGAGGAGATACACGAGAAACCTCGTTGCTAATTCACTGAAGTAGGACCGAGTGAGTATCAGACGCGTCCAAACTTCACATAGTTATTGTAAGCAAAAATATGTAAGTCAATGGTAGGTCTATCTTTGTCTCTGTTCAGAATACTGGCTTTAACTACGCAGCACGAGAACAACCAACAAGGATTTCTTCCACATAGAAGGATCAGGCTGATCCTACTAGGGACAATGCCCTTTTATTGATTTAATTAGTTAGCTGTCTTGTGCTGGCTAGGATCATGCACAAGCTCAAATCATGACAATTCTTTTGACGGCTTCCTGTTTCACCCACTCCCCCCCGTCCATCAGGCCATGGACGTAACACTCTCCCACAAGCGAGACGGCGAGCTTCGCCACCTCATCGTTATCCACCGTGCATTGGCCAACAGGGCGGACAATCAAGGGCGTCATCACGCCGGGTACGATGGCAATGGTATCCCCCGCCTCTGAGCCTGGGGGCACAAGCGCTAGCAAGCCGTTTTCCCCTGTGATGGCCAGCTTCCGCGACAGACAGTGAGACTGTACCGCGGTGGCCCAGAGCCCCGACTTCCGCGGCCGGTCCATGTCGTCCTGGGGGTCGAAGTACTCGGCGTCGCGGTGTCTTCGAACCATCAAACTGCTGAGTACAGCCAGGAGGGTCGGGCTTGCCATGACCTCCGCTGCATCTGGGTTGGAGATGTGGTATGCCAGGTAGTCGCGATAATAGGCACCGTATGCGGCCGGAGCGGGTCTGTTTTGCTTTGTTGGAGCCATTGACGCGTCCCCGCTGTAGGTTGCAAAGTCGACAATAAGCGTTCTCCAAAACGCTTCCTCCAGCGTTTGACCCGTCGGCGGGTAAATGACCTTGGCGACGTCGTGTCCAAGGTGGTCACCGACTAGACAAAGGGCCTCCGCCACCCAGATTTCCGTGAGGCGCGCCATCTGGTTGATATCCGTTAAATACCCGTGCTTTGTTTGTGCCATTGGCCGCTGGAATTCCCTTGTCATGTGCTTGATGGGCTCGACGACAATGATGGCGTCCAGTTCTAGCATCATGCTGTCGCCGGCGATGACTCGCAACGCTGAGGTCTCGAGGTCGCCGTAGGGACGGTACTGATTCGTGCTCTGTTGAGGGAAAGCCCCTATCATAGACCGGCCGACGGTGCTCCAGTCGGGGGCCCACGAGGGTATATCGGGGACGTCTCTCAGCCATCCTATCCCGGCGCAGCCCAGGACTCGTAGCATGTCTTGTCCGGTCCCGCGCAGTCCCATATACACGGCAGCATCTGTGAATACCTGCGCGTCCGTCTTGGTGTAATCGGGTCTGACCAGGTCGTTGTCCCCGTCGGACGCAAGGGCCCAGAGCGCAAAGATCTTGTCGCGTCGGTCCGACCCTTGCAGAGTCCAGCACGGAACCAACATGTCGGCCAGGTTGGGCGGGTCGTCGTTCTGCGTGGCCTCGCGCACCTTGTCCATCGTGATGATGTGGAAGCCATTTATCAGTGCAATCCGCTTCGTGCCTACCACGGCCGTATCCTCGACGAGCATGCTGAGCCGGTTTGCCATGAGCAGCGGGGGCAGTACTCGCATGAGTGTGTCCCTGCATATGTGTAACAATGTCAGTAATGAGACGTTGTGATAGACCGCCCCCTTCCCTCGGCGAAGTTGTCGTCTCAGGGTCATTTCTGTCCCAATATCTCAGAGGACTGCGTGGAAATGACCTACCAGTTAATCAACTGGCCTCCATAGACGACGTGCACATTCTCGTTGGCCGCGACCTCCTGCACGATCCAGATGCGTGTAAAATAGGGGTGTTCCATCATGTCGCCCAATGCGAGCCAGCGCGCGCTCCGCCGCTCAGGCGTGTATCGCTCCCACAGCTCGGCGTCGGTCATGTCGTAGTTTTTGAAGAGGTGGGACAGCTCAAACAGCAGATCGATGGCCAGGTGGGCGTTGGGTGCCTCGCCCAGAGAGACCGTCACGCGACTGGCGCGCGAAAATATCTGGTGCATGAGAGCCACCTGCCGACCCTTTTCGAGGTCGTCTTTCTGGTTGATGCAGATTGCGTCGATCCAGATGGTACGCGGGGAGAAGGCGGGCGAGCGATTGAGCAGCAGGTCATAGACGCGCTGCGTGACGCGCAGCGGGTGGTTGTTGATATAGACGGTCTTGCAGAACCAGACTTCCTCTGGATGTTGAGGGCCCCAGGTGTACGACATGGCCTCATATATCAGCCTCTTGTCCAAGCTTACATGCTCGAGCTCGCAGCGGACCGTGGCCGAGTTTCCTCGAGGGAGGAGATGTAGGACGCGCATTTGGTCATCTCCGAGGCTTGTGTAGGCAAAAGGGCGCAGGATCTTGTTGTGCCCAAGCCTCCTTTGTCGGTGAAATCCTCCGGGAGGTTTCCCTCTGGTAAGCAGATGCAGCGCCCAGACGCAAAGACGGTAATACTCCCTTCCCACCCATCGCCACGCCAGCTCCGCCACAACTCGCAGAAACATAACCAGCGGGACTAATACCGTCTGATACAATACCAACGCACAACAAACACACAAAGAAACGTTCCATGCCCCTTCAAGCGTACAATGCCACCACAACCACTGCGGCACTCTCTTGAACACCATATTCAAAGTCGTCCTGGCCGTCCACCGGGGGTAATGCACCATCCCAACCATGTATACGAAAACGGGCAATGTTGGCACACCCGTCTGCCGAAAATCATGCCACACCTCCGCCAGCGGCAGATTCACCTCGTTGGTAAAAACCAGCGGGTGAGCGACATGAACGACAAAGAGCGCGATGCTAAACACAAAACAACTGTCGAGCTGGTCGACGCCGCCGACAACAGCCAGGAGGTAGAGACACAAGCGCTCGACCGCCCAGGAGAACAAGAACACGGCACGGCCGTTGCGCACAACCAGCGTCGCCGCGCCAACGACCCAGAGCCGCCCGATGCGGTAGGCTAGGTAGTCGAGCGCGAGACCGATGAGGGCGTTGCGCGTGTGCTCGACGGCGCGGGCGAAGAGGAGAATCAGGTAGCGCTCGCGGATGCGATTCATGGCGGGCGGCTGGGTCAGGACCCCGGGACAAGGCGGTGGGGGGAAATGATGGAGAGAGGCTTTTTGATGTTCGATTAAAGTTTGGACCTGTCGAACAAGAGGAGACGGGCGTTCTGGATTGCCAGAGGCTCCGCTTGGAGGCGCAGCACGAATTGGTTCAGCTCACCGAATGTGAAGGCAGCGCATACGCCGCAAGGCTGTACTCGTCACAAAGCCCCGGGCTGAATAATGTCATTTGAGGTACCCTAACGTTATCTGTGCAAGCCAGATGATCATTGCAGGAATCGGCGCCCGAACATCAAGATCTGCAGGTTGGTGGCGGGTTCCAAATTGCATTCAGGGCCAAATAGGTTCGGTGTAAATTTGGAGTTGAGGTATAGCAACTCCAAACCTGGAGTGATTATGAGCATGTGGGCTTGTGGTTGGGGCGGGGGGGCCGGGAGCGCGCGTGTGTTGAGATGCAGTAACTGCCTGGCCTGCATACCTTTAGCGCTGTCAATCCTAGAGATGTCAAATCGGTGGGATTGCATGCAAATGAGCTTCAAGATAAACGTCCGGTGTGTGAAATTGGAGCTGAGAGGTCGGAGGTCTTAGATCCTAGTTACAAGCCAACGCTAGTTTGTTTGTTTGTTAGCGCGGCACATGGCAGGCCCTAGTCAGCAAGGGAAAAGGTGGGATTGCAAGGGAGAAGGCAAGAAAAGTAGGAAACGGGAAGAACGAAAGGAGGATACAAAGGGGAATCAAGGAAAAGAGTAAAAGAAAAGAAAGAAGAAGGAAAAGAGTAAAGAAAAGGAGAAAGAAGAGAAAGAAGAGAAAGAAGAGAAAAAAGAGAAAGAAGAGAAAGAAGAGAAAGAAGAGAAAGAAGAGAAAGAAGAGAAAGAAGAGAAAGAAGAGAAAGAAGAGGAAGAAGAGAAAGAAGAGAAAGAAGAGAAAGAAGAGGAAGAAGGGGAAGACAGTTTCTTGTCTTGTTCATCTCAAGGTTCTCTGACTAGTAAGTTCCTCGCTAATAAACGACTAACTTAGGGCTAGATTGTAGACAAGATAATGGTACATGGGATGGTGCCGACCGGGCAGTTGAGGGAGATGAGAAGGATACGTGTGCTGGCATGGGCCTTTCCATCTGGCCCTAGAGCGGATATAGTTGTAGGGTTGAGTTTCACTAGCTAACCTAAGGATAAGCCGTACGGAGTAAGTACCTAAGGTATATTTCGTGCCGTAGCTTACAAGCCCGCCGCTATTACCTGATGTTGAATTGTAATGATTGGAACGCTCTTGGGGAACTCGGGGATGCCGCATTTTCATCGCTCTGGAACGGACTCCTCGAAAGCGTTCAATTTATCTGGTACAGGATCCCTCCCATACCCGGTAATACCTTACCTAGCACGCACGATAGATGTTACCCGTGTGATGAGAACATGAACGGATAACAAAACCAACTTGACGGCCAGGAAGGGACCCTACTCATTTACCCAGTACCCCTATACCGTGACCTGAGACTACCGAGACGAAACCCGAAACGACACGATGGTATTAGACAAAACGCAGACCCTACACGAATATCAGAAATGAAGAAATTGCTCAATAAACCCAGCGCCAACCAAGACCATCAGCCAGACTGGCATTTCCCGTCCAGGCACACTCATAAGTGTTCCGATCCCCAGCGTCATTTTCGTTCCCAGCCCGGGGGTTCTGCGGCATAAGAACACCCTCATCCCTTGACGCTACACTGCCGGGAGTACGCGGACTGTGTTTAGTATCCCGTGTGCGTCACTCCGGGTCCTTCTTTGGAGTAAGGGGCCGGTGACGGGGAGCTCTGGTAGGGCGGCGCGTTCTGATAGGGATGCGCGTTGTAGGGCTGGTTCTGGTATTGCGGAGCATTCTGGTAGAGTGGCGCAGGGGCGGCGGGAGCGGTCGGCGGGGGCGCGGCCGCGTAGTTCACGGGCTGGTAGGCGTAGGCGGTGGTGACGGCGTGGCTGCTGCTGCGCTTGACGCACCAGACGATGAGGAGGATCCAGAAGATCAGCTTGCAGATGCCGCCGAGGACGACGCAGGCGACGCCGCCCCAGAACTTGCCGTCAGCGGCCGCCGAGCACGACTTGTTGTAGGATGACTTGTAGCTGGAACCCGAATAGTACGTGTCATAGCAGTCGGAAGCAGTGCTGGCGGCCCAGGTGCCCAACAGGGCGCCGCCGATGATGAAGAAGAGGACGGCGGCGAGGAAGAAGGAGAGGGGCCACCATTTTGAGAAGCGGCTGCGCTTGGGTGTAACGGTAACCGTGGCAGCGGGTGGAGGGTATGGGTATGTCGTATGCTGGCCGCTCATTTCGTACGACATTATATCGTTTGTGACAAGAAAATTTTTCCTGGTAGATGAACGGCGGGAACAGGGAACGGAGAGGAAAAAAGACGAAGACTTGGCCGTTGGTGTTCTCCCCGATCAAAAATGAAAAAGAAGAAGAGGACAGCCAGATAGTTCAGCCCTGTCGCGACGAGGATGCCGCTCAGTTTTCTTCTCGTTCAGCCCACTCACAGCCCCTTTGACCCTTGGCTGCTGGGCTGGTGGATCGGCACCAGACCGCTCCCAAAATAAGGTTAAGCGCACTTCTGTCTGGGGCTTGCCATGCGAGTATCGGTTGCTTACTGTGGCTGTTGGGCATCATTCCCCGAAGGCACCCCACATGGCTTGCCGACGTGCTGGCTGATTGGTCAGCACAGCCCCGACGGCTAATTTGGCTTAGGCCTCGCCAAGTCCGAAGGGTTGCAGAGAGTGAGACGAGCCCCACCTGGACAAAAAAAAAAAGACCATCCGAAAAGCGTCACCCCAGAATTCAATGATCAGAAACATCAGCAGATCGTGGCCGAACTGAATGGTCTCAATTGCAAACTAATTCCCAGTCATAGCGCCTTCCGATTCCAAGCAATCCTTGAAGATCTGAGGGATGTTGTCAACCCAGGCATTGATAGTCTCTTGCTTAACTGCTGCCCAGCCCTCTTCGGCTAGCTCCT